ATGCTGAAAAACTGCACTTAAAACTAATTTGTTTCCCACAAAAAGTACATTAAAACTAGTTAGCATTAATCGTATTTATATCTGCATATAACACTGACATACTGACATGCTAAAAACACATTGCCCGGGTTATATCAATAATAGGTTTGCCTTTAATCATTTCATCAACATACACTCATGTTTGGAACAAAAATTGTGTCAGGAGAACTTGAATGATGTGATGAAATAAAGACGTGTAATCCTCTCTGTACCGCAGTTTGTTTTTCATCACTGCTCCAACAGTCTGACTGGCGGCCCATGTGTCTCCGTATCAGCATTTCTATGTGTCAGGTGCTCCGCCACTCTGTCTTTGGGTCTGTCAGCAGCACAGCTCATAAAGCACCTCCCGAGATTTCATGTCCAACTCAATTAGGGCTTGACAGGGGTGGATGTCAGGTGGCTATTTGTCAGGATGTGTGTGTAAGGTGTGGGTGTGTGCCCAACCCAGGAGAGACCTTTTTTAGGCAGATGAGGCCTCTCTCTTGCTGTTTTTCTCCCTTCCCTTTACAACACAGACATTCTTGTCTCCGCAGACTCAGACATAGACTGATACTACCAGCTAATGAGTACCAGAAAATGTGCTACAACTTCACCTAATTCAAATGAGGAACGCACCCTGCTTCCATAAACAATAAGAAATGTGGCTGCACTGAAGCATAAGACTCACCTGCAAAGTAACAGACCAAACAGAATGCTATCTGTCTCACTGTTGATGGCTCTTCAGCCCCTGTACAATGTCTCTATAGGTTCTCAGTCATCCGCGTCATGGTAGTCTTAGGAGCTTGAAAAGAAGGAGTCCGTTGTTGGGTGCAGCCAAAAAAATAGAGGGTACCAGGTACCTATCTACAAGTATGCTTTTTTGCAGATGATGTAATTCTGTTGTCTTCAATCTCCAGTTTGGAATAGGCTGGTTTGTATTTCAGTGTGGAGTAGCTAGGATGAGATTCAGTATTAATTATCATTAGTCTGAGGCCATAGTTCCCAGTTGGAAAAATGTAGTGTTCACTCCACATTGGGAAAGAGCTGCTGTCCCCAGGACACGCTGAAGAGATTATGCCTCTCAGCTGCCTTGGGAATGCCTTGGTGTGCCTCCAGAAGAGCTGGATGAGATAGTTGTCTGGCATAAGGATTCTGCTTAAGAGCGCCCCAGTAAGGCAAAGTAAAGCTGCCATTGCACATATCGTTCACACAAAGATGTACATTTACAGCAATGTGTTTATTGAAACAAAAAACAGAGTCTGTGTTTTTGAGAAATGTTTCCATCTACTGAGCAGGTAACATTCCTGTGGGTACATTCCTAACATACAGGGCTGCAAGCAAGCTAGAAGACTGGCATCAATCACCCAGCAGCTACAATGAGCACATATGCCCCTGCTTTTAATGTTTATAGGGAAACACTAAAGCAGGGGTCCCCAATCCCAGTCCACGAGGGCCGGTGTCCCTGCAGGTTTTAGATGTGTCCTTGATCCAACACAGCTGATTTAAATGGATAAATTACCTTCTCAACATGTTTTGAAGTTCTCCAGAGGCCTGGTAATGAACTAATCATGTGATTCAGGTGTTGACCCAGGGTGAGATCTAAAACCTGCAGGACACCGGCCCTCGTGGACTGGGATTGGGGACCCCTGCACTAAAGCAATCACCCCACCTCATGTCTCCTGCTAGGCTGCCACAAGATCAGCAATCAATCACAGTCACAGTCAATCTCTCCCTGTGGTGTCCCTCCTGTGATCAGTCCCACTGTAGTTTAACCCAAAGCCAGCCATGCGAGTTGCTCACACTTATTACAGTACGTAGTGAACATGTATTTGTGTGCCCAGGCATGAAATGTAACAACATCAGCAAGAAGTAGCTGAAAATAGATTGCACATTTTGCCAACTGCAAAAAAATACAATGTGACTCATAGGGTATGCCAGCGTGTAAGAAGGGGGAAACACAAGATAAACACACATCTAACTGTGATTAATGAATGTAACGCCCCACTATACCACGTCTTATTTTGCGTTTGTAGAGGGACTTAGGATGAGTGTAACAGGTTAAGTGTGTGTCGGCACACAAAGTTATCCTAAAACCATTTGTGTTATAGAAAGGGCGCTTATTTTTCCTCACAGGCCCACTAAGAGTAAACAGAGGAAGCAGCATAGTCAGAGAAAGTCATGACAGCCATTGACTGAGAACATAAATAATCTTCTAAAACGTCATTACCCGAGCACCGGAGGAGGAAAGACTTCAAAGCAGCGAGAACTGTGTGGCAAATTATTTCTGGTGGTAAAGCACGGAAACCCAAAGAACACAATGAATGTAGCACCAGAGCTATCAGCATGCTGTGCGTATATGTGAACAACAGCACATAGTATGCAGACAGTTGTTTTGGCTACAGTGGGAGGGTGGGCCTGGTGATTGTGGTCCAATGAATGGATCATTGAGGCACACGGAAAAAGTGACCAGCAGGAAATGAGAGGAAAGCCGAGCGGTCTGGGATGCAAAGAACTGCCTCGGTTTCTAAGAATGGAGTTCTTGTGTTCCCTTGTAGAATTATACACAACACAGTAACGCATTATTGCCCACATATCATTCGTGGTTTTACTAAACATCCTAAATATGTTGCTGACACTGAATATGAAATTATAAATGTTGACTCTAACCAACACTTGCAAAATGTCCTTTAATCTGCTCACAATTACGGCTTGTGTCAAGCAAAAGCAAAAGGTTTTTTTTCTGAATGTATTATAAATGTTGGAAGATGATTGCATCAGGAAAAAAAGAGAGTCTAGTGCAAAATCTGTGCCAAATTAAAACATGCGGATCCATCAGCCGTGACAACCCACTGGAAGAAAGGGGCAGCCCGGAGCACTTTTACGAATTATGAACTAAAGAAGTCAGTTTTTGTGTTAATAGCAAGCAGTGGCCATTCTCCAACTGGAAGTTTTACTTCATTTCTTCTGTAAAATTACAATTTAGAGACTAGTCTCCACTTATTACCACCAGCAAACGCTTGTGTGTATCGCTGCCATTATTTCAGTCTGTAAACATGATAGGTCAGAAAGTTTTTAATGAATTCTGATAAAAAAAAATTTTTTTTAAAAAGGCGTGTAAAGTGGACTCATGTTAACAATCTATTAAAATCTGGCTTCTATCCACTAAAGTCTTCAAGGTCCTTTAATATCATGTCACATTTGACCTGTGACCTCTCCTTCAAGGTCAATCGATTTAACTGAATGTCAAAGTGATAATAAAACTATATAGACCTGTTGCCATTACTGTCATTGCTTATACTGACACCATAGGGGCATATAGGGGATGATATATGGGGATTCTAAATATCACTTACTTTGGACCTTTGACCTCTTCTTCAAGGTCAAATAATATCAAACTTTCATAAAATGTCTCATCTTTCAAGCTACACTTAAAAGCATTTATTGAACGATTCTGGTATATGGGGACTCTAAACATCACATTATAGTTTGTATCTAAATATATCACATTTGACCTCTGACCTCACTTTTACATTTCACATCTGCCTTTCTTTCAGGTTGACTTGTTTAAAGAAAGAGAATGAGTTGCCTAGTTAAAAATACACTGCAGTATAATATTGCATTATAAAATAAAGCTATTTGTCCAGTTATTTACAAATCATACCATCGCCTACTCCTTCAGAAGGTTTCTGTAATCAAAGTAAACATCTTCATGCATCCCTTATCTGATTTTAACTGGACTACAAAGTTTTCAAAGTACATTTAAAAATGATTAATAATAATTATTAAAATTATTTAAAAATATTCCTGGATGGAGTAGAGCTTGAATTAGCTCCAGAATTTAAATATCTTGGGGTCATTCTAGACCCAACATTATCCTTCAAGAGTCACATAAATAAAGAGTCCCAGGTACTTAAATTTAATAATGGAAATTTTAATCATATACGTAATAATTTAAATATGAATGTTGCAAAAACTTATTTTTACTCAATGATCATCTCTCATATGGACTATTGTTTGACGTCCTGGTCACTTGCTTGTCCAACAACACTTAAAACTATTGAAAACATTTATAAAAAGTTTAAAACTACTTGACAAAAAACCGACTTCCCACCACCACTGCCATGTGTTAAAAAAACATAAATTACATGAACTTCAATAACTTAGTGAAACTTAAAAGATTGTGTTTAATATATAAAGTCTTACACTAGCTTGCTCCACCACCACTAAAGCAGTTCATTAGGCATAAAGAAAGCTCAGACAGGACCACTCAAGCTTCAACCCGAGGAGACTTGTTTATACCCCACAGACGGACAGCATTTGGACAGAACGTCCTTTCTGTTTAGGGTGGCCATCTGTGGAACAGTCTTCCTCAACCCATTAGAGAATGCTCGACATTCAATTTGTTTAAGGCAAAGGTTAAAAACTGGTTATGGACAAATCAAGTGTGTGATCATGTATGAGTTGTATAGTTTTAATGTTTTATTTGGGAACAGAATGGTGTGTATGTGTGAGTTTGGTGATGGAGTTTTTATTATGAATGAATTATGCATTTTTTATGAATTATTATGTCTATTTTTTATGGACAACAGATGGAAATTAAATGGCTATAATCTGGTATGTTTACATTCATGTAATTTTTTTACATTTATGTTCATTAACATGCACGGTTCTAAATAAATAACATAAAAAGAACAAAGAAAACCAGACAAAAATTTACAAAATATGAAATGATTTCCCTGAAAGTAAAACCTGCTCAGAGAGTGAGCTGCTTTGACGGAGGTTTGCGCTCTCTGACTGCTTCTTGTTAAGAAATACTTAATCTTCATCCATTATCTCCACTTGTTTTTTAAAAAAAAAAAAACATCTGCAGATAAACGGTTTTCTTTTGCAACACCAGGAAGGACGCTCGTCAGAAATGTGACTTATCGGATAATCGAGCAGCAGCAGAAATAGTCTTCAGAAGGGAAGTGATGGGGCAGAAATTGAATCAAATAGCAATGTTAACATTTATTAAAATGCTCTACATTACTTTTACAGTTTATTTCACCAGAAATTAACAATGTGAAAACTAGATACATGTATGAATTTTAATATACACTTTTTAATGCCTTCCCAACATGAGGTTCCACCCAGCAAATATCTTACATTTCCAACTAATCAGCAGCCCAGGAGCCAGAGGCAAATTAAAGTAGGTTAATAAAAAAATGGCATATGCCTCACTCACAGAAATCAATAGAGGCTGACAGCTGGACAGGCTTCTATTGATTCAACATAGTCAGGCATGAACAAAAACTATGACAACCAGGGAAGACACCGATATGATGTTTGATACACACTGACCCACTAGTCCTGTATTTTTCTCTTCATCTGTCTCGCAGTGAAAGTATTTTGTGTTTGGGAGCTCTTGCAATGAAAGGCAGCTCTGAGCGCACACGAGGCAACACATGTTCCACCAGACAGGAAGAAAAGGGTCTGCACATGTTGACATAGATGCTCTAGGAAAATACACACACACACATACACGCACACTCACACAGCATGGGGGTGTACAACAGCGGCAGGCTTTAAAGTCCGCGTGCAGCCAGGTGGGAAATTCCCTGGTGGCAGTCCCAACATACCAAAGGCGCCAAGTTATTGCTGCTCGGCGCATCCTAGTGTCGGTCAGGTGGGGCTTTACTGTCGGCTTTCTTGTGTGTGTATGTGCATTTTTCTGCGTGACAGACAAGAAGTCAGGAGCTCTGACATAAATGGATGCTGTCACGACTCCATGGCCCTTCCCTTTGAGTTTCTCACAGCCCGATAGAGGACAAAGGTGTGTGTGTGTGTGTGTGTGTGTGTGTGTGTGTGTGTGTGTGTGTGTGTGTGTGTGTGTAGGGGCAAAAACACAATTAAAAAGAACAGCTGTTAGGCTGTGTGTTTGATCCCTAAATGGGATCTGAGACAGGCTCCAGGCATACGCGTCACCGATTACACAGCAGATTACAGTCACACTAAAAGAGATCACACACTTTGTGTACTGTAGCTGTTCCCAGAGGGACACAGCAAAATATCTAAACATTAGTTACTCTGTCATGCTAACAGGCTTCTTAACAATAACAAACTGTCAAACCCCCGGCTCGTGCTAATGCGACCCCTCCGGACCTGCTGCAGCCATGATAAAGTCATTTGATCTGACACAGAGTGTGAAGATTTTCAGCGCTTTCACAACAAACTTTTTGAAGTTTTGGGTGTGTGAGATAACAAGTGAGTGGACGGTATGTACTATGTGTTTGCATCAAGCACTCGATAACATTGTGGAGGTGAAGATCTGCTGCAGGATTTGGGGGATCTGCTTGGTGTCCATGGCGACAAAGGACCTCCCTGCTGGAAGGGTCTTTTGGAGTCTGAAACAAAAGAACACGAAGAGAGAATGAAGATAGAGGTCAAAGAAAGGAACTGAACTTTAGCACTGGAATTGTTTCCCAAAATTAAAAGAGACTACTTGTATTTGCTGTGTGAGCTGGCACTACATATTCCCATTAAAAGAATACAGTGTATGAGTGTGTGTGGATGAAAGAGATGCCTTTCACTCGGTGGAGCTCAGCAACAAGACAACAGAGCCACCTCCAATGCCTTTGAATCATTTGTATAAACCCATTTACTCTAATGAGCCTCTGCCTTTGTTCTTTCATTCAACCGTGTCCCTATGCATTTCTCCTCTCAGGACATACACACACATGGGCAGTCAACAGGGATATAAAATTAACATTCCCAAAGTGTTGCTCAAGAAGGAAAATTATATAACTCTAAGGGCATCCATAACCAATTCCAGGGCTTCCAGGGCATGACAAGATATTATTTTAATTTCTATCTTCAAATTCTGACAGCCTGCCCTTAAAGAGTAGTTGACTTCTTGTCTCTTTCTATCTTTGCTTTTTTTCTGCTCTTCGTGAGCAAAGCATAGAACAGGTTTATTATCTTCTGAAGCTCCTGGAGCTAAAGACTGCATTAAGCCAGGCAGTTCTTCAACGAGTTTAAAGCTTCAAGGCCTGCAAGCCTCAACAGAGAGGATGTATGTCTGGTAAGGAGCTACAGTAGAAGCCTGCAGTAGAATGGCAATGAGGATGAGGAGGAGCAGGTTAACGAGTACACTTGTTGCGCTTTCATCTGGCCTGGAAACTTGATCTGAGACAGGACAGTAAGGACAGGCAGCAGATGGGGATGCTGATGTTTTAATACAGCCCAAAAGGAGCTACTTTAACATTCTGGAATTGAAATTGAAGATTTAAAACCTTAACTAAATAAAAATTGGTCAATCTCTTCTTCAGGGTTATCTCCTCATTCATCTCTGGGACTGCTTTCAGTGATAACCGCAGCACTGAAAGCACTGGAGGGCTCTTTCTGTCTCCTGGCCCTTCTGTCTCTAATATGCCACTAGATTCCCTCTGGTGTGTCAAAACAGTAACCCTGCACTTTGCTTTCAATCAGAGGGAGTGGACAAATTTTCAGCAACATGAATCTGTGGGAAACTAGGGATGGGAATTGAGAACCGTTTCTAGCAGTTCTATTCCTAGTATTTCTATTTGTTTAGTCTGCTTGCTTATCAGTTCCACTCGCACCTGCACTACAATCAGCTGATTTCAGATTGTGTGGCTGAGGAGGAAAATAGAGCCACGGTCTACAGCGTGGATAAGGACTTTTATTTTTATTGCACAAAAGCATGAGGGCGCAATGGTAAAGTGCAAACTGCATCCAGGACAGAAACAACCACATTATGCTGCTAACACAACTTAGGGTCTTTGCAAGGATCTGCACAGACAGCATGCTAACCCTTAGTTAGCCAAGAGCCTAGAGTGATGATATACATAAGTAAATACCGACCTCAGCCCTCAAAGTGGAGCCAATGAGATCATTATTAACAATAGTTCCAGATTTCAAAGCACTCACTGTGTAAATTTGAGGTCCATTTTTAAATTGCAACGACACAGGTGCAAGCAGACATAAGCAATCAGAAAAATAAAAGCAGTGTTGGAAGCAATACAGAGGTGCATGAGAAGATGACCTTGAAGAGCAAACTAACTAAATGCAACTGTTTGGAGCCCCAGAACTTAAGAATTGTCTCATGATGAGTTCTTTGCATCTTCATGTTCCTTCATCTACTCCTCTTTTCTTTCCATCTCTTTTGCACTTTGCTCGCTCTTAGTTAACTCCACCCAAGTTATCATCATCTTCACCTCCTTACCTTTCAGCCTGATCGCCAAGGGAGCCAATGAAAATGGCAAAGGCATTGACCTGTGGGTCAGAGGTCAAGACTTGGGCAAAGCGCTCGGGCCGAATGCCGTAGCGCTCCAGATTAGCGTCGCTCAGCACCACCACAAAGTGCTCATCTGCTTCTTCTCTCGCCAGCTCCTTGATGCTGGCCTCCGTCCCCTCCAGAGTGTAGTCACCACTCATGCAGAACTGAGAGTGGGCATGCATGACCTGAAGTGCAAGGAAAAGGCTGATTAATAAAGAGCAAGCCACAGATTTTATTTATCTTCATACTTGCAGCCCCAAATGACATCGTTTGGAGATGTTCATCAGTTTGTGTGGCTACTTTGACTTAATGTACAATTTCATGTGAACACAGATGTTAAAGAGAAAGAAATGCATGCAAAACACTTTTTGCAGTCCAATTGGGTGAGCAAAACAAAGCATGAGAATACCTTCAGGACTTTAAGTCTCTGCTTGTTATTCTTGGGGATTTTGTCTGCCGTGACCAGTTCAATGTCGTAGCCATCGCCCGAGTGGCCCACTATGTCATACTGTGTAGAGAAAAGAGTTAAAAGACACAAAAGACACATTGTTACAACATTTAAGTAAAGACTGTAGTGATTTGACTTGTTACTTAACTTGTAATGTAACAGTCTCCCCGACAGAGGTGTGAAGGTGCAGAAAGGTCACATTGTAAATGCGAACATTGCAAGATGTTAACAGTGTCAGAGGTTTACATGTCTCCACCAGACCATCCATCATAACTGACTTACATAAGGCAGCTCACACTCAGCCTGACACTGTGAGCCCCCAGGCAGCTATTTGAAGACCCAGGTATTATGTATATGAGCCACATCTAATAAGGGCAGTTATGACTGTGGTGGTCAAAGGTATGCGACTGTGTGTCTCATGCATCCATATCACTGTTGCTGGGTAAGAAGACCTTTTGGTGCTGTCAATTTTGTATTGTTTTTCCAGGGTTTATTTTGCTACATGACTCATAAAGTCTAACACATAGCTCTAAATCTAACCAGGTTCAATGTCACCAAAATTAAGGCCATGTCAATCCACAGTGGGCGTCATCCACTTCAGGATTGTGAATGGGTGCCTAAAGAGTGTACTAAAAAAAGGCATCAAACTATAAAGTGACACGTTTGACTATCGATGGTGGATGATTGTAAGATGCAAACACGCATATATTGCGAAACTGCGGGCAGCACGGGCACATGGTGACAGTGTATATATCTTATGCGTTACCAGACGCTCTTTTATGTAAGGAGTGTTATTCAAAGACAGCAGTGAGACTGAAATGCCATGTGGAACACTGAAAAATGTGTATGCGAGTTTGTGTGATATGTGATCAGTATTAGGTTGGCTTGAGTGTCATTAAGGGGCCAAGAAGTCTGTCTCTCTCCAAAACTTTTTTTGTATGCACTCCCGTCTCCCCCTGTCTCTTTTCATGCTCCATCTCTGGACCAATTCCACTTCTCGTGGCTACAACGGACTCCTGATTTTCCATGAAAAGCGTCAACTGTATTACCAATTCCTACCCAATAAAGCACTGACAAATTAGATCACAGTGTGGCATGAGAAAGGCTTTAAAAGACACACTGCATGTTTTGATATACGAGGGTGCAATTCAGGAATTATGGCAATAATGAATTTCACACCAGAAACAAAAGCTTGAATAGTTATTATTATTTCATGTACAACTACTTGATACTTAGGTTAAAATAAAGATTTACACTAAGTATATAGGGTATGAAGTGTACTATATAAAAGTGTACTAACACAAAGGAAGCACAGTAATTGTTCATGTGAAGTAAACTCCATATACTGGACATGCAGCTGTTATCTATCACCTGACTTAGGAAAAGTCACATAGAATCTTCTGTATTGTGATGCGCGATGTAGCGTTTTCACCTTGAATTTGTGCTCATAGTTCTCAAGAGCTTCCATGACCATACAAACAGCTTCCATGGAGCGCTCCAGCCTGCCATCCACACCGTTGAAGCGGTACATGCTGCCCGACACGTCGGCCAACACCCGTAACCGCTTGGGCTTCTGCTGAGGGCTGCCCAGCTGTAAGCACACATAAGTTACTAAATAAATAAATACATCAGCAACTACTGATTAAATCGAGCTAAAATCCCTACTTTAGATGGTGTAGTTACATAAAAATAATATTTTACACAAGGTCGGGATTTCAAAACTGGGTGCAATTATTTCAATGTAGCTCAGCTCAGACTAAAACTATGTAAGACTTGGAGCTAAAGACGTTAGAAAAACACAGTATTTATATTATGGGCTAGTGTGTGTTGGCATGATTAGTGTGGGAACTACTTTTCTGCTGTGTGCATGCGCGCACAGATGACAGCACAAGACGTAACTAGAAACTGAGTGAGCTGGAGCAGAAACAGCAGGGTGTAATAATAATCTCGCACACACACACACCGCTGGAATGTACCGCCTGACAGATAAAGGTCAAAATTATGTGTGACTGTGGGAGTGAGTGTAGCAGTCTTTGGAGGTGTGGCAGATTCAAAAATAAGAAAGTTTCAAGAAAAAACAAACACCTCTGGTTCCAGCTCTCCCCTGCGTTTATATATAGCCTTCTCTCCAGTCAGTCCATCGATGATCTTGGTGTCATCCAGCTCTCCCAGAGCCTGGTTCTTTAACCACTGCCGCTCCTTCCCTTTAGCCTGAAAGCACATCCACCAAATTAGAATAAGTAAGCCAAATATGCCTGGGAGAGATGATTTTGTTTTGATGGAGGTTTTTAAAGATGACAGAGGAGCTCAAAGTTCACCAATACCAACAACTAGCACTCACACCCAGCAAACAAAAAGAGGCTAAGGCTACATTGAAAAGGCTACACTGAATCTGTGGCCCCATTTCTTGTGATGTTACAAGGAGAAAACCTGAAAGGAAGAGCGCCATCACTCCCTGTCCTGCCCTCATCTTTCCCTCAGCGGAAGGAGATCTTTAGGGAGAAGACGTCAAACAAAGAGGAAACCCGATGTGCCTCTCCCCATTCTCTTTAGGTCACTCCTGCAGTTACTGGTGAGTCAGGATATTTGGTTTCGTGTCTTGAGATTTTCTTTACACGGCAAATGACGTGTGAGCACACAAAGAAACAAAGAATAGCCAGCAATAACAAGGTTGTTTGACTTCACATCATTGATAAGTAGTAACAGATGTAACAACTACTTTCACCTTTCTGAATGCAGTGCACAGTAGAACAGCACAAACAAAGGTAACGGAACCAGATCCCTTTTTTCCTCACTATGACAAACGATTCTGACATAAATGGATGCACATTCTCTTCGTTCATGACGCAACAACATTTCTCAAAGCAGGCACAAAAATTACCTATCCAGAAATACAACAGACTGAAGTTATTACTTCTGGTGCTTAAGCGCATCTTATTTAAAATACAAGGTGTCAGCTTCAATTTAACTATTCAGTTCAATTTTGTTCACATGGTGCCAATTCACAACAACAGTTGGCTCAAGGCGCTGTTTTTTTTAACTATGTTGAACTGTAACTGAAAGAGGTGTTGTGTTAGTGCGGCACCTAAATGTCATATAGGGCTGCCACAAACGATTATTTTGATAGTCGACTAGTTACCGATTATTTTTGCGATTAGTCGACTAATCAGATCATCATCCATTGGACATACAGCGTACAGCTTATTGCACCAGCAGCATCTGGTCTTATATAACTATCATTAGCTTACAGCTTGAAGTGTTTGTGCTAACTAAAAATAAAGACAAGATGGTAGTTTATTAATTTTTAATGAAATTTGCAGATTGTTTCGGTGAAGTTTAATAAACTCCTTGCTATCTAAAATATAACAGGACACCGGAGTAAATTCTCCAGCATCTCACACTTCTGATAATCAGCTGTCTGCTTGACAGTTTTAGCTGTGCAAAAAACTATAACTTTAATCTCAGCCAAACCGATTTACTCAGGAACAAATAAAATACTAAAGAAAGCCAAACAATAACATTTTTAAGTTATCTAAGTGACTTATATATATGTTTAACCTGACTAGCGAAAGACGGCGGTGGGTTTGAAAACGATTTGCCGGGAGTCCGGTGTTCTCACGGCTCTAGTTAGCCTTGCCCCCGCCTAGCTAACGAGCTAGTGGGTAACAGACGTCTCCGAAAACGTCGGAGCGCTTTTGAAAATATGTGGTGTCTTGATAAACTGAGCAGATATTTGAGGTTTACACAGCTACATTCTCGCCTGAAAATATGTTAAACGTTTATTTTGTGACCCAGAAAGAATAATAAGAGTAAAGTTAAAACTAACTAGCTGCCGCCATTGTTGACAGCTGCGCTATGAATTCTGGGACACAGCTTCTTCTTCTTCGGGGTTTAACGGCAGCTGGCATCCTTGTACATGCAGTGCTGCCATCTTCTGTTTCAGTCCGTTATTACACTCTTAAATCCTACTACTCATTCCTGCGTCCTTTGTGATCTTACAAAGCTTCAAACGATGCGTCGACTATTAAATTAGTCGTCGACGATTTTAATAGTCGACATAATCGTGACTAGTCGACTAATCGTGGCAGCCCTAATGTCATATTAATGAAATGTCTTGACGCAAAAGCCAGGATACTCTTCCTCATCAATAACGTAAAATAAAAACACTTTGCGGTCAGCTTGGACTGATATCTTACTTTTAGAACTTCACAATGCGGGCTGAGGGTTTGTATGTTCCAAGCCAGTCTATTGTTGAGAGGTAAATAGAGAGGGTTTTCCCTGAGGAAAACCCCAGCAGATGGAAACAATACACTATCAGTTTATTGAAAGCTTGCCATTTATAGTTGTGTGCGTGTGTATGACTCCTTTCAGTCCCTCTGTAGGAATGGCATAAAAATTGACATGACTTCATAGCGTCTTGCCTGCTGGGTTTTAGTGGGATCTCCATCATCTTTCCAGTGAAGAAGCTGCCCAAGGCAATAAGGACAAACGCAAATTACAACCAAACTCATGTTCAAAGCCCACCTGGATGGAAAACAAAATCACACACCCTCCACAGCACAACACATGCAAAAAAACACCTTCACACCTGGATAGAAGAATAATAGAGCACAGTTCAGTGTCACTGCTCTGTAATCGTGGCTGCATGATTGCGTTCTTGTCAGATGCCCATGAACGCACACAAACAAGCACACCCACCAGAGACGCTCGCACTAAGACGCCCAAACAAAGGGCGGAAAGTGGAAACCAAAATAATGAAACGTAGACAATACCACCACTCCCTGTGATCTTAGTCCGCATTCTCTTTAACAAATCAGAGTGCTCCTGGGGGACAGCGCCCCCTCTTTCCGTGTCCAGCACCACGTGCGAGGATGTATAAGGTCAACCAATTGTCATCTGCTGACTTTATGACCCCATGACTTTTTTCAGTGTCAAGCCGTACAATAGAAGATACTGCAGCCTGAGTTGGTGGTGTTTAAATAAACTGATCTGACAAAGACGAGCCTGTCATTACAAGCAACCACTTAAACCAGCAAATTGGGAATCTTGGCTTTCAATATTTTACTCATTTTATAATATTGGGACTGAGCAATAAATAAAAAAAGCTACTGCAGATGAACCTGGATGTTGCAAAAACACTGATACCTTCAAACAAGGAAACTTGTGTTAAACACAAACAGTGTGTGGTGTGACGCCAACCTGTAAACTGTCCAGGATGATGCGGAGTGACTGAACTTGTCTCCTCACGGCACTGGAGAAGCGCTCGTATGTAGCAGCATCGTATTCACTCATATCAATCTCCTTCAACCTGAGACAAAAAGTCAGACAAAAACAGAGGGGAGGGGGAGATGCATGGCATTAGCTATGACTAAACCTTTATTGTCCAAATTAACACCGTGTGCATCTTGAGGCAGTGAGATACAGAAAGAGTACAAACAGAGCCCTTTTTTCATTAGCCCAGGACACCTGAGAACAAACTGACAAAGGGTCAGTGTTTCTAAATATGAACCCATGTGCTCTCCAGAACACACCTGCGGGCATCAAGACACAGGTGCTCCTTTCTCCCCAAGTCATGCTTATCGGTGTAACGCCAGCGTGCAGGTACTTTAGTATTACTTATACACAAAGACACAGAACCTTCCTTAAGCGTGGTAAGGGTCCTTCATGCTGGTGTGTGTATGTGTGTGCAAAGTGGGTGAAATCCTCTGACACGCATTTGAAACCTTTGGTGACGACTAGACCATCAACACTGCAGACATTCAGAGCAGTGACTTAAAAAAAACAATGCAGGGATGAGAGTAAGCCTTATCTATCACAGGCTGCAACAAATCTGTGTGGATCGGTTGTGTGTGAGCAGATTCAGACAAAATACTGACACAGACTGCACAGGCATCGGCTATGCAATCAAAACAGATCATGCATTCACACACACACACACACACACACACACACACACACACACACACACACACACACACACACACACACACACACACACACACACACACATAATCACCAACACTTGGATGGCAGTTTTAAAAAATGTTAATTCAGGTAAGTCATGCAGTATAAAGACAAGAATTTGTAGTTTGAAAAGCTAATATTTTTAATTTGCATCCACTCAATTTGTTACTTCCTATTAGAAAAAAAGAAACTGCATCTCAGGCTTCATTAACGGAGGCTTCAAAAACAGTATATAAGTGACAATAATGATATTTGTTTAATGAATGCAGTTTCATGATGCAAAGCATTTATAATTGATCTATGATCACTAATGTGACGACTGGGGCCTTGTAGTGAAAGGGTTGCTTATTGGAATATATATTAATAAACGGGTTTGCTAAAGCCTAAACCTTATGACTAACCTTAATATATAATTTAATTTCTTTGAATTAATTCCATGAGCCTTTTTTGGTTTGTATTCTTCTGGAAAACAGTAAATAACGACAGAATTATTATTATGATTATTTATTTCTTTAAAACTAAATTGGATTGAATTAAAGGCCTTTATCACTTGTGCACATCTGATCTGAGACCAGTCTAAATTTGTTTGCAGAGTATCCCCTGTGCACATCCTCACTGTTTGTGAATGACCTTCCTACAACTTATATAAATAAATGATACTTCAAAGTTTTTACTACTCAGCTGTTAGGTATACCACTCATCATATCATATTAGTGTCCTCTTGGACTCTTGGAGTAGAATCTATGTCAAATGAATCTAAAAGGAAATTAAATAAAGGTAAATGTACAATAAACAAACTTGATCTGCATTAAGTAATATTGGACCTACACACACAGCCATTTTGTTTGTTTCTGTGTATTCTTACTGCGTCGCGTCAGTCCACAAAACAAGAGCAACGCCTTCCTCCACACATTCCTATGTGTGTGTATACGTGCATCAGTGTGAGGATGCATGCAATGGATGTGGCGAGCAGACACTCTGGCCAGCGGCCGGAGCTATTTCCTGCAAATTCCTGAACCTTGACTTATACGGGAGAGAGCAACAGAGGGTTTTTACTAAATAAGGTGGAGCCAGCACACTGAAAACTCACATACAACAACCACAAAAACAAAGACTTAAGGTTGACACTCCCTGCTACTAAACAAGCTGTCCTCCACTCAAAAAAGCTCCTTTTCCAAGGACAGAGACAGTTTTATTTTCCTATTTTTCATAGTGTTTTTTCACTCCTTTATTGTCATGCATTTAATTAGAGGAACTGAGCGGTTAAATAGGCCTTTGTGGTCGCCTGACTATTAACTGTCACATTATGTGAGCATTTCTTTACAGTCATTGCAATGAAACTTTGAAATACAGTCCTCACTAAACAATAACAGCTTTGTTAACACCCATTAAATCTTGAAGCGGGACACCCATTTTTTGGATTTGGATCTGTTACTCTGGTATTTAGGAAACCTCATTCTTGTGTATTTGCTTTGGATTTCCTTAAACATAACTACAATCGTGTTTCCAAGCTGAACCAGTGGGTGAAGTGTAAATTTAACAACAATGTGATTATTTGTAAACGAATCTCATTGAAACCACACTGGAAGACTTCGGGAAATGAGAGGAACAACTGCAACTCAAATGTTTTCCAGTTTTTCCAGCTTCCTTTCCTGCAGTTTTTGTTCATAATCCATCAAATGTTTTCAGTGTTTCCTGCAGCACAGGAAAAACTGTCTGCAGGCCAGACATGACATGCTGAGGTCTGATATCAGCGCTGATGTAATACATGCAGAATGTGATGTGGCTCTGTTTTGCAGAAATAAAACAAGAGGTCTCCAAAAAGGCGTCTGGATCTGTTGTTCATTTGTGGTGCATTTTCAAATATAAGTGTTAGTTATAGCAGCTGCACTCAAACCCACCAATACCATTATGGATGCTGGCTTTTAACAGCAAGCTGGATACTCCTGCACCTATTTAGACCAAAGGATGCTTTTTCCATGATAACAAAGGGAAATTCAGATTTTGATTGGACCATCTTAAATAAACTGCATTGCAAACCAGCATTTCTTCTTGTTTATATATAACTTTTGCTTTTCTTGCATTTGAGGAGGCAGATCCTAAGGGCACGTCCATAAACCCACTATGGAATTCAAATAAAAAGTAAGGATGCAGCAAGAGTGAAACTGTAAAGAAGGGGATGACTGCAAAGAGGAAAGAACAAGGCCACAAAACACAGGATCGAAATGGGAGTTTTACTATTTCTGGTGTCTTTCACCACCACTGAAAACAAGCAGAAGATCTTTGTGTGTGTGTGTGTGTGTGTGTGTGCGTGCGTGCGTGTGTGTGTGTGCGTGTGTCACTTACTTAAAGGTTTCTGCAAAGATCTTAGTTTTACTGATGCTTAACTTAAAGCTAAGTAAACATATGACTTTGGACACACATTGGGAAGGAATAGGAAAAAGGCTGACAGTGTTGGCTTGTGGCATGGAAAAGAAAAATCAAGCAGCCCTTTATTTCTATGTCTGTGCTTACCTGTTAGAGTGACATGTGAGTGAATAGCAGAGCGTCAGCATGTAGCTACTAGATATTATCTGAGCTTAGTGATAGACAGGCTGAAGACAAGGCAGAGGAAAAAATCTGAAAAACAAGGCTATTAAAATGGGTAAAGACAGAGGGAAGAGAAGAGGGGGAAAGAGAGAGAGAGGAGAATCTGAGAGGTTGTCCTCTTGGGGTGAAAGCAGGCAGTGTATGAGAAGGGCAATGCAGGAAAGAGGGAGGGGGAAGGGGGGACTGTTTGAAGCTAAAGTGAACAGAGACGCCCTTCATGGATGAGCTGGTGAAAGGGATGCCCTCGCAACCTAACCTCCTCTGAAGTGAATATGGGCTCAACGCGCGCGCACACACACACACACACACACACACACACACACACACACACACACACACACACACACACACACACACACAGAGGTCGCCCAGTGGGATCTACCACTGTGCTTTACCATCCAGCTGGGACAGAGCACCCTGGAGTTGTTTGGTGCACCATACCTGGGGTGGCAGATGGCCCACACATGCGTATTGTTCACACACATCTGGTTCACATCACATTACATTATACACCTCAAACACTTCAGTTGTTGTTTTTTTGCAACAATCAGTGAACAAAAAACCAACAAAAAAAGTCTGCACACCTCTCCATGGTTTTGCACCTGTGGCTTTAACTCTATTTGGATATGGTTAAAGATCAAGCGTGCTTTCCAACACCGCACAGCTATTTTTAGCATGCATTTCATGCATATTACCTTTCTTTGAAGGCCTTTTCAGCCATTTCTCGGGCTGCCTTACGGACCTCTTCAGGAACCGCATCCTTCTCCACCTGTGAAACCTGATAGACCTTATGCCCTGCATCCAGACGATAGGGGCCTCCCTTGCCACCCAGCCCTGCTGTGTCTCTGCCACCTGTAGAGAAAGCGATTCAAACTGTTACAAAAGCTTTTGTCATTAATAAACGTTGACACAAAAGTATTGCCATACCTCACAAATGTAAAACAGATCATTATCATTATAACTGACTATATAAAAGTTGTTAATTTTCTGTTGACAGACGATACATTAACTGACTGTTTCACCACTACGACTGATGACGATTTTTCCTGCTGCCTTCTAAATTTGACCACATCTTCTGACTATCAAAAGGACCTATAATGCTGCTAACAAGCTTGACATTTTTATTTTGGAGTTGTCTGTGCCTCTTTATCTTATACTAGGCCTCTGACTGAAAGAAGCCATTTCAGCTTTGTTCGGATTGGTTGCCATCATAAACGGGTTTGAACAGCAGGTGGGTGAGGCTTCTATCTTCACAGCCAGAGATTTGTGCCTGAGATGACGATACATAATCTATGTTGTGTCTATGATGCAGACTAACCAAGTTCAGCAATTTTGCTGCCAAAACACTAGTTGGTGGTGGAGTTTCTCACTTCAAGGGGATCCATTCTCTTCCAGTCAATTTAAAAAAAAAATGTTAGCAGAAGAAAGAGTCGAAAATGTGTACGTGTCATGCATGTAGTTACAATACTAGGGACATATTAATAGGTTACATTACAAGTTATGGCAATGGGTTTATAGAAGGGTCTGTGGGTATATTTGGACACATGGATTTTTTTATTTCATGCATGTTACAATGTGGTCAGAAACAACTGTTACCTGTGCCTCCCGCCCACTGGTTACCCCCGACATGAGGAGCATTGTGGGGGTCGATCTTGCCATGTTTCGGGGCGCTGACATCTAGGCCACTGTCCCTCTGGATGGTGATCTGCAAGGATAGGATGAAGGGAAGCCATGTGGGTGATGTCATAAAAATGCCATAAACATCCAACAAAAACATGCTCATTTTTTGATACAAAATAACAAAAATGCACAAAATAATAATTCGGTATTTCTATTATTTTAGAGTAAATTGAACTGACAAGCTAAAAATGTATCCATATTATGAAAAAGAATCTAAGTATGTGTGTTCAAATAGCACCTAATGTAATCCGGTTTGAGATCAGCCATCGTTTCTTGATAAGCCCAGATCATTTCTCTAAAACCTTTCTCTGCAATGTCATGATGCACTGAAATAGTATGTGAGGGCCATACACACAACCAAACAGTCAGTTACATAGCATTATCAGTCAAAGCATTATTAGAATTAAAGGAGTCTCTATCATTTAGTAGTGAGGTCTTAGCAGAATGGACAGAATAAGCTCTGTCTTTCTCTGCAGGGGGGATAATAGACGGAGGGAAGGAGACACAGAGGTTAAAACTTTGCTTTTTTAGGTCCATCTCAATGGCACCATCAGAGCCAAAATCAGCATGCTGCCTCTCACTCTGAGGCAGGGCGGCAGGCCAGAGTCTGGCACGCTTGAAGGACTGAGAGAGAAACGGGTAGTTCAGTGAGAGACTAAGTGTATCCCCTGTGGTTCAGCTGCATTCTTACATATTGCAGGAATTCAAATGGTATCTGTGGGGGGAAGAAGGTCTCTTGTAAACTGTGGAAAGCGCTGTGTGTATGTTCAAGTTATTATCTTTTCTGCTGTTGATTTTTTTATTGGTTTCTTGTGGTCTGAGCGGTTAACAGAGACTTATCTGAAGGAAGCGGCAGTTTGCTGAAAAGGACCCCTCCCCTCCCCGTCCTCACCCAGTATCCACGCATCACACTGACACACAGAGGAGCTCAGAGCTCAGGCTCTGTTCCCACACCTGCACGAAGCTGCTGGATCAGCAGTGCTCTCTATATTTAGTTCAGATTAGGAGCACCAGTCTGATACACAGCAAGTCAGATTATACGGACAAGATAATGCCCATTGTGGTACTGAGCTTAAACAGAGGCTCTATTATTGATGACGGGATTTACCAGACAGACAACAGATGTTTGGATCCTTGAACAGATTCACATTAACGTTTTAAATCAAGCTGCACCTCTAAACACGACTTACACAGCAGCAGCTTGTTGATCACAATATAAGGTCCTTCTAAATCATATCCTGTGTTGTCAACCTTTGAGACACCAATGGGGAGCATAGTTTAAAATGAACATCAAGTTGCTTTCAATAAGAACTGAAAATAGCGATTAAGACCATGAACTCATCTTCAAAGTGTCTGCTAAATTCACAAAATGAGAGTCATTTTTCCACAGTCTATACAAATGCAACCAGATGAATCGCCCCTGCTGGCCATTAGAAAGAATGTATACAGAATGTATAATAAATTCCAATTTTAAATTTAAGACAACTAACTGTTAAAGTGTGTCTAAAAGTAGATTTGACATTTCTGATATTATTTTATTGCAGACAAAGTCACTCGTCAGCCTTAAAATAATAAGACAGAGGGAGACTGGAGGTAATGTAGAGCATGTGTCACCATTACAACGTGAGAGCACAGATGGAGGGAACCCTGCGAGCTAGTTCGGGCAGGCAACTGGAGTTGCTCTGCGTCACACACACATAACCTGACCCTCTCTTCACATCACATCACAAACACACCCTCTAAGTTTGGCAGCCTATTTTAGCTCCCATCACCATCTGTGAAATGTCTCTCTGCCTGCTGCTTCAAACCATCCACCTCTACCACGTCTACTCATCAGTCCCAATTTTCATACGTAGCATACTGTGAAGTTATGAGTTCACATATGAGTAACATAGTGACAAATGAACAAACCCGGGAGAATATCTTTAAAAAAAAACCAAATAAAGATCAAAATATTTTATTCACTTTTTCCTTTTCCCAAGGGGAGATGTCCCCAAACCAATCACTGGAGCCAAAATGATGCTTTTTCATGTTGATGCTGATGTGTAGCCTTGCCAAGACCAGCCTCAAAGGTTGCAGAAAACAATTGAGGCCTGGCTATTTAAAGCCATGTTATGGTACTTAGCTTGATGCGCTTGATTACAGTTGGACAACAACATGCGTGACTGGACCAATGTTTTTGATTTTTCATTGATAAATAGCTAATCAAGCCATACATGCAAAGCACAACTTTAAACACTCTCCTTTCCTACAAATAGACACAGACTCAAAGAGTGAGGCACAATCACAGCAGAACTCCAGCTGTGTGGGCTGCCTTACACAACAGACTGACATGAGGATTGCCTATACTGGCCGACAGTAAAAATGTCTTTAAAAAAATTAAGAAGAAACTAGTGTTAACCTAAGTAAGTAGTGAGACCTTGGTCAATAACCAAAGCTCACCTCCACCACTGTAACTGATCTCTGATTACACACTAACGTGCCTCTCAGAAACCTCTGCATAACATGAGCTGTGCTGCACACAGCTGTGTCATGTTGAGGAGTGGGTGTGTGCACTTGATCCACAGGAATATGACTTTAAGGCTTACAGTTGCTATACAAGTGTTTTTGAATGAGATTGCAATCACTCGATAAAAGTTAGTGCCACCAACCTAGCACCATCTCCATCAGGTTAACATCACCTGGTCCCCGATGCTCATTTTGTGCCTGTCATTCACAGAGGAAGTTGAGCTATGGGATTTTCTCAGCGTCGGCTTATTTCAGTAATTGACCCTTGTCATCACACTGTATATAGATATAACACTCTCTCTGCGTCGCAGCATAATTATGAATGTATCACCACACTGCTAATGCACTCTAATCTGACTCTGTCAAACCAGGAAAAGGGTTGAGTTCTTAGAACTCAACTAGTGTTGAGTTCTAATCTAATATAAAATCCATTATAAAAGCTATATTTTGATGTATTAACACAAATTGTTCTCCTTTAATTCCATAAAAGATATTTATGCACACAATAATATTTGTATCATCTTTAGCTGTAATAAAAGGTCATGTCTAAAATCATTCCCTGTTTGCTACATGGTGTGTTACATATAATTTGCATCAACTGATCAGAATGTCTTAATTAAGGATGAGAACTTATCCGTGTAGTGCCCTTAAAACTGGAACGACAGAACAGAAAAGAAGAGAAAAGAAAAACGTACTTACAGTCTCACAAATGTGCTGAATTTAGAGTTTCCAGAATGATTGTTAAAGTCTGAACAGCCTATGGTAATGACACAATGTGCAAGCGTGTGTTCATTATGTCAGTTACTGTTCAGCTTTGAGTGAACTATCGGCTGTCTATTATACCAGGATTAGTAAATGAGTGATTTCAGACACAGCTAATGTTGGCTAAACTATAACTGTTCCAGTAGATCTTGCTACAGCAACTGAATGCTCATTGTCTTTGAAAAACACAACCGATGACCTCCCAGGCTGAAAAATAGATGTCATGGAAAGGTGAAAAAAACATGGACTTTCATGTTAAAATTCACTGAAAAAATGGTTTTAACCTCTATGCATCATCTCACATAAAACTGTACATTCTCTTTTTTATAATTCCTCCATTTGAATGGATTAGAAGGTCGTTGGGGCATTGCTTTACCTCCACATATCCGAGCCACTGAACTGGACCTCTTGAGCATGTTTAAAATAACAGATTTTATAAAGTTTATAACCAGATATGAAGTACAGAAGTACAGAAGCTTAAACACATATGGAATCTCTTACTTATGTTCATATGAAAAAAAATAACACAATATTTAATCCACAGTACATCTCAGTTTTTCAACACGATGAAGAAATTCTGCTGTAGTAAATGAAAAGAAATCTGTCAGGATGACTCTTTGGGACTAAATTGTAATTAATAGATCTGTAAAATTACATAAAAAGTACCTCATTTCCCAAAATGTCTTGTAATAAGAAAACACAGTTTTTGCTTCTTCTTTTTTTCTGTATAGACAAATAGATGAGTAGGAAAAACTGTAAAATAAAGTCCCAAACATATGCCCTTCTTCACATTTTCCAAAGCCGTCCAGTGGGATTTTAAGATATTGGGAGTCTCTGTCGGGCTAATTTGGCCCCCAGGCCTTCTGTTTGACACCACTGATTTAAACAATGACACACAATTGAATTAAAACCCTCGCTTTTTTTGTTTTTTTTAATACTGGCGTCTTTAGCATAAAAGGATTTAAGGATGGATGATTCTTACCAGTCACGCGAAACTGATAAAACCACACACTGTAATGAATGAAATTAAGAGTTGAATGCTTCATGCGTAGAGATGTTTGCTTAGATTAGAATGAATATTCCAAGATTGTATCACGCTTAAGGCAAAGCTTTGATGCAGTTTAAGCAGCTCCATAAGAGCAGGAAAACACCTTTGAAGAACATGCTGAACTGTAAATACCTTATAATACCTGCATTGATGCCAATTTTCATTTATTTCTCCACAGAGTCTGGGTATGTTTGGACAGCATGCTTGATTGGTGCTTGTCTCATGCTAAAGTAATTTTGAATTTCCTGCTCCAAACAAAAGACAGATTACTACGCTCCGTAACCACAATTTGGGGTTTAAAGAAGCACCACAGAACTGAATGGTTGATGTCAAATTACTGCGTAAATCTTGGATAAATGTGTTTGTGTGCTGCTGTTGCTGCATGTCCCACTCATAAACAGTAAGCTAATGATGGCACGTTAGTGCTGAGAGACAGGCAGAAACCAAAAGAAGGAATTAAGGGAAAAAGGACGGCAACGTCAGTGGAGAAAACTTCATTTTTAATGACAGTGGGAATCAACGTTTTTACCCCTCCCTTTTTCTTTCTTTTGCTTTCTACCAGTATATGTCTCTGTCTGTCTCTTATCTGCGGTCCACGCCTTGTCTTCTAGGATAAATAACCTCATAAATTTCTTATTCTCCTTCAGACCACTACAGACAGACAGTGATATAAGAGCGATGGTGTAAGTGTGAATACACACTTTTGAATGTGTGTATGCAGTCACACATAGTGCATGAGGTCAGCCCTTTTCTTGAGTAAATACATGTCCCAGTGTGATGCTGGGCGCACGCTAGTGTGTGGGTGTCAGCATAAATGCGTGCCCGTACACGAACATTCAAAAATATTCTGTGTGTTATATAAAGGTCTCAGTGATTCAGTGTATCTGCAGATTGATGAAGCTGTGTTATGTTGTGTGTGTGCGTGCAGGTTCTGAATGACCTGAAATTAATGGTGTAGGAAACACTGCACCATTAATCAATGGCTTTTCAGTAAAATGAACATATAGATGGATGCATGAATGGATGGGCATAAAGAGATTTCGGAAACTATTATTAAGATCGACTAATTTATGAAGTGAGCAATGTGGTTAGAAAGCTTTGTCTCAGAGTTCAACATGCCATATTTTTATGACTTGTATTAACATACTTGGCCCTATACTTTACAACTGGTACAGCATACAAATATGTCCATTAAGGTGGGACAAAGCATCTGTAGACACTTCTACAGATGCTTTAAACTTTGAGGGAGCAAGCATGTGCATGCATGAATATGAGTGAAACTGAAGAGCTTGTGTCAGTGGGGAAAGGCCAGGTAGATGGAAAAGTGGCACCTGGCCAAACCTGCCGAAAACAGGGAAGTGTAAAAACAACAAATCACACAATTAAGTGTCAGGTTGAGTGACTATAACTGGTTGCAATATGCAGGATAGCTGCAGACACCAATCTGGCACCATGCGTGCAGATAGATGATGAGTGATGTCTCCTATGTATCTTTGTCTGCAGGAATGATGTCAGCTATGCTGTAATGGAGCAAAGTCAGAGCGACGTGTGTAGGCGCCACGCTTACTTGGGCACACACACATAGCTCATTGCGTGCTTTTCCAGAAGTATACAGTAGAGGTATTAATGAGTATTACGAAGGCAATAAGCCATCATGACATGAGCTTTGTTTATTAAACCTGTTAACCACTTCCAGCATGAACAGATTTCCTTCTTTTTTCCACTTCACACTTTAGTCAGAACCCATTTTGTTATGCTCTATAACCATGTCATAAAAACAAGGTACTTGGCACATACTGTGCAAACATCTACGCCCATATAGAGCTAACGTAGTATGTACACTGTTTGGCAAAGCAGATATAGAGAGCCTTTTAGGCGGCTGTGAACAAACTCAGTAGAGCCCATGCTGTTTGCTGAGACTGAGCACAGGGAGAGTCTGTCCAAGTCTAACCTACAGTGGACTCAAGGTGACCCACCAAAGAAGATATGACTATTGACAAATCTAAACCAGAAACAGGCAGAAACGGTGAGCTATGGGTGTTTTCGAGTCTATAATCTCACACAAAGACGCTTGGGATAGCCTTGTGATATGTTTTACAGCAACCAATGCAAATAGCTCAGACTCCAAAAATTAGTCACTGATATTATACAACTTCATGATTGGTCTCCTTGTTACCATTTTTTCAGGCCATGTTGCATCTTCTATCTTCATGCCTGGTGCAACAAACACAGATCTGCAGCTAATGCTCTCTGCATGTGGACGACTCCAATATGCCAAGAATGTTTGTGTCTATGTGCACATGTGGGCACCTAAACAATGCTGTCTCAGTGCTCTGGTCTGAATGTTCGGACCTACACTAAGGGTCAAAGCTATTGCATCATCAGCACGACAGCCAGCCATTCATAACCACCCACCCTGGGTACAGCTGGGTCATGAATTATGGAGCTGAAAATATTCCCTTTAGCACAAAAACAGAAATGTTTCAGCTAATGTCTTCTGCCAGAGTGAGGCGAGCATGCAGAGCAACTTCCAATGGAGAGTTGCTTTAAAATAGAGGTGCTGCCCCTCTGTGGTGTGGAGATTAACTGCAGGCTGCAAGCGTTTCTAGTCATTGTATTTGCCACTTTGTGGAATTCTATAGAGAAACTTATCAATGAGCCATGTAATGTGCTCAAAGACACTCTGTTGTATTACCTGTATGGGTCTGCCGTCCTCTGAGCCAATCATATTCCTCCATTCCATCAGTGAGCGCTGCAAGGTGTCTAATCCTGTCTCCCAGAGACGGATGTACCCGCCCATATCCACCGTGACGACACCTCCAGAACCAAGAGCAGCTATCAGCACATCACACTCTGACACCTTGGACACCCAGTTGGTGTAGGGCGACACAGTCATTGACCTGCCAATTACAGATACAAGAAAAGGTCACAACACAGAACACAGAAAAAGAAGTTGATTTAGATAAGCAGGGACCATTGAGTTTTTATTCCACTCTTTTCTATTCCAGATCCTATGCAATTATAGTAATGATATTTATTCATGGTCTGTACAGATCTTATACTGGGCCTTGGGGCAGGCCTTCAGATCATCCTCTGAAACAAATGTTTTATCTCTTTCCACCCTTTAAAGCTGCCCCTCTTAAATAGATGATGGGAGGGGCTTCTGCGCTTACCGGCAGAATGGTGTACTTGAAATGACAATTTTCACATATGCTGGGTTAATTTTTTTGGAACCTGGTCCATGTTAAATATGAGTATCCATTTGTCTAAGAGACAAAAATTAGGGGGGAAAAAGCGTAATATGTCCTCTAAAAAAATTACAAGTTTCCAAGGTTGAACACATGTAAGATGCAGAGAAGATATATTAGCACTTTTGGGGTTTTTTTCTTTTATAGTGCAATGCTGTCACTGACCTCTAGCTGGAGCCAAAGGATGTAAAGTTACATTCTTGTTCTGAAAGTACTGCAGAATGAGGTAGTGAGGTAGTAAGACACCAGCGGTTTACCTTGGAACAGGAATATATTTGAGCTTCTTGGAGTTGAGATCAGTCACCTCCAGGTATGCTGCTGTCATTGGAGGTGTGACGTCTGCGTGGCAAAGAAAACTCATCTTTAAACTTTTGAAAACTTTCAAAACTTATATTTCCTGAAAACCTTTATGTAAGGTGAACTCTGACCTTTGGGGTACAGCTCTTTTAGGGGGACTTTGTTAGGTGGAAGAGCTCGAACCACCTGATTGACCGGGATCAGACCGACACAATTCTCCTGTTTGGCCGTGGCGCTCCGAAGCCCTCCTCTGAAGAATGCTTGAGCCCCGCTGTCACCACTCTTTATCGCTGATAGGTTGACGGGTCTTTTAAAGCTGTACACTTCATTAGGTGACTCATCAAGAGAAGAAATCCGAAGGAAAACGTCACTCTTAAGCCATCGGTCATACGCATTAGAGTAACTCACTCACAATGCTCTTTGTTTTCAATTAACATCTTCTCTAACGCTTTCATTTTTTCATACATGAATCAGGCAGATAAAATACAGACTCAAAGCTAGGCCTTGTCTTAGCTTTGACTTTCAAATAGGTTCCAAAAAAATGTTAACGCCACATGACCCCGCTTCCCTTCAAGCTCTATAGAGTTAAACTAGATATTTCTACTTCTAGTAGAAACATAAAAAGAAAGAAGACAGGAAACTGGAAAAAGAATTATTATTGTCACACAAATTTCTTCACCAAATTCCCTCATAATCTCACCATGAGATCTGGGAAGCCGACGATGAGCCGCGCATAGGAATCTGTGTCAACCAGCACACGGTTAGGGGAAACAATCTTCTGGTTCAGAGCGGCACTCAGGTTCTCGTTGGGTAGCTGCTCACATGACAGCATCTGGGGTATAGACAACTCGGCTGCAGTGATGGACCAGCATGAGTTTGGTGGAACAGAAACATGAAAGAAAGCAGTGAGAAAAAGAAAGAAATAGAAACTTGTCCATTGGGGGAAACTGGGACTGAGTGTTGTCGAGGGTCACATCAATAAGCTGAACTCACTCGTGCTCAATATTAATTTTTATTTCTTTATAAGCCCTCGCTCCTTGGGAAATCAATTGCCCTACTTCTGAACTCAACTCTACTCAATCTTTGTACTTCATGTGAAGAATGCAGAAATGACATCATTTAGAAACCTGTCAAGAAGCTCCCGCATTTCCTCTTAAGAATACAATCCACTGAAGTGTGACAACTATGAGCTATAGACTTTTCAAATGACTAAACATTTGAAAATGTATTTAACTTATGGCCATTTAATGTATAAACTTAGAGGTCTGAAATACAGCTGTTATTAGTTTAATTCTCTCTATTTCAGTCTCCATGTTAATTGGGTCTTTAAGAACTGCTACACAGCAATACAGAAGAACATGAAAATCTGTTAAATAAACATAGGGAGATTGCGGTTTGCCATTAGGTGCGATTTTCCGAAAACACAAAATTTCATTTCATCTATATGGTGACGATTGCCAGCTTTATCTATCTTTTAATCACTCTGACAGCTCCTCGGTTGGAGTCCTGCTTGATTGTCTTAGCGATGTTAAGTCAAAATTTCTAAAATTTTAACAAACGGAAAACTGAAGGAATTTTATTCGGTCTCAGTCGTTCTTTTGGTACCCCAGATGTTGACTTTGCTGCTCTGACCCCTGAAAAGCTCGGTTACTAATCTTGGGGTAAAAATCGACAGTGTGCTTTGTTTTGATGCCCACGTAAATGGCTTGGTGAAATCTTCATTCTTTTACCTCAGACGTCTGTCAGAGGTAAGCCTCTTCTCTCCAGGCGTGACTTGGAAACTGTCATCCATTCTTTTATAACCTCACGCTTGGATTACTGGAACTCCCTTTTAATAGGGGTTGGCCAGGGCGCTCTGTCACACCTGCAACTGGTGCATAATGCTGCAGCACGGTTTTTAACTGGTAAAAGAAAATTTGAGCAAATTACTCCAGTTCTGGCCTTCTTACAAAGGCTTCCAATTTAAAATCATTTTAAATTGTAAATCCTTAAACAGTTTGGCGCCTGTATATTTGTCCAATCTGCTGAAGCCCCCCTCGTTTACTCCGGTCAGCTGAGCAGCTGTTGCTCTCAGCCCCTAAATCGCGGCTGAAACTTGGAGGAGACTGAGAGTTCTTCTTCTTCCTCGTCACATTAGGCAATCTACTTCAGTATTGGTCTTTAAATCCAGGTTAAAAACAAATTTTTATCCGCTGGCTTTTGACTCAGTGAGTAACTGCCATTGTTAATTTATTGTTATTGATTTATTGTACTTTTTATATTTCTGCTGTACAGCACTTTGGCTGCCCATGTGCTGTTTTTAAAGTGCTATATCAATAAATTATGGTACGGTACAAAGATTATTTCAAAAGAGATTTCACTAATTACGATCAAAACGTGCAAACCTTTTAAGTGCAGTAGGACCCGCTTTGTTTGTTTGTTCTTTTTAGTTTCTTTGTGGCTTTTTTAGTCCATTTAAAAATGTGATGAATATAATGTTGGAGAAAAAAAAAAAAACAGTATATCCCACAAGTGGATATTTGACATATTTAAACAAGCAAACACTTTGAAACAGTCTCTAAAAGTTAAAGGTGATCTACATGAGCAACATCACAAGTTATTAGCTTTTCAATTATTTATTGATAAAAATATAAACGGATATTCTTGAATGGAAAAAGTAAGTGCATATTTGGCCTCCAGACGCTAGCATTGAACAACATCTTGAAGTTGTTTTGCATATTTGTCCACCAGTTACTGACATCAGCTTTCTAAGATTTATGACCACAAGAAGTCAAAACTTGTAGAGAACATATCTTTATTGCTGGACTGACGTGTTTAGGCTTGTGGCTTTCATCAGTCAGGGTCATCAGGATCATGATGACCACGAAAACCCCGAAGACACGTCTTGTGGCCATCAGAGCTAAAGGCCACTAGTCAATACAGATTACATCTATCATTACAGCCCTCTTCCTCTGCTTGTCTACCACCACTATGTCCAGTTGATTAGCCGCCACCACTTTGCCTGTCTGTAACTGGAAGTCCTACAGGATCATAACTCGGTTGTTCTCAACAACTCAAAGGGGCATTTTCCATTTTGACCTTGGGACAGGCCATACTCAGCACAGGTATTCCTGTATATTATACAGGCTACCTGGTTCTGCTATTCCATGTATGCCCTGCCTGCTAGCATCCTGGACACTGTTGTTATGTGCTGGATTGTCTCTGGGTATCTTTGCACAGCCAGCACCAAGGATCTTGCCTGGTGTGATAGACCACAACATCCCAGGAACGACATCAGATCTGTGTCCAGAAGAGCACCAGTCTAGTTAAAGCTAAGATACTGCGCAGGACCATTAAGCTCCCAGACCTCTGGTAGAGGTCCCAAGCTTGAATGATAAAGACAAGAAAAGTAAGATTTTTCATTTCAACTCTGTGTGTGTGTGTGTCTGTGTGTATAAATATATACCTGAGCTTGTTCCATGGCCTGAGTTGACTGAGTCCTCACTGATGCTGTGAAGCTGACAGACTCCAGAGTCTTCAGCTGCCATGTGCATGGGCTTGGTCAGCAGGAACTTCCTATACAGTCAGACATGCACGATTATTTTAAAGTTCAATCCAGAGACCTGGACAGATATTTGAGATCCATTACTTACTTGTTAGAGTTGCTCTCCAGCAGCAGCCAGCGGTCCTCTGCCACCAGGAAGACAGACTTTAGGTTGATCGGAAGGGAGATGGAGTGAACTCGTCCCTCAAGCACATCCAGGACCTCCAGCTGGTTGCTGCACATGCAAAAGCAGCGACTGATACCACAGGACTTCAGGATGCTGGTGCTGTGTAACAATGTCATGGATGTAGTTTACCTGTCCTCCTTATAGAACAGAAGCCAGTTTTTGTGGGAGAAGTCACGACACATTTTATACCCTGCCTGCAGGCAACAATCACAGAAACAAAAACACATTAAGTTCAAATCTTTTCACGGAATGATCAGATGAATAATTGACAAGTCTTTTCATAATGCAGTCTAGTTCAATGTCAGATTTAAATCTAGTCACGTGGAAAAAATAAAGCCTTGAATGAAAAGCAAAGAGTTTACGAGCCACAAGTGAATTTAAATTTGTCTCTGGAGACACAGAGTCTTCTGACCTGTTGTTCCTTACTGTTCCACCAGTTCGACGATCTGCTGGAAGACTGATCACTGTCGGGGGAAATCATGAGCCTCCGCAAGGCGCCTGTCACCAAGTCCAAATGGAGCACTGTGTTACCCTAAAGAGACAGAAAGAGGAATTAAAACTGGAGAATACAACTGAGAGGAGCCTGAATTCTGGCTGGTTTTCAGGGGATCAAACACTTTTCTCACTCGGTGCAAATTATAACTTTTGTATAATATGTTTTTTGGTATGTGTTTTTTAAATGATATTCTGTCTCTCCATTAAAATTAAACCATAAAAATTAGAGTGTTAATTTGTCTATTTGGATGCCATTCACCACTACACCACAACGCACCACTGCAGGACTTTCCTAACTACAACTACACAGTTTTCAAACAAAGCTTGCTGACAAGAAAATACAAGCTCACTACACCAGCACTAGTAGTGTCATTCAGGACACTGATTTTAACATACAGCTGCTTGTCTACAAATCACTCGGCAGCTCTGTGCCTAAACACATGTCCAAAAAGCTAAATACATATTATATGAAATATTTTGTTATTTGAAAGACCTAGGAGTGTCTTCTCATGTTTTAAGGTTCAAAGGAAACCTGTAGTGAGGTGGGCAGCATTTTTACAGCCTAATCACTTGGAGATCCAACACTTTTGTATAACACAAAACTGTCAACACTGAATACAGTTGTCAGCAAGCGTACTTGGAAGATTGATGGAAAAGGTTGGTTATTAGTCTGCTAAGACAGCGGTCCCCAACCTTTTTTGCGCCACGGACTGGTTTATGCTCGACAATATTTTCATGGACCGGCCTTTAAGGTGGGTCATTCCCCTCATCCCCAGACTCTGCTTCCTCCTCGGAAGACGTGTCAGTGGGATTAAGGAGGTCCTCGAAGTATTCCTTCCACCGCCTGACAATTTTCCGGGGGCGAGGTCGCTGAGGCAGTTAAACAACTCCTTGGTGGCAGAGCCCCTGGTGTTGATGAGGTCCGCCCCAAGTTCCTGAAGGCTCTGGACGTTGTAGGGCTGTCCTGGTTGACACGCCTCTGCAATGTTGCGTGGAGATCAGGGGCAGTACCTGTGGACTGGCAGACCGGGGTGGTGGTCCCCATCTTTAAGAAAGGGGACCGGAGGGTGTGTTCCAACTACAGGGGGATCACACTCCTCAGCCTCCCTGGGAAAGTCTATGCCAGGGTGCTGGAAAGGAGAGTTCGTCCACTAGTCGAACCTCGGATACAGGAGGAACAATGCGGTTTTCGTCCTGGTCGCGGAACACTGGACCAGCTCTTTATCCTCTCCAGGATACTTGAGGGTGCATGGGAGTTTGCCCAACCAGTCTACATGTGTTTTGTGGACTTGGAGAAGGCATTCGACCGTGTCCCTTGGGGTGTCCTGTGGGAGGTGCTGCGGGAGTATGGGGTGTCTGGCCCATTGCTACGGGCCATTCGATCCCTATACAACCGTTGCAAGAGCTTGGTTCGCATTGCTGGCAATAAGTCGGACTCGTTCCCGGTGGGTGATAGGCTCCGCCAGGGCTGCCCTTTGTCTCCGGTTCTGTTCATAATTTTTATGGACAGGATTTCTAGGCGCAGCCAAGTGGCGGAGGGCTTTCGCTTTGGTGGCCTCAGAATCTCATCTCTGATTTTTGCGGATGATGTTGGCTTCATCGGGTGAGGGCCTCCAGCTCGCACTGGAACGGTTCGCAGCCGAGTGTGAAGCAGCGGGAATGAGGATCAGCACCTCCAAATCTGAGGCCATGGTTCTCAGCCGGAAAAGGGTGGAGTGCCCACTCCGGGTCGGGGATGAGTTCCTGCCCCAAGTGGAGGAGTTCAAGTATCTCGGGGTCTTGTTCGCGAGTGATGGGAGAAGGGAGCTGGAGATCGACAGACGGATTGGGGCTGCAGCTGCAGTAATGCGGACGCTGCACCGGTCCGTCGTGGTGAAGAGGGAGCTGAGTGTAAAAGCGAAGCTCTCAATTTACCGGTCGATCTACGTCCCTACCCTCACCTATGGCCACGAGCTGTGGGTAGTGACCGAAAGAACGAGATCGCGGATACAAGCGGCAGAAATGAGCTTCCTCCGAAGGGTGGCTGGCCTCTCCCTTAGAGATAGGGTGAGAAGTTCGGCCATCCGGGAGGGGCTCAGAGTAGAGCAGCTGCTGCTCCACATCGAAAGGAGCCAGCTGAGGTGGTTCGGGCATCTGACAAGGATGCCCCCTGGGCGCCTCCTGGGTGAGGTGTTCCAGGCATGTCCCACCGGGAGGAGGCCCCGGGGCAGACCCAGGACACGCTGGAGAGATTATATCTCTCGGCTGGCCTGGGAACGCCTTGGTATTCCCCCGGATAAGCTGGAGGAGGTGGCTGGGGAGAGGGAGGTCTGGGCCTCTTTGCTTAGGCTGCTGCCCCCGCGACCCGGGGGATGAAGGATGAAGATGGATGGATGGATGGATGGACGGCCTTTAAGGTGTCGCGGATAAATACAACAAAATAAAACTAGTACCGGTACCGAAAAAAATACGATTTATTCATAACACACTGAAAAGACCCAGGAAAACCGAGTTAACGATAAAAACAATAATAAAACAACGCTGAAAACCGATAAACTGTCCCTGAGCTCATCAGTGACTAGGATTGTCTTTTGCTTCCAATAACCTCCATCTGTGCTCTTTTACACCACCCACACAGCTGATCGACTTCTTCTTAATTAGTTTCACTGAATTAACTAAATATTTCTTGATTTCAACTTGTAATTCCCTGTGTGGTCTCCTGTTTTTGTTAATTATGAGACAGTTTATGACCATTTCTGTTTAATACTATAAATCCTAGTGTTTATTTCCTCCAGTACAGTTCCTCCATCAACAGAGGGTGCTCTTCTTCCAGTGGAACCCTCTGGTTTGGGTGCTGATGTTCCTCTACATTCAACAAATGTGCCTGCTGCACTTTCAACTAATTCAATTCAAAGATAAACCGATTGCCCGTATGGGCTTCTGTGTTTGTATGCAGGATATTTGTGTGTGTGTGTGCGTGTGTGTTTTGGATGAACTGTGCAAAAGGCTTTCGTTTGTGACGCACAAGGATTCATCTTCAATTGAGTTTTATGAGAAGGAGCCACAGGGGAGCTGGCCTCGGGCCCGGCTACCCTGCTTCACGCTAATGGTTTCCTTATGGCCTCCCATTCCTGACACTCACACAGTGATACTGAAGACAGAGAGGGCAAACCCCATTTCCTGATTCTAAACATACACTGCCATTGGAGGAAGTATGTACATCTGAGAACACACGTGTGCATCCTGCATGTGGATGTATCTGCACTTTGTGTATCTGAGGGATAAAAATATAACTACTATGTTTTCATACCCTTAAATGTACCATTGTGATGTCTTTAAATACTTTCACAAGACTGTGGATGCATTCATTCATGTGTGTATGCTTAGCACAATCGGCCAACCTCTGTAGATTATGTATCGGAATTTCAGGAGCGGGACCACGCCTCCAAATACGCTCCTTCCGGTCGTCATCTATATAGGTTCCCACAGTTCTGCAAGCTGTTCATTCTCGTTTACGTGCCCCACCCTCCCTCCCTCCTTGTTCTCAATTCTTTAACTTCTTCACTCCTATTTAAGTACAAGGGGATCTGCCAGGCCCGGGAGCCATTGCCAGTCCCCTTCGGGGCCTTCCCCAAACCGCAGCTCACTTCATGTCCAAGCATTCACCTTTACCTACTAAAATGCTGTCAAACCTAATATGAGGACGTGGGCCCAGCTAGTGAAATGTGTGTGTGTGTGTGTGTGTGATGGTTTCCCTGATCTCCCTGGAAGGCCAATGACCTGCAAATGAACTTCATGTTGTCTGGACCTCTTCATTTTTAGACAGACGTAACATGATCCATCGCCACAGTATTTTTAGAAGTCCTCCTCTTGCCTAATATGCACCAGCTGTGGAAGTGTTCTGGTCGGAGAAACAGCCTACACACATTGTTCTTGTCTGACACTCTGCTGTCATAGGACAGGGTCTTACGGGGTAAGAGGGATTCAACGACCGACTCAACAACCACTAACCTCCAACCATTTTAAGAAGCGGACTTCTGCACAGCTATTTTAAATCTGTGAGGAATCTGTGGTTGTCCTCAAGAAATAAAAAAAAAAAGTTTAAATACCAGTGTTGTGTAAGTGTCCGGTTACTGGATTGTAAACAAGAACGTTAGACAAAAATGGTTAGACTAGGGTTCCTCAGTGAAGACCAACAGATGCAAGTGCACCCTTTCTATACCACTAAAACTACAAAACATACTTAATGGTGATTCTTTTCATTTATGTGTGTGTGTGTGTGTGTTTTTGGTTTTGTTGTTTTTGTTTTGACTCCCCTCCACTACCTTGAAGACACACTGTTGTGGGTTTTGACCACTGGGGGTGCTGTACAGCTTTGATGAATAAATCATCTTCTGGAACTCAGACGTTTATATCAATTGCAAAAGCCAGTCAAGTTTGATGCTGTTAAAGTTAGCAACACCCAAACATATATTTGACCAGTCACGGAGGCTCCACTACCACCTGTCTAAGACAGACCAATCACTTCAAGGACACGAGGTTTCCTGACCACATTTATAAAAGCGCCTGGCACCATACCAGGTATTGTTGATAAATAAAGAAGAACGGTCTGTGGCCACCACCTGGAGTTGCTACTCCAGTGCACCTGCTGTCACCTTCATTTGCACCAAAGCAGGTGAAATAGATTCATAATGGTTTATGGTTCCTAACTGGACAGAGAGATATCCCTGAAGGTTAACTGACTTTGTGCTATACTGTGATGATCCAGTGTTTCCTTTTTATGGAGTACCTTGTGCTAGCACATCTATTTGTGTGATGCACTCATACTGTATATGAATCAACCTGCTAGCGAAGCCAGACACTTTGACATAATGACTTCAACCTCATGATGGTCGTCAAAATACTTTTGTATACAGTCTATGGTTGAAAACTGAAATCATGATAACATAGCAAAATGTACAAACTGATCAAAGTGGGCAAAAACTGAAAAATGTCACCTTGTCCATAGGTATGTTAAGTGTTACAAGCTACAAGCCTTTTAGGGAGTGTGTGAGAAATGTCAGCACAGAGCAAGCCCCAAACCCCACTTCCCTTTGAACAGGCATTTAGAGCAGTTTGGATAAACGGCCATTGGGCTGTGGTGAAAATGTGTAACATTAACAATGAAAATCTCATTGGGTACATTAATTTCATTCACTCGATCTAATGCAATCTAATCATGCAAACATGTCTTTGTGTACATGTGTATATATTTGTCTGCCAACCTGTTCCTCGTGCAGCACCACCTGTCCATCCAGTGGACTCCCAAGTGGAGCAACCGTAACAAAGGGCTGCCAGACACCACTGATGGTCCTGGGGAAGACATCGTAGAGCTCTATGCACTTGATAGTTTCCCCACGCTCCTTCATGGAGTACAGGGACACTGGGTTACAGGTGGCCACATACAGCACATCTGTCAAAACAAAGATTGAATGCATTCTCTGAATTGAGCTACTGCAACAGGCAGTACATTTCCCAGAATGCAAGGTGCTAATTAAATAGAGTAATGTTACTCTGCAGCTGTCGTGTCGATGCAAAATGGTGACAATCTGAAATTAGGGGTGGTCATCATTGATCGAATATATAGGGATTAATAAATACACTGTAGGGGTGATTTCTGACACAACCGATGTTATAATGGACACATGGCACTCAAGTGATTCTGGATTGAACTGATGAAAGAATTCTGCAGGAGACCAAAAACTTATTTGGGGGTGAATTCAGCAAACCTTTGAAGTTTAAAATCGGATTTTTAAGGAAATTCTGTAAATGTAAAGTTTGTAAATCCTGATGAATACTGAAATAAATCTAAATACACTTAGATAAAGTTTCAAAATAGCTACCCAACTGAGTGCATACAGGTGTTTTAAGATGGCTCGCATGGTGTGAGGCTTGCTTTAAAGGTTTTTTTTTTTTCTTTTTTACCTCCAATGTGAAGTCTGACAGGTGCTTTTCAGTATGCTTCTGATTAGGCCACCTAAAGCTGATATAAAGCTTCTATAAACTTCTATGTTTTCTTATATATTGGTTAGTTGATATCATCGGCCAGTATGGACTTACTGCAAAGATATGAGGATATATGTTGTCCAGTATGTATGGACTGATTCTTATACAGCGCCTTTCTATTCTTCTAGAGCACTCAAAGCACCTAATATAAGATCCCTCATTCACCCATTCACTCCAGCACTTTTTTCTTCTATGTTTAAGTTCTTTTGTATCTAATGGGATTAGTATCTTGCCCGAGGATATTTGGCATGCAGACTGGAGCAGCCAGGAATCCAACCACCACTTTTCCGATTAGTAGATAGCCTGCTCTACCTCCTGTGCAACAGCCACCCTTGTGCATCAATGTAACACTTGTGATTGTCTCTTTTATAGAGCATGGTGCAGAAAAAGACATCTGGGGTGATTTACAAATGGTGTCATCACATAGTTTGTTAAGCAGAGTTACGTCCTCTCAGCACTGCCTGCAGCACATGTAGCAGAGTAGCACCACAGCTGAACAAACATGGCGCAAAGTCTAACCGTGTGTCCGTGGTAAGTTTCCAACTACTTTAAACTGTAAATTACTGAAAAGTTGTAACAGTAACTCCATCCTTAATAACTCAAGAACCAATAACTCAGGGGAAAAAAACAGTATTAAAAATCCAATCTCTTCTAATATCTTTTTGTTTTTAATTTTACTAAAAATTCTATAATTAGGAATTTTTAATTACCTTGTTAAATTTCCAGGTGTTTTTTTTTAAATGTTCTTCTGTCGTTAGTGATTTTCCTATTGGTCTAATTACTTTTTAAATACATGAATCCATTCTTCATTATGTCATGTTAATGGTATCCTGTCTTCTTCCAGTTTATGATCACTGTCACTGCATATCTTGTGCTTTTCCTCTCCCTTACACAGCTGCACACTGTTTCCAGTACATACTTCAAACAGTTTCCTTGCTTCATCCTGTACTGTCCACACACACACTGAGGCCTAGGGTAAACGTTTTTTATTGTTGTTATTCCTTCCTGTATATAGCACCTTATTTACTTCATGATGCTTCACCCACTGAAATCTCTAAAGCATCACAAAGAAAAGAACATCTGATAACACAGACTCGAGGAGGGACTGCTTAATAACGTGCGCAAGTTTGTGTTTGCTTGTATAATACCATCTTTGGTGGTGACGTCACAGATGATGTTAACTTCATTCATGGGAATCTGCCAGTGGGCTTTCTCTTCAGTGAAACTCAAAGCCCTGCTTTCCTGCCTGTTGCAGGGGTACTTCTGGACACGCAGAAACACTGGGCCCTGGAAACAGACGTCAGACACTTATAGCAGTGCGCACGTACTCACAATATATCAAAACAAGTCATACTATTGCAACAACATGGCACACTCTAGTGTTCTGCTTGCAGCTTAAGTGCAAAAGAGTTAAAAGAGTACATTTGATAAGCAATGTAACCAGAGGAACCATTTGGGTTGTGGATGAACATCTTGATACATTTCTTACGTTAAAAACTCACTGCTGTCAGTCTTTTGTAGCTGGGAGGAATGTAAGATAACCACAGACACTCACTTTGAGTACTGGTCCAATACACGAGAAGTGTGGGGCATCACACTGTAATAACCTGTCTTCATGTGTATACCTTGACATCTATGGGCCGTGTGTCCGTGGGACACAGTAGTTTGCGTCGAGTGTTGCCACCTTGGTTTATGGTCCAATATCCTGTCATCTTGACCTCCGGCAGCGGAAACCTAAAAATTGAAGGTCACATGATAACTCCACTGTAAGGCCTGCAAAATGTAATTTATAATAAGAAAGTACTGGCACAGATGCATGGAAGTTTTTTGTTTTTTTCTGGGTGTGGGTACTGATGTTGTGATTTCTCATTTTGGAAATGGGAAACGATTTTGCTTGCCCACATCAATTAAGATGAACTCAGCCTACTTAAGGGCTCAACGTGGCTGCCACAAACTGACTTCAGATGTGAGCCTTATCCTGTTACAAGCTAGATTTTTAAAAGAAAGACTTTGAAATGTGATCCCATTGTCTCAAGAAAGGCTAAAGTCAACATATTCAGAACAAGCGTCTATGTGTTTGTGTCTGACCAGATGTCCACTGGTTTTCCCATGAATCTTATTGGCTGCAGGTGGAGTGAAAAATGCATCAGTACCACAAAAAAAAATAATAATTCTGGAGGATAGACAGTTCTCTAATCATAAGCATTTCTATGAATGGAAAAGCAGAAAGAGAAATTACTCTTTGTTTTCCATTTCCAAATCTGAATGGACAAATGTTTGCTGTGATGTGGGCAGAGAAACTAGTCTGATAAGGTGTTTAAGATGGGTGATGACAGAAGAGTAATTTAACGACTTGGATTGATGTCGGTACAGACATAACAGGAAAATACTTGTTTCTGCCCTGTTTGTTTCAGGATTTACTTGTTAATGAGATATGAATGTGTATTTATAAATGTGATACTTAAATAAAACCACAGGAGACAGAAGAAACAAATATTTTCCTTTATTTAAAAGACAAAGCTGTACATTGTGAGGCAATGGGGTTGATTTCAGAATAGATTTTTCTTATAAATAGGTTTTAGAATAGATCTTTGTTTATTTAACACTTCAGGAAGCATTGTGGAGACTTCATGAAAGCCTAAAGATCTAATAGAAACCACTCATACAGTTCAAGTCAGCATCAACCGAGTTCAAGCCTTTCAGGAATTCAATGCCAACAGTCAACAACAGTTTAAAATTACAAAATGATGCCTGACAGTCACACACTCACGTGGAACAGTCCCTGAAACCGCTGACCTCTCAGAAGCCACTTTCAGTTGGCAAGTTTCTGGAAAGGTTCTTTGAAAGGCAACAACAAAACTACCAACACAACAAAAACCACTGGCATTAAGACAAACTCCGGGGGAACAATTATGCTGAAAAATCTATGCATTAAAAGATTGCATGGCCAGGATTACTACTGCATGTCTTCTGCATCTTTGAGTTGCTCAGCTCACTACAGAGTGCCTTCCACTCGCATCGCACTAATTTAGTGAAGTATTTCACTATATCTCTTTGTAATATGTAATAAGAGAGACATTTCTCTGTGATTCATTTGCAGCGTTCAGAGCCAGCTCCAAACCAGAAGACAGATTTGTGTGCCGGGGGCCTGTGTAGGAGGGGCAGCACCGTGAAGAATGCACTAATGGAGAAGAGCATCTTGCATGCACGGCAAATATTGTACACTGTGCACGTCTGCCATCACTTTACCAGACTGAGGAAGCTAGCAGGGTTGATTATTCACATTTGAATGGGCATCATATTAGATTATATTTCCACTGTGTGTTAAGCATCGATAGTTTTTGATATATTTAAAATAGCTGACATGCTAAGATAAACTCTGAACAAATCAAGTAATGACAAGTTTAGGTTCCATTATTTAAAACCGCTTCTGACAGATTTCTAATTTTATGAGGGATAAAGGTTTGGATTAACAAGAAAAACGGATCCTCTGTGGAACTGATAAAGATCCGAGATAAGGCTCTACTCTGCGATCATTCTGAGCAGCGCCACACATCAGCTAGCACCTTTTATAGTATGACAAACCCCAAATCTTGATCTGCTCCATCGTTGACTATGTGTTCGTCATGTATTTTGGTCCATCCAGCTATTATTATCCCCCTGTGAGGCTCTGTGACCACAGTTCTAACAGTGCAACAATCTGATTCTGTCTGTGTGTGTGTCACGTAATTGATGTGCCTCTAATGTGTGTGTGTGTGTGTGTGTGTGTGTGCGTGTGTGTGTGTGTGTGTGTGTGTGTGCGTGTGCGCGCGTGTCTTGTCAAACATCTTGTGCTCCCGATGCCTTACTCCTTAGCCAGCTTGACAGAGCTGGGCTTGGCTCCAATGGGAATCCCGTGCTTGTGCAGTGCTTCAATTAGAACCTCCCGCATGTCTTTGTTGTATGAGTCAAAGTCAAAGACGTTTCTCACCACGTTGGCCAGACCCTCATCGGGAAATTTCTAGCGGGAGGTAAAGGAGAGTAGGAAGGAAAGGCCAGAGAAGAGGAAGTAAAAGAGGAAGGGTCACCAGGGAAAGAAAAGGAAGAGGAAGGAAGGACACAGAGAGTAGGAGGGGGAGAAACAATGATAATGACAGGTGGGAGGTGGGAGTTATGGAAAAGGGGGCAGAGACAAGGAAAATTAATATGATTTTCAGCTCCTTAACAGGGGTCAACGCAGGGAAAGTTTGGGATAAGACATAAGAAACGAAGATTAGTCATCTCTAAACTCTGAACAATGACAGACAACAGCATCTTTGCTCCGTCTTTGATGATAATTACAGACTCCAGTTCTAATGCCTAAAAGCATTTTCTGTATTACAAAGCAAACATGGTGGCACATTTGAGAATGATACTACCTACGTACTGTACAAGTGATGTTTCCTGGCAGCTTAGAGCAGTCCTTGGATTACTTGTATACATGCTGACTTCAATATTTGATACTTACGCCAGTTTAATATGAGAATCCACCACTGGAAGAATATATTTACAGTATGACAGACAATAGAGGAAAGAAGAAATGGTCTTTTTTAAAACAGCAGATTTCTGATGCTTTCTTTTATATAAGCAGACAACAACCTAAAACATTGTTGGAGTGAAGATTTTGGTGACAGACTTTCTTTTTTTTTTTTTTACAATACCAAACCCCACTGCCATACTTATTTTTAAGATCTGTTTTTGGTAATGTAAAAAATATGAACAATAAGTGTAATATACCATGTTTGTCTGATTAGAGTATTATGAATAAGCATAATGAAGCTGCTTTCAGTACTTGACAGTTATTGAATATTTCAGAAATTTTTCAGACTATATTTCCAGGCATAGAAGTGCTTGACAGCAAGGTGGAAATTAACATAATAGCTGCAAATACGAATGCATCCCCTGCCCTTTCAACTCCTTACTGCAATACATCTTCAGTTCTGATGTGAGTAATCTTCATGCCATTATTAGGACCATAATTGCACTTTTAAGCCTCCATATTACAGTGTACTTATACAGTCCAGTGAATCGCTGCACAGTCAATAGCAGTCTCTCCCAGTAGGTTACAGCTGACTATAGAGCACTGGGCTGCATCGATCACGATGGTATAAATTAAGGTTAAAATAGCAATGAAGGCATAAAACGAGCTATTTAGAGTGCAGCTAAATTGAAATGATTCCCTGTCACACCCAGTCATTCAGACACCAATAATGGTGGTGATGGATGAAAGAACTGGGAGGTCACTCAAATATGAGCTGGTCTCTGTACACTAAACTGTTGATCTATAGTGCAAGCTTTAATGCTTAATCCCCTCTCCTTCTCTTCTTTTGGAGTCTGTCCTTTTTGTGCTCTATAGCGTGTACATTTCTGAAGAATGTAACCACAAGGAGGCATGGTAATGTGACAGCTCTGCATGCAGCCATTCACTTGCTTTTCTTTTTCCAGATGATTGAGCTGAGAGGATGATGGTAAACAGCAGCTTATAGCTATTGATGGTGGGAGACTGTTAATGTAAACAGCATGCGCTCTGTAATGTGGCTCCATACTGTTCGTCTGAAGGTGGAAAACGGAGTAGCTGCTCAAAAGACTATGGTATCAAAGGGATAAAAAAGATTTGAAAATATGGTGACAATCACTTCTAAAACCTTGTAAAATATCATTCTAAATGTAAAACAAAACATCTACTCATTGAAGAAAGTCTAGCAATTTTATACTATACAAATATGTCGCTTTGATGACATATTGATGATCATCTCGCCTATCTCCTAAGTCGGTTTGTGGTGCACATCTGTGGGCTCTGAATACTAGGAAATTAGAGGGTTAAAGAGAGGAATCGGTGGCCGGAGAAAGAAAGACATGACAAATGAGGGTGGAGGGACTTTTAAGCTCCTATGGAATGGACTGGAAAATTCCTTTTAAGAGCACAGCCAATGTAACATATGATACTAATTATTTTAATGTTGGAAACCACAGTCCTGCATCAGGCAATTTAAGGCGGAGCCATTATGCTTGTCTTTATGATATACACATCACAAATTACAAAAAGATTCGGTACACTGTGAAAAATGTACATTAAAAAAAATGCAGTGATTTGCATATCTTACCTAAGCCACATTTTACTTACAAGAGAATACAGAAAATATATTGAATGTTTAAACTGAGAAAAAGTATCATTTTAAGAAAAGAAATAAGAGCATTTTGAATTTGATGGCAGCTACAGGTCTCAAAAACAGTTGTGACTGGGCCATTTTTATCACAGTGTAGCATCGCCTCTTCTTTTAACATCAGTCTTTAAAAGTTTAGGAATTGAGAAGAGAGCTCTTGGACTTTTGGGAGAGGAACGCTATCCCATTCTTGTCTCATATAAGAGTTTAGCTGCTCAACGGTCCTGGTTCTTCTTGGTCCTATTTTTGTGTCACGATGCTTCATTTGATGAAAGCCCTCTGACTCTTCTATTATGAAGCCATGCCATTATAATATATATGGAGTATGCTTTCTATCATTGTCTAGCTGAAATACGCAAGGCTTTTCCTGAAAAAGACACCTGGATCTTGTGGTAAAACCTGTATTTACCTTATAGTATGGATGGTACCTTTCCAAGCTGCCAATAAATGAGCCATGATAAGATTCTACTTTTTAGTCCAGAGGACGCAGTGTCCATGTTTTCCAAAGAGAATTTCAAATTTTGATTTCTCTGACCACAGAACAGTTTTCACTTAAAAAAGCTTTGGCCCAGAGACAACAGTGGTGTGTAAGGATTTTGTTCACACGATAGAGCTTTAACCTGTATTTGTGGATGGCACAGTGAACTGTGTTACTGAACCCCAAGAATCACATCTGTTTTCACTGCAGTGCTGCCTGAGGGCCTGGAGATCATGTTCATTTATTATTGATTTTCAGCCTTATCCCTCGGGCAAAGAGATTTCCCCAGTTTCTCTGACTCTTCTGATGACATTATGTACTGAGGATGATGAGATATTAGCTTTTTGCACACTGGTACCCATCTTCACTTCTGAGAATCTCTGCCTCTCTGAGACGCTCTTTTTACACCCTAACATGTTACTAACCAATGAACCCAATTAGCTGCACAATGTTCCGCCAGCCGTCTGTTTCTACAATAGAACCACTTACCTTTCCAGCATTGCCCTAATCATAACTTTTAAAAGACGTGTTGCTGTTATCAAATTCAAAATGCCCTCATTTGTTTTCATTAAATAGTAAAATGTCTTAATTTAAAAATTTGATATATTTTCTGAATAAAATGATGATTTCTATTTTTAATTTCATTTTACACAGTATACAAACCATTTTGGATCCAAGGTTGTATATAACGCTCCAGTGGTGCATGCTCTTATAAAAACATGGTCAAGGTTTGAAGTAATGTGTTTAAGCTATGTAAAAGTATATATATATATATATATATTATATATTATATATTATATTATTATATTTATATATTTTTTTTTTTTTTTTTTTTTTTTTTTTAAATTTTTTTTTTTAACTACATGATGTTTATTTGTTTTCTTATAGGTTGTTTTATATTACGTTCCTTATTTAAAAACTGTATTTTCTTTGTTTCTGGGAAATTCTAAATTTTAAAAAAAAAAAAAGCTATGTACAAGTAATCCACATGAGTCAAAGGTTCACACGTCAGACTGCTCTAAATGCTTTGTTTCACACTTCTGTAGCTCTGTCTGATGTAACAGAGGGGATGCCACGAACATCAATACTGCTATTTCTAGATACCAAAGTTCTATAATAATACTTTTTTTTGTTTTAGTACTACAGGTACAGTAGATAGTACATGTACCAGCTGGGGCAGCATAGTCTTCTCAATGTTCTAGTCATGCTGATGAATGAAAAGAAGGACACCCACAAGTTCAAGAAAAAGTGTGCAAGGAATAGCAATAACTGCAATGGAAGATGGTGACTAGTCCAGCTGTTGTCACAGCTCTGCTCTGACGTGGTTATAAGAAAGATAAGAGTTTAGTATGGAAGCACTTTTCATTTGAAGCAGATGACCAAGGGCAATATGCAAACAATCCTATCATGCTTCTCAGACCCAGGCAGGAAATACTTGCAGTATAGTGACAGACCTAAAACCATCTGTTCAAAGAATTCAAGTTGACAAAATTTCAGTTAGTAACATATAGTTACTATATGTTACTGAGTTAGTAACATATGTTGTTACATATAGTAAGAACATCCAAAGTATTATCCTTCTTGTTTAGATGTTTTTTTCTTCAAAACAAAGTTCAGGTTTAAGTACATGCAATATCTTAATTATATTGGTAAAGGTACAGACTACTACATTTCCTGTATTGTGACATTCCTAGTAGAGAGGGGGCATATTTAATATGGTCATCTCAGGCATAGAGGTCTGGCTGGGGGCGCGGAAGCCCCACCCACCTGTTACTCAAACCTCTTTTTTTTATATCATTGATAGCCAATCAGAAGAAACCTGGCTTAAAGGAGCAGAGCTAAAACATAGATTCGATTTTTTTGAACTCTCAGTCAAGTAACGCCACTTTACAAGAGGATAAAAACATGGAGATACCGTTGATCCCTTTAACTGACAGTTAGCTGTATGTTTAAGCTGTAAGCTTCTGAAAGTGGACCAAAGCACAGACACCCTCTCTCCTCTCGGAGACAGCTATATTTTGAGGAGACTCTCTTACATTATTAAAGCACTAGCAGTTCAGGATTCAGGTCGCATAAATGTTATGAATTATTAATAAAAGGTAGTCAGTATGTACCGTATTTCAGTGTGTCTTCCTACCTGGAGGTGTTTGACAATGTTGACCACCTCTCTAGTAGAATAGGGGTAGTTGATGGTACCCTGGTCGGCCAAGGACCTGAGCTCTCCAAAGGCTGCCACGAGCTTTTGCAACGTAGCATCGGGAACATCGGGGCCATACTGTTTTAGCATAGCCAGCTCCGCTTTGGGCTTCGGGTTGTCCACAGCATGGCAGCTAAAAATATCGCCTGGTACAAAATACAAGACAGAATTTAATGTGTTTCTCTCCATATACAATATTCGATACCCAGGGCAAAAAAAAAAGTTAAGTGTTTATCTATTTTTAATGTGTTGGGGTATTAATGTTGTAGGAAAAGCCTCAGTTTCAGTTGTGCGTGTGTTTTTGGGTACCTAGAGCTCCAAAGAAGTCATTGCCCAGAAAAGGAAAACCAGGTCTGTTAGCGAGGACGATCATCCTGAAGTCTGGGTGCATAATTATGGTGTCAGGCCTCCCCTCGGCTTCACGTGGACCTGTGGAACAGACAGTTGTTGTCTACACATGACCAAAACAAGCACAGTTTCATCTCAGTCTGTTTCTGTATGAATCTCCTTTTTTACTCTCAGTGTTTTAATTTGTGTCACAGATTTTCACACACACCTCTACTACGCTGACAGCCTGAAGGTCGTGTTTATGAAGTCTCAAGATTGCGTTTACATTCCACTAGGAGGATGAGCCTCTCAGGAATGGAGTAGCTGTCAGCAGCCCATGTGATTACATGGGAATATGTGGAAAAACTAAATGTTTACAGAGCAGCGTGATCCAAAATCTGTTGGTACCTGTCCATAAAGGCTTTTATCCTAAGCTTCCTTCAGTGGCCTGCATCTGATGTTCCACTCGTGTTTGCCTTGTAGTACATGCAGTCGTTAATTCGTCGTAAAAACAGTTCTCGTTCTGAATCTGGGACATGTCTGCTGTCAAGGTGTGTGCATGCATGAATGTGCGTATGAGTGCACCTGAGATGATTCTGCGTCCATCAGCCAGGATCATCTCTCCGCTCTCCACCAGGGTTTTGAGAATGCAGGTGACGTTTGTAGGAGCTTTGTCGGCCTCATCTATCACTAACACATGGCCAAACTTCACTGCCTTTACCTGAACACAGACAACACACACAAACATACACACACATGCCATTTGACTAACAAAAAAGCACAATTGCTGTTACAGTTGGGAAAAAGCTGATGATGAAGATGCTGTCCCAGATAGAAAGAGTTCATGTGGTGAATACATATATCAAACTGGCCTACACATTCACAATCCACCCTCACAGGTTTTTTCACTTATTTTGACTAAGTAGTCCTAATTTTGGGATTGTGTAGGTGTGCATCACAATGTACTAAAAGCTCTGGACACTGTGTTCTGAGAAGTCATCAGATATGCTCCTATGAAAGCTGCTTATTCGACACATAAGTTGAGAAAGTTCTTAGGCATATGGGAGACACAAATACCACAGTTTCTTCTCTGCTGGCGATTAGAACAACAAAGCTACTATTATGTATTTTTATTTTCATGTATTTCATGGAGTAAACCATTAAGAAGCCTGCCATTGTCAAGCAAAATAATCCTTTTTTAAAATCTTGATCTAAAATGGCCAAGATGGATATCTTTCTCTGAGATTAAAAAACAACAAATAATGTTCACACACAACTCTGTGCCACTGCACCCAGAAACGTAATACACTATTGATGATTTTGTATCTTTCACTAAAAAGTCCAGAAAATAAGACAAATCACTGGTAATCATAAGTGGAATCCAATGACAGTCCCTGAGCATTCACATACTGTTATACATAATATTATATATTTACATGTATGAGTCCTCAAGGCTCCATCCTTGGATCTTTCATACTTACATATACACCCTTTCTCTATCTCAGATGTTGCATTCATATTACATTTCATTCTTATTCACACCGCACACATCAGTGTCACCTCAGGACTACTGAGCCCTACACTTGAAATTAATGAGTGGATGTGCCCAAACTTCCTGAAATTGAAAGAAAGGACTGAGGTATATTTTTTTCACCTCTAAAGAAAAAAGAATTAAAGTCTCTAACCTATCTAGACGAATGTTGCTTAAATTCTCAAACCAGGCAAGAAATCTTGAAATAATTATTGACTGACCTAAATATCGATAGTCATATAAAGACAATTAAAAAAAAAATCAGCCTATTAACCTTAATCTTAAAACTATAGCAAAAATGTATGGATGTCTGTTGTTACAGTTGTGAAAAAGCTGATGATGAAGATGCTGTCCCAGATAGAAAGAGTTCATGTGGTGAATACATATATCAAACTGGCCTACACATTCACAATCCGCAGGATGTCTGTCTAAAACTGATACAAAAATAAATAAATATGTGCACAGATTTCTTTTTAGTGGACTATTGTAACAGTGTCTTTATGGGTCTTACTAAAACTCCATCAGACAGCTCATTTAGATTCCTGTAATTACACAAAAACAGTTGAGCACATTAGTCCAATTCTCAAATCTCTGCACAGGCTTTCTTCATCACAAAAGATGGCTTTTAGAACACTTCTAATAGTTCACACTAAGAATTAAACTGACTGAGTTACATTTCAAATGTACTTGTACCTTACAAAACATCCAGAACTCTCAGGTAAATAAGAACATGCTTTCTATGTGGCAAAAACAAATAAAACCATACAGAATAAAACGATTCCAACACAACTTGATTTGTGGTGATGATCATGTCTACCACAATATACATCTGTGGCATCTGTGAACATGGGGAAAAAAAAAACTAACTGACCAGAGGGGAGTCCTCATATGTAATGATGCCATCTCGCACCGAGGGCTGTAAGGTCAGAGTCTGGACTGTTGTATCCCTGCAGAGGCAAAAGAAAACGAAAAAAGAAGATGGTTACAACAGAGCCATTACATAAGAGGAAACAGGCTCAAAGAATTCTGAGCAGAAATCCATGTGGACAGTAAAGACGGCTAGGTAATGGGAAACATATCTGCTGTCATGTTGTTGCTCTAACCCGTAAGCACAGCACTAATTATGGTAGTAAAAATGTGGGTAAAGGTACTTAAAAAAAAACTTTTTAAGCCTTGCTGTAATGTGAATTACTTCTACACCTGTTCAGTGCTTTGGTGCAACAAGCCACAATGCACACCAGTCAACAATCTGCCTTGACTTTGGACTCTCTAATGCGCGGTTTACACCCTTGTTAGCATCCAAATGAATGTTTACCCTCTCTCCTCATTCATTCAGCGTTTCAAGATAACTGCCCAGGCATGTTTCAAAGATGGCTGCTGAGTAGCAAGACTGGCATTAGAAGGACTTTAGCTACACGTACATGCACAGCAGGGGAGAAGCACAGCACATCTTTATTAGACAAACAAATTGTACTTTTTCTTTTAATTATATAGTGCTAGAAAAAAAGTGCACCCTTAGAAATGCTTTCTATTTCTTAAGGACCTTTTTGGGGACTTTTCCTTCATTAGATAGTGGAATGGAGAGTGGAGAGGAAAGCAAGGGGACTCGGGCCGCATGTGAACCCATGGTACCTCATTTCAGCCTGGTTGCATGTGCTCACCTGCTTGCCCCATAAGCTTAAGTTACACTCAGAAATGCTTTGTATTAAGAACAAAAAGGGCAAAACAGGTTCTGGTTACTAATTCTTCTACAAAGTAACTCCTAACTGAAATGGCTAAACTTAGTCTTGTTGAACTGAAAGGGTAACTCTGGTGATCAGATCTTACACATGTTTCTCGTAGTGCTTTTTTACTTGAACATTTGTTACTATCATTTGATGTAGATGCAGTGCAGCTAAAAAAAAAAGGTGTCAGTGACACTGTACTTGGTTTCCACAGGCCAGCCACACAATCATAACACTGAACATTTCCCCGACAACTATAACTCCCTGGGGTCGCCCAAAATTTTCTCTTCCTCTGAACATCTCCTCTCGCTTGCTCTTCGATATCTCACAATATCTGACCCAGGAGCTGTCCTAGTTTCCTTCCTGGCCGGCTGCACGTGTCTTGCTTTTTCTGAGCCACATCTCTGTAGGCCTTCAGTCACACAGGCTCCCAATAGCCACAGGCAGATATTTCTGCCTCTGCCCTGGTCTAATATTAGCTACTGCTACAGTAGCAAACCAGGCCACATCCATGCTCAGCTCCACTTTGACTTTCACATGACTTTAAACAACTACACACGCACAGGCAGTAGAAAAATCTGGCCTTAAGAATGATATTGAATATGTTATTGATCTAGAATTGACCGGCGTCAAAATTAAACTTTTCTCCAGTAAATTGCTCGGCTTCCATCAGAGTCATTGATTTCTTATAAGTGCCGAGATCAAAATGAGGCCCATCTCTTGGCTCCATGATCTGAGCTACAGAACCTGACCTAAAATTCTTATGGTGTCACCATGTGAGTATTTATAGAACCAGGGGACCCGAATTAACAAAGACTGAAAAGGCTTTTCTTTAGTTTGTCCATGTAAAGTCTTCGTTCTGGGAAAGAAAGGCCTAATTTACTGAGGAAAAAAATAGATTTTAATGCTCTTATATGAGAAGGTCAAGGCTGCCAAGGTAGTAAGAAAAATACTGGCTTTTTCCTTACAGCTTTTGGTGGAACAGGAAAGTTTAGTGATATCTTTAAAAAACATTAAAACATCAAATTAAAAGTGGCATCAGACACACTGAGCAGGGAAGTCTTCTTTGTCCATCTGATTTATTCCAACAACTGTGTTGTAATAAAGAAGCTCTTCATTCACACCTCTCACGTTTGTCTGTCTTCCTTCACCCACAACCAGCCAGGCAGATCCCTGCCCCTCCCTGAGCCTGGTTCTGTTGGTAGTTTCTTCCTGTTAAAAAGGGAGCTTTTCCTTCCCCCTGTCCCGAGTGCTTGCTCATTGGATGGGTCCATCTGATTGTTGGAGTTTTCTCTCAATTATCGTAGAATCTTTACCATTACACTATAAAGCACTTTGAGGAAATTGGCGCAACTTGGAGCTATATAATGTACTAATTTTAAACTGGAGACTGCCACTGTGTTGGCTGGCCATTTCAACTCATTTCTTTGCCATTGCATATGTGTTTACAATTTTCATGTAACCCACAATAACAGAGAAAATCCAACAATCCAACGTCACCCTATGAACAAGCTTTTGGCAACAGTGGGAAGGAAAAACTCCCTTTTAACATGAAGAAACCAGGAAGAATCAGGCTGAGGGAGGGGGCAGCCATCTTTTTTGACCAGTTGGGGGTGAAGGGAGGGGGCCAGGTGAAAAGACACACTATGGAAGAGAGTCAGAGATTAATGACTAAATGTGAATGATAAGAGATAAGTGTCTCTTAACTGTTCTGCTGGTCAACTCGGTTCCTTGATTCAGTTAAAAAATGAATTTAAGATTACATAACATAATCTTTCCACATACCTCCTTGTTACTGCAGAAGTACCCTCTGAAGCAGAAAGTTGTTGGTTGGGAACCACTACTCTAAACATGAACCTCATAAAACTTTAACTTAGCTTCTGGAACTAAAAGTCTCCAGAATGACTTCTCTGCTTCCAAAAATAAGGCTACTTGTGCTGAAATCCATGGGAAAACAAAATTTAGGCTCTCTGATCTAATCAAACTGATGAGTTTATGGTCTCAGTAACTGGTTTTAGATCTTATCACTGGCAACATAAATCATTAGTAAATCATGATTTCAATTAGAGTCAAAAAGAAAAACACCGTAGGGTATGCTTAGTGGAGGAGCTACGCTGTGACTGGGGGTGCAGAGTACCTTTATTTCTCAGTGAGACTTCTTAGTTGGCTCATGAAGTTTGGTTTCAAAAAGGCTAGGACAGCAACAGAAAAATGATGCTATGGTGATTCTCCTCACCTGTGGAGCTGTAGATATTCTCTGGGCCTGTTGAGAAGGTGCAGGAACCGGTCCACAATTTTATTTTTGCCAACACCCTGTGGAGGGACATCATCATCAGTCTTTATATGTGGACTGTGTTTGTAGTTAGACCACAAAGATAGAAAGAAGCATCCATTTCAACTTTCAAAGAGGCAGGACTGAGAGGAAGACCCAACTGCATCCCTCTAATTTTGATGGTGCTTTGCTGTGACAGGGGCTGTTCTTCGGGACTCCCACCGGCATCCCACAGAGCCTGTCGGATCTCTCGGCCAGTCTGTCAGATGTCCAGTAAGTCGCTCTGACAGCTCGTAATGCCTCAGCGTGGACTGTGCATGGTCACACACTCAGATTTGCAAATGCCTTCTGCCACTCAGTCCCTCTCATATGCAAGCGCACAAATAAACACAAACACAGAAACACTCCTCTGGGCTCACAGCACACCATGTCCAGTCATCCATCCTCATCTATCCTCCCTTTAACCCAGCCCAGTTGGACAACGCTGGGGGCACAGAGTGTCCCCAAAGGAGTTGCTGCATGTGTCCTTATGTTACTTATGCCTTATGTGAACTGTGACTGCGCAGGGTTGGAGGGTGACATGAGGACGCAGGGAGTCTATTTCGTAACTCTTCCCTCCATGCTCGAACAGAGCTGACATGGGTGGCCTACTTCACTAAAAACCACTACTCCAGAAATTAGACAAAACCATGGTCTGCAAACACAGATCTGACCTCTGTTTATTTTACATGACAAAAAGTGGGTTTGTAATCCTGACCATAAATGGACCAAAGGTTGCCCAGGGTTCTTTTCTGTGGGCAGAGGAAATTACAATATGGTGAAATTAATACGCTTTCAAACATCACTCACCTGGTTTCCCACTAAGAGGAGGTGCTCTCCTAACAGAAAGTCTTTCAGCATGTCCTCCATCACCATCATGTGCTGCAGAGATATTTAAGCAAACACATATTCAGCTGAACAAGTAGCTCAGATTGTAATTTAACCCAGATGGATGTTGCAAAGAGCAATACTGCTTACAGTTGAGAATAAATCAGCTTAAAATGTATTAAAAACAACAAAGTTTGCTCAGAAAACAGGTCATTCATAAAGTAGGTCATCCTCGTTGCTTCCATCCTATCTCAACCTCTTCCACCTTTTTTATTTCAGACCAAAACACGGGCAGGCAGAGGAAAAAGCGCAAAATGGGGACATGAAGAAAGAGATAAATCATCAGTGTTGCCAGAGGATGTCACAGTATCATTACCATGGCTGGTTGTTTTTTGGATATACTGCAATTAATGTCACCAATAAGGCAAGGATTAGGCACAAGACACTAGCATTAAACCAAACAAAAACCTATTGATTTATCCGCTGAGGAAAGCGATCTGTGAACAGGATACCAAAGGCAAAATTTATGGAACTTGCTGCATTTAAAGATTTGATTCAGATTCAGCTGCTTGAGTTGTGATATTTGTTACCACTCAGCATCAATCAGCACAGAGCAACAGAAGTAGGACTGTGAAGAATCTGAAAAGAAAGATAAGCACTTGGAGTTCTGCCCATTTTCACCCCCACAGCATGTACCCTGAAGCCGATGTGACTTTTGTATTTTTGGCAACTGAACATTTTAAAAACTGAAAAACACAAAGTCCATCAGGAGGAAGCTTTTTAAAAAATTTTTGATCCTATTTAAACACCAAAACTCAATGTGTATCACACCAAACATTCAGCAGTAATCATGCCTGGCGTACACACGACGACACAGACAGTTAAGAATTTTATTATACCATAAAAAACCCCAATACCAACCAATCAGAGGTCGCTAACAGTGTATTGGGGCTGATGTTACTGCCAGGCCAGATTAGCATCTCTAAAACTATCTGATAAGGGTCCAACACAGATGAGAAAGAGCATGGCCAGAGGAAATATCAGCTAATACCGGAACTAAAAGCAAAATCCTTACACAATGAAAACTTTAATCTGACAAAGGCAAGTATGATGACGATGACAACAAGGGACAGAGCTGTGTTTTCATTGGTGTATGATTGCCTGAACTGGGTGGTGGTGAATCTGCAGAGCTAAGCTTTCTCAGTTTGAGGGAGCAAAAAAAAGAGCAATTGAAATTCAGATTACGCTTTACAGGTTGTAATCTGCCTTAGCACTTATGTGATCAAATCTGGGTCATGTGCTGAGACTGAAAAAAGTCTTTTCCAGCCCTCTCACAGCTTACCTGGGGATTATCATAGAAGAGCACGTCAGGAACCTTCATTTTCTGGTCAGCATTGTAGATGGGAGCGGAGACACTCCCAATGGTCAACACACCGTCCTTTACCATACCTGTAGAAATACAGCAATGTGGGCCATAAACATGATGTCAATGGAAAATTGTATTTAGTAGTCAGTATAATCTTTTAGTGATATAAGTTTGCATATGGTAGAATACTGCATGTAGTTATTTGTATTAGGAAATATTCAACCATGTATACTTAGAGGCATATAATTAATTGTGTGTGATCTCTAACAGGCTGCAGGCTTGGGGTGCATCCCAGGAATGCACCCCCACGTCTGGGAGCATGAGAGCTCATACCTTGTTTTATTGTTTTACGGCAGGATTAACGTAGCTATGTCTGTTTTAGTTTAAGTGCTTCTTTACATATAGATGAACTGCTGGACTTCCTCACCATGTTATCTAGGGTGGGGGAGACTACCCCCTTTCCTGACCAAGGATGTACCTTTTGTGCTCTCATGACCCTTTGATCAGCAGGACACACACACACACACACACACACACACACACACCTACTGAAGTATAAATAAAGATTGGGGCAGTTTCTTAGTGCGAGTCTCAGTCTGGAGGCTGCCCTTGCTAGCAAGAAGTTCTGTGTGTTTCTCTTCTCTGAGTCTTTACTGAAGAAGTGTTTTAGAATATTTTCCCTAAAACATGGGCTTCTTCATTTAGACTGACTAATGCTGGGAATGGTTCCTTTTACCCCAACTCAGACTTTGAGATGCAGTGATTTGACCGTACAAACTGCAATAAAACTGCATTTTCTCACATGCAGCCCATGCCCAAACCTTTCTGGACATGACAGAAACGCATGTGAGACAGAGGTGCCTCCAGAATTTTTTAATTATAGGGGTGGCCATATGGGAGCCACTAAAAATATTGGGGTGGGACACAAAAAAGAGAATTTACAGTTTTATTATGCTGTTGTCAAAAAAGAGAGAGTGCTTGCAGTACTGGTGCCTTCTGGAGCTGTTTAATTGAATTGTCTAAATAATAATCGGGCGTGCTGTGTGGTACAGCCAAGTTTGTGCTTTATCTTTGGTGAGTAAAATGTTATTATTATTATTAGCAGACACCTTAGGACTTCACCATCTTGTACAAATATTCTCACTTCTGGCTCAAAAATAAAATAAAATCCAAGTCTAACGCTCCAGAAACCTATGACGCCATGGTGGCTAGGTCTATCTTTTAAGTACAGTCTTTGATGAAAATATAACATTGGACACTTTAACCTGCTGCTGCTGAATACAAAGTTGGTGTGATGTCAGATTGTGCTGATGCACGACTATCAAAGCTAACAGGAAATATTCTTCCAGTGGAAAAGAAGAACTATCAACATTCATAACATAATGTGGATGAATAATGCATATCAGAAATCTGATACTGTCATTCATGTCTAGAAGATGTATCAGTGTAGTTGGCAAAAATTCGGAAACGTTACATTTCTATTGCTTTTTTGTTTTTGTTTAGGTACCTTGCCTGTACTGCAGGCAGCACGTGTATTGAAGCTGCAGTTCTCTCAGAACTGACAGGGACAGCATACTAGTGTCCTTAAATGCTGAAGAAGGAGCAATACACCCAAAAGCACAGGGGAAACTGCAGGCAGAAGATGGTAACTAATGCTGCTACTGCAAAATCTCTGCCCATGCTTTAAGAAAGGCAACAGGGCTATACACAAACAATGCTAATGTTGCTAATTTCAAAGCAAAGGAGAAAATACCTCAAATTTCATGAAGCAGCTAAAAGCATGGAATTACAGTTTCATTAAGAATTCCAGGTGGATGAGTTTCAATTCAACATTCAACAACATCCACAGAATTATCCTTCTTATGTTATCCTGAAATACACATTGGCGCTTTGTATGAGACAGCTGGCTGTGCCAGGTTAAAATCAGCTTTGCCCCATCAGTTACAATATTTGCAGTAGCTAATATAGAAATGCTTAACTGAGCATAATCTAATGAATGTCATACCTCATAGTGACATTAGCAAGCTACTAAGGAACCAACCCAACATTTCCTGCTAACAAAGCATTGTGCCAACATTTTAAGTAAACAACATGCCACCACCAAGTTAGTGGATTCAAACTACTTTTTTGACAAAGGAGGTTAAAAACATGGAAGAATCATTTTGTTTTGACATCAAATGAGCATCAAGAATCATGTACCAATATTAGTAACCCAGTAGTAAATATCCTGGATTGTGACATGTAATACAAAGAAAAATAATCCATGGAGTTCCACAGCATCCTTTTATTTTATGTTTTGATCTTACCTACAATAGCATCATTAGCTGCTTTGTCACTGAGCATTTTGTCACCAGCTTTTTAGTGATAATAATCCCACTCACTGGTTTACATGAGTGGTGCTCCTAGTTCTCACATGCCAACTCACAATCGAACACTAATCACACACTCAAGTGATCCACTGTTCAAATTATTAGTGCTTTGGAAAACATCCATTTTACCTGTAACCAGAATAATTGCATGCATGAGTCAAATGAGAGAGTCAAACCTGATTTTTGACAATGCTGAGAGGTGCTTGTGAGTCAGAAGACGAGATTATTTTGGGTTGAGCTGTTTGTTTTCTTTGAGGCCAGCTGAATCCTGCTTTCCATCTTTTAAATAATACATGTGCCTGCGCTACCAGTATGTCCACACAGTAGAAGTCGACATTTATTCTTTACAAGGAAACATCACAAGTTCAGAATGAATGCTAAGAGACAAAACTTTCCGGCTACCAGCTTTACAAGTTATTTGTCATTTATCGTGCATTGTTCCATTTCTGTAGAATAAGCGATTGAGGTTGCCTTTGGAGGGGGGTTACAGTTCTATATTCAGTTATTAACCTATGTTCCGTAATATTGGTACAATAAAGACTTTATTGCTGTATGTAAATGAAGCGAACTGATTTGTGCTTCTGCTGGTATACAGTGCTGTGCAGAAGTCTTGAGTCACAATCTTAATGGTCCTCTATGAATCATTCAAGAACAAAAAAGGCACCTAACTAAAGGGATGAGCCTGTGTTATGTCAACAACACATAACACACAATTTCGCATAATATACCATTTTAAATCTAATTGATCTAAGTGACTGGAACTCACAGGGATAATCAAGAGAGCGATCAGCGGGGTCTGTTGCATCCTGTATGGAGCAGTTCATGAGGTTTTTTTGAAGAGAGGAACGGGCCAGGCTGGGCAGGAATCTAAAACACACGCACACACACACAAAATAAAAACCCACACAGTTGCCTTGTTTTTATGACACACAAATCAAATATTAACATTAATTTCTGTGTATCCATATTGCTGAAACCTAACCCAGCCATCACAGAGTGAGATGTGGGGTCTACCCTGGACAGCTTGTGTGTGTGTGGGTGTGTGAGAGAGAGAGAAAGAGAGAGAGAGTGTGTACCTGGAGAGACAAGCCTTATTAACTGCGTGAGTGATGCTCTCCTCAGGGTGCTGAGAGAGACGGCGACAGATCCTTAGCAGCTGTCTAGTGGAGAGAGACGAGGCCAGAGACTGTGCCTAGCAACAGACACCATACATGAGTAGCCTCCAAACATCTCTACCTTTATATCTGCACGAAAAAATATCTGCAATCTGACACGTGACTGTTGGACTGTACACTTCTGACATCCATTTACACCACCTGGAACGAGAACAACACCTGTATTTTGGGAAGTTTCTCAAAACTCCACTACCATTTACCTGTGTCTGTAGTTTGTCACATGCTAGGTCTGGTGAAGTAAACCCAAAATTCTGTTGTAATAATGCAGTAATAATGTTCATGTCCCGCCCACCATTTGGGAACTGCTGCCATATGTAAAGCACACACACTTACTGTGGGGTCATTTGTCTTGCGGAGACTGTGTGCGAGGTGCAGTAGCTGCTCTGCTCCTTCCATCGGTACATTAGGAGCCTAAAAACAAAAGAAGAAAAAGAAGCCAAGAAGGACTTATGATGAGAGTGGAAACAGAGGCGTTGTCTTCCAGTTAGAAAAATACTGGCAAACACCAGTGCTACCCCTCAGCCTCCTAGAGACACATGTATGGGATCAATTTCAAAATCCTACGTCGCCTTGTTTTCCAGTTATCAAATTCAAAGGATTTTAACAAAACTTGACCACTGACCTTTGACCAAGGTCAAGGTCACTGAGATTGAAACCCATCCAAGATTTTTAGTAGGTCTCAGTATTTGCATGTCTCACCAGTCCCTGTATGAGGCCCATCTCCTCTTCTTTGGCCAGCGGCATGACATTGTGGTAAAGGAACATAGTGAGCACCTCGGGGCCCAACCACTGCTGAGCTCTGCTGTTGCTGCCTGCACTCCCCACGACAGGGGGTTCTGCTAGGGCCAGCACTCTGAACGATGGATGAATGGGGAAAACTGATCTAAAAAGACACAAAAATAAACACACACATTGGATCACGCTGGCACACAAGTTGAACATCTGTTCAAGTCGATGTGGAACGTAGGTGCACACAGTGTTGCTCACGGATGTATCCGTTTGCATGTGTGTCCTAGCCAATCGAGCTCAGGGTTAAGAGCATGACTTTTGACAGCTGCCCATGAAATCTTCTGATTCAAGAGGACAGCAATGTCCATTTCTATCAAACCACGGAGACACCCATGCTGCGGCAGGATATATTTACACTACTGTGGGCAAAGTGGGCGCTAACCATCATCCAAGTCACTGGATGAATGTGTGGGAAGATATTTTATGCATAAAAACACACTCCACTATCTGCTGTACTCCCTCTGTTTGGTTGTATAATGTAGTGAGTATGAAACATTTAATTGTGTGAGATCCTGTTTCTCTTTAAACTTTATTCTACCTTATTCTAGTTGCTCAGACCTTTGCTGGTTAACTACTCCCTCAGTTTTCAACCGATTTAAACTTTATACTGTTCTGCTCCTTCTGCTAATGCCAGCTATATCTTTTCATGCTAATAACGTTTATACTTTTTGAGATATTAAGCTTTTTATTCAATTTTTGGGCCAATTTTGCTTAATGGGACCACATTATCAGTGTGATCACCAGTTTTGCTTGCCAGGCTGAGCCATGTTTTAGCTCAGTGAGATGAGCAGCTGTTCTCAGAGCAGGAGTTCGAATCCCGCTTATGACAAAAAAAAAATCAGTTGACAGTTCAACTGTTTAAACTCTTTTCAACACAAATTTCAGCTTTTTCACCCCTTTTTAGCAGAATGTTCACTTTTTCCACTACTTTTCAGCACAAATTCCAGCTTCTTCAGCTGTTTTCAGCACAAACTTCAGCTTCTTTACCTCTTTTTTTTTTGCAGAAATTCTGCTAATTCACCTGTTTTCAGCACAAAGTTCTGCTTCTTAATCTCTTTTTAGGCAAGGCAAGGCAAGGCAATTTTATTTGTATAGCATACTATCAGCACAAGGCAATTCAAGGTGCTTTACATGATTAAAATAAAACACAAAACACTATAAAAGTAAAATACAGGAAAACATTTACAAGAAAGCATTTACAATAAAACAATAATCAAGACAATAATTTATATGAAAAAATTTAAACAAAGAAGTAGAGAGCCATAATCGGATCAGTTACTCATAAGCAAGTCTAAATAAGTAAGTTTTAATTTTAGACTTAAAAGAGTTCAGTGTCTCTGCAGCTTTAAATTCTCCCGATAGTGTGTTCCAGATGTGAGGAGCATAGAAACTAAAAGCTGCTTCTCCATGTTTAGTTCTGGTTCAAGGGACGGTCAATAAACGAGAGCTGGAGGACCTGACTGATCTAGATGGTTTGTACCATGATAGCAGATCCCTAATGTACTCTGGTGCTAACCCATTCAAAGATTTATAAACTAATAAAAGCACTTTAAAGTCTATTCTCTGAACTACAGGGAGCCAGTGTAATGACTTTAGAACTGGAGTAATGTGCTCTATTTTCTTGGTTCTAGTGAGAACACGAGCAGCAGCGTTCTGAATCAGCTGCAGTTGTCTAATTGATTTTTTGGGTAAACTTGTGAAGATACTGTTACAGTAGTCAAGCCGGCTAGAGATAAATGCATGGATGAGTTTTTCTAGGTCTCCTTGTGTCATCAGTCCTTTAATCCTAGAAATGTTCCTCAGGTGACAGAAGGCTGACTTTGTTATAACTTTTATGTGGCCCTGGAGGTTCAGGTCTGAGTCCATTATTACACCTAAATTTCTGGCCTGGTCGGTAGTTTCTAGTTGGACCAGTTTGAGCTGATTACTGATATTTAATCAATCTTTTTTGGGTCCAAAGATAAGTACTTCAGTTTTGTTATTGTTCAGTTGAAGGAAATTATGAGACATCCAATTATTAATTTGCTCAATGCATTTATTAAGAGTTTGGATAGGTTCAATATCACCTAGTGACATTGAGATATAAAGTTGAGTATCGTCTGCATAATTGTGGTAGTTAATATTATTGGTGGTTATAATCTGGCTTAACGGGAGCATGTAAATGCTAAATAAGAGGGGTCCTAGGATGGAACCCTGGGGGACCCCGCATGTGATTTCTATATTTTGTGATGAAAATTGGCTAATTGACACATAGAAGTTCCTGTTCTTAAGGTAGGACTTGAACCAGTCAAGTGCTGTACCAGAAAGTCCGGCCCAGCTCTCTAGACGCTCCAGTAATATATCATGATCAACGGTGTCAAACGCCACGCTAAGGTCCAGTAGTACCAATACTGTGGATTTCCCACGGTCAGTATTTATACGGATGTCATTAAACACTTTGACAAGGGCTGTCTCAGTGCTGTGGTGCCTACGAAAACCAGACTGATAAATATCAAAGCGGTTGTTCATTGTGGGAAAGCTGTTTAACTGCTGGAAAACAGCTTTTTCAATAATTTTACCGATACATGGAAGATTAGAGATTGGTCTGTAGTTCTGCATTAATGTGCTGTCTAGGTTCTTTTTCTTTAATATTGGTTTGATAACTGCTATTTTTAAGGCTTTGGGAAAGACACCTGATAGAAGGGATGCGTTAACTATTTGGATCAGATCCTCCCTGATGGCTGGGAGGACCTTTTTAAGAAATAATACTATATAATAATATATCCAAGCAGCAGGTGGCAGAGCTTAGATTCTCAATAATTTTATCGAGGCTTGATTGATTTATTGTTTGAAAGTGAGTCATTTTCTCTGCATAAGTGCTAATTGGGCTTAACGTCGGTATTGGGGTTGAAACTAATGTGCCAATCAATCTTCTGATTTTCAAGATCTTTTCAATAAAGAAGCTGGCAAATTCATTGCAGGCCCTGGTGGAGCTTAGTTCAGGGGTTATTGCCACTGGAGGAGTAATTAATCTCTCCACTGTAGCAAATAATGTCCTAGCATTATTGTTTTTTCTATGAATAATCTCAGAGAAAAATGACTCCCTTGCATCCTTCAGGGATAGTTGATACTTATTCAGCCTCTCTTTATCTCGCAGTGAACCTGGAGTTGAGTTTTCCGCCATTTTTTCTCAGCACGCCGGCACTCTCTTTTTTCATTACATACCAGTGGATCACTTCTCCACGGAGACTTCTTTTTACTAGAGACAGTTTTAACCTTGAATGGTGCAATCTTATCCATCATGTCTAAGATTTTGGATAGAAAATCATCTGTCAGTTTGTTTACTGAATGTGTGTTGGTGGATGTTGGTGATTTAAACAAGGTGGAAGTGTACATCAGTTTAAAATATTCAGCTGAGTTTTCTTTAAGGAAGCATTTTTTAACAGTGATCTTACTCTGATTAGGTATATTGGCTAAGATGTTGCTATCAAATGAAATGCAGAAATGATCAGATAATGCAATATCAGTAATGGCAATGTTAGAGATATTTAGATCTTTGCTAATACGTAGGTCCAGAGTGTGTCCTCGATTATGCGTTGGCTCACTAATGTGCTGGATTAGATCAAAGTTATGGAGGACATAATTCATTGCTTTTGTTCTGCTATCTTGTGGCTTGTAAGTATGAATTTTAAAATCTCCCACAATTGCTATCTGGTCATAGTCTAGACATATTGCAGAGCAAAGGTCATTGAAATCATTAAAAAAGTTTGTATTAGATTTTGGTGGTCTATATATGTTTAGAAATAAAACTTTGTTTGGTTCATTTATTTCAATAACTAAATATTCAAATATATTTAGCACAATTTTCAGGTTCCTTATCTCTTTTTTGCTGAACATTCAGCATTTTCACCTCTTTTCAGCACAAATTCCAGATTCTTTTTTTAGCAGAAACCTCAGCTTCTCTTCCTCTTTTCAGCAGAAATTCTGCTGATTCACCTCTTTTTAGCGCAAAGTTCTGCTTCTTTACCCCTTTTCAGTAGAAACTTCTCCTGAAAGTTTCACTGCCCTCTCTTACCATCGGAGTGAATTTGGGACAGACACAAAAAAAAAAATGTCTAGTGACAATTTCTGAATAATATAAAGAATTTCACAACACAGTGAACTAGAAAAACCTTCATAAAAACAAGAGAAGACATTTTTTCAGCCACATGAAAATATCTTGAACAACAAAGAGTGGAAGAACTGAAAGGCCTTGTTATTGTTACGCACTGTTTTTTGCATGGTGAGGTGCTCGTTGCCAAGATCTAGCTCCTCTGTCAGATGATGTTGTGTATGTGATGAACTTTGTCAGGACAAGACCTCTGAGAAGCTGCATACATCCATCTTCATGTGACGAAATGGAAGCAGACGCACAACAGCTTTATTATCCATACGGAGGTCTGAAAGTTGTCGAGGGGCAAAGCCTGTCTATATGAGCTGCAGAAGGAACAAAAACTGTTTTTGACTGCTGAGAGGAACAGTGATGAGTGGTGTGTGCGGCTGCCATACAAGGAGACATCAACACTGCCGCACTGTGTGACATAACAGGTAAACATCTGGAAAGTCTTAGAGAGAAGTTGTCATTTTATTTCCTTTGAACTTTCGCTGAATGCCTTCACTGGGATATGAACCACAATAGATCAGCAGCAGTTTTTGGAAAGGAAGTGATTTGGTAAGAGCAGGAGGAACTAACTGAACTGAGACAAGCTAAGCTCTGCTGATCTACCTTTGGACAGTTTTTAGCCGACTACACTCCACCCTTTTCCGGCTGAGAACCATGGCCTCAGATTTGGAGGTGCTGATCCTCATTCCCGCTGCTCCAAACTCGGCTGGGACCACCACCCCGGTCTGCCAGTCCACAGGTACTGCCCCTGATCTCCACGCAACATTGTAGAGGCGTGTCAACCAGGACAGCCCTACAACGTCCAGAGCCTTCAGGAACTCGGGGCGGACCTCATCAACACCAGGGGCTCTGCCACCAAGGAGTTGTTTAACTGCCTCAGTGACCTCGCCTCCAGAAATTGGGGGGGTCATTCCCCTCATCCCCAGACTGTGCTTTCTCCTCGGAAGTCGTGTCAGTGGGATTAAGGAGGTCCTCGAAGTATTCCTTCCACCGCCTGACAATTTTCTCAGTCGAAACCAAACCGATTTGCTCAGTTGTAAATAAAACAGCAAAGTAAACGTGACCCGACAAACAAAACCTGAGTGAATTAAGTCCAGTTAAACACTGGACCACTGAACCACTGAGTGCTAACACTCAGGTGAGGTTTCAAAGCAGTGTGCCGGTGATTGGACATAAGCCGCTGATAAAGTGGGTTCACCAATAAAGTGCTCTGTTGGGAAACAAGCTCCAGCAGCTCTGCACTCAGGGAAAAAACGATATTTACTTATCTTGTGCAGAAAAATGTGCCGACATTGCGTTAAATCGAGCACCGGCTGCCCAGTTAAACTGTGACTATCACCAGGTAACGTGGGCGTGTTTCTTGAATTAGCAGCAGGTGTTAAACAGCTGACAAGTGAGGAGGAGGATGCATGCAGGTAAACTGAGGGTCTGTTGAGCTGATCGCTGGTGTCGTGAGAAAAATGTCAGCTCCTTCTTTATGTTACAGAAGCACAGAGACACAAGACCAGGCGGAAAGAGACGATCGTTCGGTGCAAATGAGAATCTGCGAATGCAACATGTGGAACACGGAGAGTGGAATATGTAAACAAACCGGTTAACGTAACCCCCCCTGCCTTTTTCCCCGAAAAACAAACAAGCTAAAAAAAAAACCAAAAAAAAACTGTCAAGATGGAACACCGGGGCTGTGAGCTTGGTACACTCTGTCAGCTGACTGTTAGCAGAGCTAGTGACATCTCTGAAAACACCTGAGCACTTTTGTAAACATGTTCTATGTTGACAACCTGACCAGACATGTGAAGATTAGTCTTGACTTACTTGGCACGGCAACCAATCAAATGTTAGAGAAGCTGCAGTGGCAGCGTTAACCCCGCCCACTTAGTTTGATGGGTGAGGCTGACAGATAAAATTATTTCAAGGTGAGACATGAAGGGGACAATAGTGCCATAATGAATTAAATAAATAAATTATTAAATAATTCATTAAAATGGTTAATAATTAATTAAATGTGTCAATAATTAATTAAATGTGTCGTATATATTTATTAAATTAATTATTTCCAATTTTAATTAATTATTGCCACATTTAATTAATGATTTAATGGTGTATTTAATTAATTCATTATGTCAGTCCTGGTGTTCCATACTTGTGCAGACGTATACTGCGAGAAAAGTACTGAAACACGACAAATTTGCATGAGCATGTACATGTCCTCCATCTGGCTGTGTATGCTAGGCTATCACCAGCTTCTGCAGCTCCATCAACAAGCATTTGGGCGCACTCTGAGGAGGGTGCATTTGCTCGCAGATGAAAGAGGGTGTTGTTAAAACAGCGCTATTATTATTATTTTTTCTGTTGACTAGTTGTATTAGCTCCATCATTATTAGCAAACTTACTCATGGGCAAATAAATAAATCGCCCTTGTAAAAACTTTCAACGATAGGCTCGATATAGTCGTCCAAACACCCAACCCTAACACACACACACACACACACACACACACACACACACAAACTAGAAGGTTCTTTCTTCTTGCTCTGACTTTGTCAAATCTATGTTTCCTACTGGATACACTTCATCTGAGCCACAGGAGTGGGAGAAGTGGAAGTGGGTTTATTTAAGCCCAGACACCCCACCACAAACATCCTTCCTGCCAGCTTCGGTGGGGGGTTTTAAAAAGTGCATGCTCATACATACACACAGAGGCACTTCCCGAGTTACATGCAGGGTCAAAACCATCAACAGTTGTTCACATGTAAAATATGCAAGATTGTTGCCCCCACTCCCTCACACCACCCCCAAAGAGGTTTTAACGGAGTTGGGAAAACTGGGAGAAAAATAAGTATACCTGAAAACTGGAAATCATGCCTTTGACTTCCAGCAGTCACTGTCAACACACATTGTCACACTCAACCCACTCCCAGTACCACTGCTCTAACGCAGTTTGTCTTTTTGTTGTTACCAGTTTTGTTAATTAGGAAGCACAATGGGCAGTCAGAAAATAAGAAGAAAATGGATGTGTAGTGTATAAAAAGTGTCTGATCTTATGAGAATGTTCTCAAATGCTGCAGATCCAAGCATTCTTCTTTACTTTGGGCTATTTTAAGAACCAATGTAACCCAGCCATAAATTACATATTGTTATAATTACACAAAATGTGTTCCTTATACCTGACTGTTAGGACCTCCAAGCCTGTAGTTATATTCATTATTAGTTGGAGCCCCTCCTCATTGTTCTTCTTCTTCTTTGGTGCAACCCTATAAATACAGTGTACCCCTTTGGCCTCTCCCCTTTTCTACAATTCCCCTGTGGGAGAGGTGGGTGTGATTTATTTCCAGACACTGTACAACACACATATAATGTATATTTATCCACCCTGATGCTTCTGATTGTGATTTTAGTTCAATTATTGCCATCATTGTGCTTTTTTTTGTGAGATGCTATAAATGTGTAGTATGTGTGTGTCACAAATGTGTTTTAGGCGCCATTAACGCTAGCATGATATATAATTATAATATAATTCTGGCTAGCTTGGAAGTTGTGATGGGTTGAGCTAACCCTCTCCCCCACTGTTTGTATTTGGTCGTAGGAGCTGGAGCGAGCAAGTTATTTACTCGGAGGTCTTTCTTTCTTTTACCTTTCTTTGTCAGGTATGTCGGATTTTGTGTTGGTGTTTTTTTTTTTATCTTATGTCAAATATGTCCCATGTAAGTTCGTACTTTATGTTTAATGTAAAAATAAATGCAGCCCTTTTTCTACAATTCCCCTGTGGGAGAGGAGCTTTCTTTCTTTTACCTTTCTTTGTCAGACACAACGCAGAAACACACCGGTTACACTAACATCTTGTAAGACAGTCTCTGTGATATTATCCTCAGAATATGTTAGATGAAAGAGATCCAAAAGAGAGATACAACTCAAACACACGCACCTATTACAAGTCCTACAGTGAGTTTCAGTATCAAACCAATGAAACCAACAAAAATCAGCTTCTCACTCTCTTTTAATTTTTATGGAATAATGTTTTGTCTTCACTCTCTGCTCCCCACATGTTTAAAACAAAGAAAACTTCACATACACTACTGTGCAATAGTCTTGAGCTCCCCCTGATTTCTTTATATTTTGCCTACAATGAGCCTGACTTTAGTCATCTGTAGTCAAGTGGTCTGAAAAGAAAGACATTGGCTGCCTTTTCTATCATATTCAGTTCAGTCTTTGTGCCTGACCATTTACAGAGAAATGTCTTTGTTTGTTATCGTTTTTCCCTAAACCGCTTAACACTGACCTATGAATCATTCAAGCATTTTAAAAAAGCACTGAACTTATGAGATACATCACTATTGGGTCTACACAAAACAGGCAACCTAAGACAGAACCCATTTTAAATTATATCTTTAGTCACTTTGTTACTAGCAACCTGTTAAAAAAACATACAATGTATGTAATACATGTGTGTAATGTATCCTATTTCTTTGGTTGAATCTACAAAAAAGGAGTTGGCATAAAATAGTATTCCTGCACCAACAACGCATGTTTCAGCATGGTGTGCAGTGCATCCTCAAAAAATAAGAAGTGGTAGGCATGAAAAAAAATCCAACTGTAGTAGACGAGGAGTATATGACTCATGAGAGGGGGAAAAAATACAGTAAGACCCAACACAGTACCTGAGAGATGCATCTGGACCTTCAGTTTACAACCTGGGTTATAATAAAACTGTAAACTGTGCAAACTGTTTTTACTCACTTGGAGTTTAGGTGGGTTACACAAAGTTGGGATGCACAGTCAGCCAAGAGTAGATGTCATTAGATATGTTATCAAGCAGACACAGGAGCTAAGGACATTTAGTGATGGGGACAGGATTGGCAGTAAAACAGGTATCAGCCACCAAAAATAATAAATCTAATATTTTCTATTAATTCTATTTTTTATATGATATTCGTTTGTTTCAGACAGTTGTTCCAACAAGGAACTTAAACTCCTGCACTCTTAGCAAACACGGCTAAATTTTTTGATTTATAAAAAACACTAGAGCTGTACTTCTTCTGCTTCCTCAGTAGGTTGGTAAGTTTGTGTTACTGTGTCACTAAGGTGCTAGTTTTTGTTATTTCAGTAAGTATCCTGTGCCAGTACCCTCACTTCTTGTACTCTTGTTGAAACGACAGCTACATTTTTTAGCTTATTCTTTCTCATCCTTGTTGACTGGTGCCACACAAACAATGCTCCTCTGAAGGCTTTTGAATCTAAAATTTAAGAGAAGGTGAACTACAACTTTACTTTTACACTTGAATATATTATTTATTTTATCACTCCATTCCATCACTTTAAGCGTGAGCCTGGAAGCTGAAATAGACAAGGGACAGTGGAGATTTGGGATTTCACAAGTGTGCAGTTAGAGAAGAGGTGAAAGCACTGCCATGGCTTTATTGTCTTTAAGAATTCAAACATAGGTCAAACTTGTGATATTTGTTACTGTCTTTAAAAAAACAAAACAAAAAAACACTGTCACATTTCCAAGTGTGATCACCTTTCGTACAATTAACCCAAATGTGTGTGATAACCTGTGTGCATGCATGTGTGTACCTCTCTTGCAGTTCCTGGTCACTTAAATGTAGTTGTTCCTTTAGAGTCTGGTATCTGTCCCACCTCAGCAGCCTGGTCCCATCATACAGATCTATCTCCCTGTCATGGAGTAACCTGGGGCAAGAAAATAAAATCTGAGAAATGAGCTGAGTGGTGTGTGTTTGTTTGTTATTTTACAGCACCGTCTTCCTTTATTAAGAAACTGAAACAATAAGAAATACATTAAAGCAGAACCTTAGCTGCTGTGGAGCGTTCTGAAAGGAGAACACAGAGTACAGATGGCACAGATAACAAAAAACCCAATATCAACAGAGCATTTGGAAAATATCACAGCAGCTACATCCAGGAAATGAGCCAAAGCACCTGGATAGTACAGCCAAGGTTCCCAGGTTGACTCTGTGTATGCCGTCAAGAAGCAGCAGCTTGCCCTCCATGGCAGCAGTGACCAGTGGAGATGGCCTCCATGCTGTGTCCCCATTTGGGAGCGTGTACCTCTGTTGGAGAAGGTCCCTGACTGTCATGTCCTGGGAATCAAACACAATGGAGGGAGGTGTGTGATAAAGGCAAGAAAGTGGGAGATGGAAAATGAACAGCAGAGACAGATGTGTACAGCAGGTTGGCAGAGCAAAAAAGATCTAAAAATAGTCAGAAGTGATTCTGTCTGCGATTGCGTTTAGTAACTGTGAAGACAAGATGACAAATGCACCAGCTTTCCATTTTTCCCTCCTTTAACTCTGTTCCCAGATGGTTTGGCCCAGCTGCTAAATGCAATATCTCTACTTTACAGATAACACTGTCTGTTAAGCAAGACTGTCATATTCACTATCATGCTGCCATGTCATGGTAAAGACAGGGGGTAGACGAGGGAGGACAAGTGCAGAATTTGTTCTAGGCAGTGATTACTGCAATCCTAACAGTTTCACAGCAACATACTACTCATTGCTTTCTTGAATTAAAGAGAATTAGGTACAGCTGTAACAGCAGCTGGTATGAGAGAGCTTCATTTTGTCACAATATCAAGTTCAAACATTAAAAGACTCAGAGGAAGTGTCATTCGTCCTAGATCTGGTGACATTTATCATTTCTACGCATCATAAACCCCTCAAGTCCTGTCTATTATTTTCACATTTTTATCTAACAGAACAGACAGTGATGCATTCAGCGAGAGCTCCAACAAGTAAGGCCACACTGATAAACATGGGACATAACAATACTATATCTCCCCATCACCAGGCTGGAGTGAAAGCCTGAAAGCCTTATAATAAATCAGAGAGACTGGTGCTATTGAACCAGGTTAATTTTTTTTAAAATGTCATCAAAAAAAAAAACATCAACAGTGCCCATGCGAAGGATGGTATTCTATACATATGCTCTTTAAAAGATTTTCTGCAAACTGTTTTATGACGATCCTGATGAAGGTCATGAGTCAAACCCCCCACACACACACACACACACACACACTCAGCTTGTTGAAGGACACAATCTATATTCTGTTCTCTAGCCTGACATGTCACTTTGCTTTCCCAAAAATGGGGTTTTCAGAGTTGACCAGATGAATTGTGTGGTGAAGGATTCCACAATTCCCGCAGCACAGGTCACCCCTGACCTCAGCTAGCTAAGAATAGCCGCTACATGATGCATTCATACATACAGAGCTGCAGCACACCCGCTTCCTTCACAATTATCACCGAGCTGACTACATTCCACACACACACATATTGCACACATGCACTGTACACTCATTCAAAATTCTAAAAGCAATAAAAAAATCAAAATAAATTAACCAACTGAGCATGCACTTCAACTTATGCTTTTCCCTATTTTCTCTCATATATACATATTGCTCAAAAAATTTACACGAACACTTTTTCATCAGAGAACAGCATCAAGTCCATTAAAATTCTGGGATTTTGATCTGATTGGTTAGGTATCGGGATGATGCCCTGGTCCAGATCTGGGTGGGCACCATCCATCATCTCAGAAGGCCAGAACAGCTCCAATATAAGATACATAAGCATTATATTTACCTGTCAATCATGCAAAGTTAATCTAGTAAAGTCCAAATTTTTAAATATGAAGCTGGAAATTAGCATAACAGAGCCACTTAAATCTAAGAAGACTTTTAATAAAATACCCTCATAGCAACATTTGCTTGCCTCTCCACCCTACTGGTTGGGGTTCTCTATGGCAGTATCACACTGGGGCCTACACATTCCAGAGAAATAACTGACGCAACAGTTAAATGAATAAGCAATCTCATGCTGAGTGTGCACGGTCATGCCGGGCTGTGCCAAGGTGCAAAAGCATCTGGACATCAGTGCCAGAGTATAAATTGTTGTTAACAAAATGCTGTGTCCGCATGTAGTGCTGGGAGCCCAAGGTAGACAGAACAGTGCTACACCCTCTTCATGACATATCTGAGTTATCTGAGCCACTGGTAATAATATTTTTCCCTGACATTATAAATACATTATTAGATTAGCATATATTTACTGCCTAAGTGATACTGCTTTAATTTGCAAACTAAGACAGATATATACATGATGCACAGAAGTATCTGTAAAAAGAAATACTGCAAAATCTTTTACAATGTAGGTCAAAGGGATGACAGATGGTGAAAGATATGACTGTGGCATTAATTATTCGGGGTCTGTGACGCAAATGTTTGGTGGTTACATTCGTACTTCCCCTCATGCTCTGCAGACAACTCAAAACTTCAGAAATAATCATATTTTTGAACATTTTAAAGACCAGACGTTTTTACCTGGTAGAGCATGACAGGCTCCATGCTGTAACCCAGCATCTCAGCAAACTCTCTGGCAATCACCGACTTGCCGCAACCCTAGAAATAAAAGAAGGTATTCGTTATTAAAATCAGATTCACTATGTGCATTGTATGTGTATATGTATATCAAGTGTTAGCCACCTTAGGTCCTATCAGACATATGTCCTTAACCATGTGCGACTGTATCATCTCGGCCAACAACTGGGAGTGGCTTGGTGTATGAATGTAGGTGGGACTGCTTTTGGGTGGACGTGGCTCCTTAACGCCTGCTGGAACCTGAAGTTTCATAAACAGGAGAAACAAGCATGAAGGAGGCAAACAACAGCAGCGGCATCTGGTGAAGCCTGACATTTTACCCTGTGTGGGAAGAAAAAAAAAGTAAAAAAGAAAGTAAAAATATGTTTAGCTCCCTTTATGGTTACTTTCTTATGACTGGCTGCCCCTCACAGACAAGTTTGCACAGCTGGTGTGCAGAGTTTTGTGCTTGCAGCCAGCACTGTGTGCATATTAAGGATGTTTCCCTTTATTGACTTAGTACAAAAACTAGAAAAAACACACATACCACTCCCTCAGTGGGTGAGAGTGGTATGTGTGTGATGGTTTATATCGATATTTTGGTTTTGCTGCCCCCAGACTTGGGTCATTCCACCACGGTCATCCAGACATCACCTGGAGTGGCTCTGTGCCCCACAGATTAAGAACCACTGCCCTAAACAAACCCGTGATTCACAGATTCACGGCCGAACAGCTGGAAACAAAATTCATTATTTTTTAAGAACTCTGCGTTAAACAAGCAAAAAAAAACCCCACTACATATTAGGAGCCAACACAGTTCCTGCCACACATGAAGAAAGTGCAGCCTCAAAGAGTTAACCAGAGTGATATCATTTGTTTACCTGCAGGATCCACACCACTATTTTTAGTAGTCTGAAAGGATGTCTGTTTTTCCAAACACTATGCAGTAACATTCACACGCACTGCTGCTTTTTTATCTAACATGAAAAATTAATGACTGATAAACATGTTGCCTTAACAAAATTTACATTCAGCTACAGAGTGTCAGTGAGAGATAAGACGGTCAAGCTACTGATACAGTGTGTCTGCCTGTCTGTCCGTGTGTGGTCTGCGACGTGATAATGGGCATCTCTATAAAAGGATGACTTAATCACTCTGCATGTTTTTTGATTCATAATGAAGCCTAATGCTTGCACTCATTAGGATCGATTACACTATAGATTTGCTTTATGCATTTTTTTTATACATTAAATGCTTTTTATTGTTAATGTTTGAATGGACTAATGGAAATTTAATACAGTGACTTTTATCTGAAAAATGCAGGATGGGTTTTCTGCAAAATCTAACCCGTCAATGCAACGCTTCAGTGACTCTCACATTGTCAAACGTGAGAAACGCTAGCTAACAGTTGCTTAGTAAATGAGCCTGCTAATCATAAATATCAATAATGACTAACTGTGACTATTGTAAACGACTCACGACTCCAGCTAGCACAGAAAAATTACACAGTATCTTAAGAAAAAAAAACCCAGTGAAATAAGTACATAAGGCTGGCTAATTTAAGACTGACACATAGTTGTAATGAATTTGACCAAATTATAAGCCATATCAATGTTGTACGATTTGTGTTAGTCAGAGCTGGCTGGCTAACCGCGTAATATGTATGCTAACCTTGCCAGACAGTTAAATCTGCACAGCGTGCAAACTAGACTTTAGCTTAAATGTTTACTGCAAACGGTGACCAAAAAATAAAACCAACAAGGACGTATTTAAAACTGCTGTTCCTTTGATGACCACTTGAGGTCAGCTCCAAAGACACTAATCTCCACTGACTCACATATCAAAATGCTCAACTTTACAGCAGAAATACAGTATGTCTATGTCATGGTATTGTAACGATGGTTAAGTGTTATTGTACATGTTGGTTATCTTTGCACACTGTTGTTGTTCTTTTAAGATTCATGTTTGGTTGTGCTGCAGGAAGTAGGGAGGGTGGTGTGGAGGAAGGGGAGGGGGGACCTGGGTTCTGTGTTGTGTGGGTGCCAGGCTGAAGAGAGGTGTAGCACGAGGGCGCTCTCCCCTGAGTTAGCAACCCGCTTGCTTATGTGCGAATAAACGGACAAACTGAGACCCAACCGTCTGGTTCTTGTGAACGTTACATTGGTGTCAGAAGTGAAGAAAGAAAAAAGAACCCCAGAACGCCCGACACCCTGTTGCTGGCGACGCTTGCCGTTACGAGACGAGGATGTTGCCGGGCAAGATTAAGAAGGAGACGGAGGAGAAGGAGGTTCGTCCGCGCTCGCCCGCCCATGGAGTGAGGGAAACGGCGCTGCGGCTGTCTGCCGAGGCTGGATTTTCTCCAGGTTTGACTAGGCTCGGGAACTGTTCGCACAGCGGCCGCGATTCCGGCGGGAAGGAGTCGACCTCGCTTGGCGCGCCGTCACGTGATGTAAACAAACATGGCGGCGCCCAGCAAGCTGCAGCGCATATAAAAACGCCTAAGTTCAGTGGCAAGACGCCATGGGAAGTGTTTATCGCACAGTTCGAGCTGTTAGCTGTTGCAGCTGGCTGGTCTGAGGAACATAAAGCTCTCCAGTTGGCTTTGTGCCTGTGTGAGGATGCAGCTGCATGCCTGCTGCTGCTAACCGAGGAGCAGAGGGGAGATTATAATGCTCTGGTCGGAGCACTTCAGAGGCGCTTCGGGCAGTATAACCAACCAGTGCTGCTGAGGTCGGAGTTCCACAACAGACGCAGATTGCCAGGTGAGCCCCTCCGCATTTTGGCCCATGAAGTCGAGTGCCTTTGCCGGAGGGCGTATGACAGCATGCCACCATCAGTGCAGGCGGAGTTAGCTCGGGACCAGTTCCTGCAGGCCCTGAGCCCTAAAGAGCTCCGTATGCAAACTCAGCTTGCTCGTCCGGCCACACTCAGTGCAGCCCTGGAGCTAGCGTTGGAGAGGGAGATGCTTGCGGGATCCTCTGGGGGCGCTGATGACGCACACGTGGTGAGGGCTGTGTCAGCACCTGTGGAACAGACGGAGACGCCAGCGGGCCTGTGCAGTTTGGTGCAGGCGGCTTCGCTGCAGTCGCCTTCCCCTCGGGCTGGCCCACACCGCCGACCGCAGAGCTGCTGGGGATGTGGACAAGTCGGACACCTCATCAGGCAGTGCCCCAAGCTTGCAGCGGTTCAGGGAAACGCCCATGGGCCCGTGTAGGCGGGAGTACACGGGCCTGGGAGAACGACATCCCCACTCCACCGCCACCCCCACCTGGTGCGGCCATCGCTGTGGGCTGGACCCAGGTTGGCGGCTTTTGCCATGTTCCAGTGACGATTGCGGGGGTGTCCTGTACGGCCCTGCTGGACACGGGGTCCAATGCAACGCTGGTCCGACCCGATGTTGTCCCACCCGGAGCTGCTGTGCAACCAACTAATGTGCAACTTAAGACTGTGACCGGTGATCTGGCCCCAATGAGAGGGAGGGGAGTGTTCCAGTTCAAGGTGGGGGACCTCGGTGTGTCTTATGCTGCCTGGGTGGCTGACGTGCAGGACGCCTGCATCCTTGGGCTGGATTTTTTACGAGCCATTGGTGGTGTACTGGACTTAGGCAAAGGCTTCCTCGCACTCCCTGATGGGAAGAAGGTGCCGCTTATTCCTCCCCCGGTCTGCACAGCATCTGCCGCGGCGTCCACCTCCACCGCAGAGACCCCTGCAGACCCGCCAGCAGAACAGCGAGCGGAGGAGGAGGAGAGGCTCTCAGCAGTGAGGAGTATCTGGTCAAAGAACTGTGAGGGGCTGACTCCACAGCAGCAAGAGAGTCTATGGCAGGTACTAAAAGAGTTTAGTGACATTTTTGCCCTGAAAGAAAGTGATGTTGGCTTGACACACTTGGTAGAGCACGTCATTGAGACCGGGGATGCCCAGCCTATTAAAGTGCGCCCCCGCCGCCTGCCCCTGGCTCATCAGGAGGCTGCAGACAGAGAGTTGTGTGAAATGATGAAGGCGGGCATCATAGAGCCATCTGATAGCCCGTGGGCCTCCGCGGTGGTGATGGTGCCTAAGAAAAAAAGTCCTAGGATGCGTTTCTGTGTGGACTACAGACCACTCAACAAAGTGACGAAGAAGGACTCTTACCCCCTTCCCAGGATTGATGAGTCTCTCGACTTAGTAGCCGGGTCCTCCTGGTTCTCCACCCTGGACCTGCGGAGTGGCTACTGGCAGGTGCCACTGTCCCCGGAATCCAGACCGAAGACAGCCTTCTGCACTAACAGGGGACTATGGCAGTTCAAAGTCCTGAGCTTTGGTCTTTGCAACGCTCCTGCGACCTTCGAGAGGCTTATGGACAGTGTGCTGGCTGGCGTCCCACGGCAACGGTGTCTGGTTTACCTGGATGATCTTCTAGTGCACGGGAGCTCCTTTGATGCTGCCCTGGATGCCCTGAGACAAGTGTTGGAGAGGGTGGCGGCTGCAGGCCTGAAGCTGCATCCCGACAGGTGCCACTTCATGAGGAGGGAGGTGGAGTTTCTGGGCCACAAGCTGGGTCGTGAGGGCATCAGCACTTTGGAGGAAAAAATTCACACCATTACCGAGTGGCCCACACCAGCAGACCAGAAACAGCTCAAAAGCTTCCTAGGACTGGCGTCTTATTACAGGAGGTTTGTGAAGGGCTTTTCCTCCATAGCCGCACCACTCTTCCACCTGCTGCAGAAGGACCGTGACTTCATCTGGACCCAGGACTGTCAGCAGGCGTTCAACACCCTCCGCAAATCGCTGACAGAGTCCCCAGTCCTCGCCCCCCCTGACCCCACCCTGCCTTTTGTCCTGGACACTGACGCAAGTAATGTGGGGCTGGGAGCTGTGTTGTCGCAGGTTGGGCCGGAAGGTGAGAAGGTGGTGGCGTACTTCAGTCGGGTCCTGAACAGGAGTGAGCGGCGCTACTGTGTCACACGACGAGAGCTGCTGGCTGTGGTGGCAGGGGTGAGACACTTTAAGTACTACCTGTGCGGCACAGCATTTGTTATCAGAACTGATCATGCTGCCCTTCAGTGGCTGATGTCTTTCAGGGAGCCAGAGGGACAGGTGGCTCGCTGGCTGGAGGAGCTCCAAGCCTTCAATTTCACTGTGGCGCACAGAGCAGGGACGCACCATTCTAACGCAGACGCCCTCTCTCGCCGCCCATGTGCTGCAGCTGGCTGCCGTTACTGTGAGAAGCGAGAGGAAATAGAGCGGGAACTCACGACAATAGACGGAGCAGCACAGCTCGCCTGCAGGGCTCTTCTGGTGGTGGATGCAGCGGAGTGGAGCGCACAGCAGGAACAAGACACAGACCTGCTGCCGGTCCTGCAGTGGCTGGAGAAGGGGGAGCAACCCCTTTGGGATGAGGTCACTGGGTTTTCCATCTGTACCAGGGGGCTATGGGCCAAGTTTGCAGCTCTCAGGCTGAAGGAGGGGGTGTTGGAGCGTGCCTGGAAGGATCCTGCCACGGGGGAGGAGAGGTGGCAGGTTGTGGTGCTAAGGTCGCTGAGGTCAGCGGTGCTGGAAGCCTGCCATGGGAGCACTGGCTCCGGCCACTTTGGGGTCTCTAAGACTCTCCGCCGCCTCCGCCAGGGCTATTACTGGGGTCAACAGCGGAGGGATGTGGAGGACTTTTGCCGGAGCTGTGATGCATGTTCCTCACACAAAGGGCCACAGGACCAGTCCCGGGCTCAGCTTCAGCAGCAACCAGCAGGGGCTCCAATGGAGCGAGTAGCTGTGGACGTCATGGGCCCATTTCCTCGCACAGACAGAGGAAACCGCTATGTTCTTGTGGCCATGGACTATTTTACCAAGTGGCCGGAAGCATACGCCATCCCAGATCAGGAGGCTGAGACTGTCGCTGATGTATTAGTGGAGGGGATGTTCAGCCGCTTTGGAACAGCAGAGACCCTCCACAGTGACCAGGGGCGTAACTTTGAGTCCAAGGTATTTGCTGCCATGTGTGAACGCCTTGGGATCAAGAAGACCCGCACCACCCCACTTCACCCCCAAAGCGATGGACTGGTGGAAAGGTTTAACAGGACGCTGGCCCAGCAGCTAGCCATCCTTACCTCAGAACACCAACGGGACTGGGACTACCATCTTCCCCTTATCCTCATGGCCTACAGGTCGGCAGTGCAAGACTCCACCCAATGTACGCCTGCCCTGCTCATGTTAGGGAGAGAGCTGAGAACTCCTGCAGAGTTGGCTTTTGGGAAGCCCCCGGACGCGCCAGAAGCACCACCAGGCCGGGACTACGCAAGGAAGCTGCAGGACCGGCTGGATTCTGCACATTCCTACGCCCGGGAGCAGCTGGCGAAGGCAGGCCTGCGCCAAAAGAGGAATTATGACATCACCACTAAGGGGAGGCACTTCCGTGCTGGGGAGCTGGTGTGGGTCTACAGCCCAAAGAGAAAGAAGGGACGGTGTCCTAAACTGGATAGCAGCTGGGTGGGGCCTTGCAGCGTCCTAGAGCGAGTGGGGAAGGTTGTTTACAGGGTGCAGTTGCCTCCTAGGGGGAGGATAGTAGCGCTGCACAGAGACCGGATGGCCCCCTACAGAGGGCAGTCCCTCCCCTCCTTTCCAGAGGGACGTGTACAGAGCGTCCATGACCCTGCTCAGAGGGGCCCCCGACCGGGGCTGCGTTCCCCTCCCTCGGACTCTTCACCCCAAAGCCCCGACGCTCCGCGCCCACCTCAGGGGCTCAGGAGGTCAAGGAGGGAACGTAGGCTACCACCCCGCCTCAGAGACTGTGTCGTTCCCTCGGGGACGAGGAACTTATTGCTGGGGGGGCAGTGTAACGATGGTTAAGTGTTATTGTACATGTTGGTTATCTTTGCACACTGTTGTTGTTCTTTTAAGATTCATGTTTGGTTGTGCTGCAGGAAGTAGGGAGGGTGGTGTGGAGGAAGGGGAGGGGGGACCTGGGTTCTGTGTTGTGTGGGTGCCAGGCTGAAGAGAGGTGTAGCACGAGGGCGCTCTCCCCTGAGTTAGCAACCCGCTTGCTTATGTGCGAATAAACGGACAAACTGAGACCCAACCGTCTGGTTCTTGTGAACGTTACAGTATTAAAAGAAATGGTATTTAAAAAAAGAAGAAAAAATTGCTATCTTGAAATTAGGGTGTTTTTTTCTTCACTCATTGTATTAAGGTCTAAAGGTTGGTCTTGATGCATACTCAATTTGGCCGTAGCGTTTTCAGTGGGAGAAACATTTCGTCACTCATCCAAGTGACGTCTTCAGTCTCAGCTGACCACTGATCTTTGACCACTGATCTTTGGCGGAGTCATTTACATGAAACGGGAAAGACCATCTCTGAAATGAGGAGGGGGCCTAAGTGTACATCTTTTCCCATCTTACTTTGCCGTGATTGCAGCCATTCCCCAACTCTCTGTGAATGGTACTCATTGCCATCAATCAATGATCACTGATCAATGGTCTTTGATGAGTGGTTATGACAATTTGCAGATCAAGGAACTGACCTCACATCCCACTGTTCATTCAGTGGGCTAGATTTGTGCAAATGTGCTGTTTATAAAGTTGGGGAAACCTGCAGTCAGCTGAGACCGAAGAAGTCACTTGGATGATGACGCAGCGTTTCTCCCACTGAAAACGCTACATCCAGAATCAGTCTTTTGGGGTCTAAAGGTTGGGTAATAATTGCGCTGTCCACAGAGGTTGCTTGACTTTATGTGTTCTGCTCGTCCCTCTGGAGCATCTTTGAAATGCTTATTTGAAGAAATACAACTTGATTTGTTTATGTCTAATTAGTGAATTAAATTATATCCTTCATTGATTTCTAACATCGTGATACTAATTGGGTATCTGTGTCTTTGCAATGATCCCAACTTGCAAACCAAGCTGGTTAGCTGATAAGCTACAGTCCAATAAACAAGAAGGCAACTACCACACCTCTAAATTCAAGGCTTCAAAATAAAAGTTCACAAAGCAGTGGGCGATGTCATGCTGGCTATGTCTGTCTTTTATATGTAGTCTATGGTGTACACCCAGACTGCTGGTACCTGAAAGGTGATGTCTTTGTCCACTACATGTAAAGTGATGTCTGCATGACCTTCTACATCTTTTGCCGTGGACACACTCAAAATGGTGGTGGGTGCTGGCTGACGATGACCATCCAGAAGCTCAAATCGCTGTGAAAGAATGCATATAAAGCAAAACTGATGCCTTCAATCAACCATATGATGTTCAGGTTATATCAAGCATGCACCTGAGGTAAAACCATATACAGACACTTTAACATCACATCTTGACTTACACTGAGTACACCCTCAACAGCAGTGCGACCGTCCTTGCCCAACATACTGTTATATGGATAAAGCCTATGGAGCAGTTGCTGGGAGGATAGCATTGGGAAAGAGTTCTGGAAAAGGACAGAAAAGTCACACAGGCACTAGTAACTTTAAAACAAATTCTCCTTTAAATTTTTGGCTTTCATTTTTCTATCTCGCTCCTGTCTCACCAGGACATGAAGGACAGGAAGCAGGTTGTCCACAGGAAAGTCAGGAAGGCCTAGGCTGGATGATTCCTGGGAGCATAGCGTAGTAGCTAGTGAGAGCAGCTGGGAAACTCTGACACACAGGAAACAACACAATACTGCATGAAGACACAGACCATCAAAGAATACTCGCACTTCAGTATGCATCTACCTAAATGTACCTTTCTGCAGCGACATTTGGTCCTGCTGAGTACAGCAACTCCAACTGGTCCTGAAAATATACAGAAGAAAACAAGACTTAAATATCCTCATAGTCTCACAAATTTACCGCAGAACACTGTTGGCTGAGAGGCCAGAGAGAAAGAAAACAAAAGCTCAATACTTAAATTCCAGAACAAATCCAAAACTAATATATCCTCTAGTATTATCGCTAATTTTCTTCAGTATAATAACATTTCAGTATGTTGTACAAAGTGTGTTATGTTTATTATCAGAGTGCATAAAAGGAAAATTTGTATCGGTTCGTCTCTTTCTCCCCCACAGCCACACCTTTCTTATCTTATTGAAGCTTTCAGATCTTATTGAAGCTTTCAGCTTGCAGATTACTTTCTTTTAAGTAATCCATAAATTCCTGGATTGACCTTGAATGGTAGGTAATAGACGTCTCTAGCCTGGAAGCGAGAGCGGAGAGGAGGATCCAGCGGATTGCCTTTGTACTTGGGTACAGGAAGACCAAGCGCGATGACCCGAAAGTCCTCGCTTACGCGGACAATCTTCCAGCTGTCCAGCTCTTCTTTGGTGTGCTCCTGAAATGCATCAAGGTAAGAAATGGCCTATAACTTTCTTTCATCTCACACATTTGATATTAAATGCTATTTTTATCCAAAAGGCTGCAGCTCCAAAGCTCCATGTGACAAGTACAGACTCTGAATGTCGCACAGCAGCAGGATTTATAGCAACAGCATTTTTTTCCCTCAAAACACAACAAGAGCACTGTAGGAGTAGTGTGGAAATTCACTGCTTAAGTGGGAATTTACATATAGACATGACTCCATAAACAACAGCCAGCATTATAAAAAATAATAACAGCGCCCCCTGAGGCTCCCAGTAGATGAACCTGTGCTAGAAATGTGAAAATCCAAGGTAATATCCTTCTTGAGTTATCGCATTTTCACCTTGACCTGGAAGTTAAGATGACCAATATTTGAACGTGTCTGACATTTTTAGTGAATGCACCTAAGTGTCAATTTGAAAATCGTATGTCGCCTTGATCTTGAATTATCATGTTCACAAACTTGGGTGCCCACACTGCCCAGGGATTCGTCCAGCGTGGCAACAATAGCCCATCAAACTTTTACAGCTGAGGGGTTAAAAAAAGTTAATGCCTCAGCTGTTGTTACCTAAAAAGATTAGTCCCATGTGTAAGTTCTAGTTTAGAAATTAGCCGTGGGAAGTGTTTGACTTGTGCAGGCGAGTGTGCTGCTCTGACCTGCAGCAGCTTGTCATAACGCTCCGCTGACATGAGGAAGCGGCCATCCTCCAGCTGCATCTCTCGATTCTCCAGCAGGTTGTTAAGAACAGGCAGGACGTTCCTCTCAGCTTTCTCCAGCCCCTCCAGGACCAGGACTCGGCCTCTTATTGCGGCCCTTACAGCACACTAGGAAAAAGCATTAAAAGTCAAGACAAAGCGATGAAGTCAATCAATACTTCAGAAATAATAGGAGAGGAAGGGGAAGGATGTTGTAAACTCTTCCAACACATGATGAGTTTTGCCTCAGGTCAAATCTGTCGCTCCACTGTACAGGATGACCTCTGATCTCTGGGCTAAAAGCTTTTGTACAGACAGGGAATCTGACCTTCCACCAGTCCTCATTGTGCATACTCTATATAAGACAGTATAAGCTTCCGATAAAGCTTTTCCTGAGGTTGTCCTCATCTGTGTTTGTCCTCCAAGCTACTCAGAAACTTTCAAACCAGTCTCTGCTGTTTTAAGAACCTCTATTTTCTCCCACCAAATGTGGGATAAAACATCTCAAGTTTATACAGTGTGTGTGCAAATGCATGTGTCTGCGCACATTTCTGCAGAAATCAAAAAGCACGTCTGACGTCAAGAGGCAGGAAACTTTAGCTGTCTGGGTGGACCGCAGAGCGAGCGGCTATGTAATTAGGTTAACATGTAAATGCGTGGCAGGTTGTGTGGGAAGCAGAGCCATAAAACTATAGTGAGGACCAGATGCTCTATATTTAACTCTTGATCCATTTTCGGCACCAACGCTGTAATCAGATAATTGTTAGAAATGTAAATGACGCAGGATGTAGAGTAGGAGAGAGAGAAAGAGAGAGGCAGGGAAGCACAGAGGGGCCTTGTGCTATGTCTGACACCAGCCATGCGGAAAAAAAGAAAACATCCCACCAAATGCTTTTAGCCACTTAGAAATGTTAGAAATGTCACAGAACAGTGAATGTGTAATATTAATGTAGCTAGAACTATTAAAAAAAAAGAAAAAAAAGAGTTAAAAGTCTACAGAGACATCACTTCCTATAACATCTCTTTGTGTTATATGTGATGTTTCATTTTTTTTTCATAATGCTATGTGTATGAATCAAAAAGCTTCTGTTCCTAATTTACCTACTTCATGCACATACAGAAGCATGTTTTCCCCAATGTGTTTGCAGGTCACAACATAGACTGTATACAAACGCTAGATGCAGCATCAGGTACGTCCAAGTTCATTAAACCTGCATTCTTTGAAATGCAGTAAAGGGCAACTACCTAGTGGCAATTTCTCTAGTGATTTATGACCTCAGTAAGTATTTTCCTAATAGATTTATTGTCAGTAGTTTCCAGTCTTAATGAATGCAATATGATGTTCATAGTACGCTGTATTTTGAATAAGAAAAGACTACAAAGAAGGGAATCCTTCAGAGCTTGTGACTGAAAAGTCGCTACTACACAAGTGTGCAGTCTGCTCATTTTCTCAGACAGGTCTACCTATGCCCATCATGTCACATCAGTTTAAAAAACAATAAAACAAACCAGAATGGCGATGGCAAACACAAACTCTTAAGTTGAGACTTTCAAAACAAGAGTCCACAAACCAAAATGGGTCAAGACTCCAGTTAACAAGGGTCCAAAACCATTTTAAGCTTTAATGGTAGGTTGAGAACCTAAAAAAGAACAAATTTAACACAACTCAAGCTGAAAATAAATTTGAATGATTTTTTTAATAAATGGCCTAGCATGATATAAAAAAAAGTTTTAAAAAATCAACCCTAGATAATATTTTTAATGTCACATAATATCCAATAAAATAATTTTAAATGTCCCACAAACCAGATTTTTAGAGTCTGATGTCTTCAGGCTCTGCTCTTGTCCCAGAACCTTTCAAATTAAATCAATTAGACTGCTTGAGTCCTGAACAAAAAGGTTTTCCATTATTTCCGGATTTTTGGCTTCTAATTTGACAACAAACCTCTATTTACTCTGTGGTAATTCAGCCACAGCAGTGAGTTTTGTTTCCCCCATGGGGCCAGCCCTTTAACTTTAACTAGTGGAAATAAGAGAATCCAGTTTTCTTGTGGATACCTTTGAATTATATTTATATTTAATTATAACTACATGTGATATTTAATTGCAAGTTTTTTTGTTTTTGTTTTATTTTTTGTGTTGGAAAAAATTTTGTACTTTAAAAAGACTTTTCCAACATGTAACTCTGCCTAGAAAGTGTAGAAAGTGCATCCTGTCAAATGATTTCAGCACAGCTGTACGTTTGGGTTCAGATTCAGCTCCAGTGGAGGTGGAAGGCTTTTTATTACTGTAATAGAGACTTATTTGTAGACTGGGTTTGAGGTAAGCTGCCTTACATAAGAGCCAGCTAAATGAAGAAGGGTGACTGGGAAATGTCAAAAATATAACAAGCATGCGATTACATCCATGTGACTCCTTCATGCATACTTTGAGGGTAGGGTGATGCTTGGAATGAAGGAGGAAGGGTGAAAAAAAGAAAAAAAAAAAAAAAAGACCAAGAACCAGAGATAGAAAATGAAGTGGAAGGATGGGAGGGGAGGGACAGCTTAAGCTCAGGGACTGACACGTTAAGCCTGAATATAGGGCTCCAAATCAGCACAGACCCCTGAGGAATACTTGGATGTTCTAGTTAACACACAAACGCACACCTCCTACAAAACTATTCTCAAAGAGAAAAGCTCTCTAATTTGCACCCACACATCTCCAGTCCATAAAACAAATGTTGGAAAATATAATATGTACACAGTGTTATTGCACCAGACACATGGCACAGGACTCATAATCCACAACATCCCAACAACATAAAACCTTTCCACTGGACATTTGAATGTAGGAAAGCCCACAAATAAGCAATCTTTCACCCCATTTATTAACATCAATAATGCTGTTTCTATGGAAACAATGGACAATGTTTTGATTTAGATAAAGAGGTGGGAGGAAGATGAGCCTCAGGCAGAGGAAGTTGGATGAGTTGGCTAGCTTTTCTTGTTCCAGGGAAAGATGTGCACTGATAGAAACAAAACTATTAAAGTCATTAAGGGATGAAAACTGTTTAATCAAACAACTTGATCATGCATATTTTTCACAAATGGTTATTCCCAGTTTCAATTTGTGTCTATGGTTAAATGATTTTCCATGAAAACTCTCAAAACTGATTTTCTAATGTTCTAACAGAGCAGATGATCCGACTATACAATGCTACCTTACTTAAGTTACGGGGAAGTGTTGCAGCCCTAATCCAGGGTTTGAGTCCATGTTTGGTTTATCACTGAACCAGTGATACAAGTGAATATGCAGATATTCATAAAACAGTTACAGCATTTTCAACAACTCTGTTGGAGCTTTGATGGACTGGCGACCTGTCCAACAGCCTTTTGTGCTACGGATTGGTAGCCACTAAAATATAGCAGTTTCCTTTATGAACTTGACCATTTATCTACATTACATGCACATCTATGATTCAGAATCACCAGTTAACCTAACATTCATGTCTTTGGACTGTGGGAGAGCGCTAGAGCACCCAGAGGAAACCCAAGTAGGCACAAGGAGAACGTGCAAACTCCACACAGAAAAGCTCAGCCAGCTGCTGGGTTTGAACCAGGAAACCTCTTGCTGTGAGTACTAGTTACTTCATAGCAAACCTAGGAAAATAGGTGGATAGACATATGGATAACAGTTAAAAATTTCAGCATGACTTCAGCATCCCTTCCATATCCAGTCATATAAAAGGACCAATGCTGGAAGAAAATTCCCTCAACATGACTAAATGCTGTTAATTTCAACTAATGAAGAGTGTGTGTTGGGACTACTTCCTATTTCAGTACATTGTGTTGACAATTATAAAATGTGAAAAATAAACTTAAATTGAACATATTAATAAAGTACCTAGTATCTCAAATCCAATCATTTGCCCCAGTTGTTATATGTAATTTAGGCATTTTGTCATGGTAAACAAACCCAGGTTGTAAGATTTACAACGGCTGTTGAAACTGATTCTACTCTCATCAGAGAGTACAAAGCTCCGAATTCATGAGTTATTTTTCAAAGGCGTCTGGATTCTATTAATGCTAAAGCTTGGGGAAGGGGAATCATAGCTGCACTGGTAAAATATGGAGGAGTGCACTGATGCATGCTATTTCTATAACTGCCCAATAAACAGTTAAGCTGTATTAGCCTGAGGTCATGCTAATAATAACATAGTCAACCTGGTACCTTCTACATTAAGGTGCCCACAACGGCCTGGTGTCGAGGCCAGCCAAACATCTTTATTGTAGGTCACACCTGTTTTAATCTCTTAATTTCCTGTCATCTCTCTACTGACAGACTCAAATAAAAGCTTAGTTCATGCAGAAGACGCTACTGATAACAGTCAATATTGCTTCTAGTGTTTGTTTAGTGTGGCACACCAAAGCACCTTTTCCCTCTTAAATTTGCTTACAGTTGTGTGTGACATCTAAAAATAGTCTATTCCTCTTATCTGGACTACATTGTACGCATGAATGTTGGATTGCTTTGGTTATGAAAAATAAAAAACAAGTCTGGTTTTATAGAAGTCACGTTATGGGATAAGAGCTCTTTTTTCCCCACGGTCTACACCCTGAGTAAATCCTTTACTGATAAGTTTGGTCTCTGTCACCAGTTTCAAGTCACTGATTATAATATGACTTTCATTGTCTAAACCATGGTCCAGGGATATATACACACACACATATAACAATTGTTGTAATCCTATATAATTTTGATATTTTTTTCCACAGGTAGTTCACAGAGCGTACAGAGCTGTTTATACTTCATTCACATTGAGACCTTCTGGTAAAATATCTTTTTAAATTTCTGCTCTGTAAGTATCCCTTAACTGGATGCCCCATTCTCTAATTATTTTTTTCTTGTAAGTTGATCAAATGTCTTAAAACATTTTCCCTCTATGAGTGGAGTGGTCTGGAAGAGCCACAGGCAAACATTTTATAATGAAATTGCATTGTGTCACATAGATGGAACCCTGCCATTCAATTTAGTAAAAGGAGTCACAAGCATCAAAATGATAAACTTAACAAAATCTGCTGGAGGTGAACAAAACTACCACGTCAGCAGTGTGAAGGCACTAATGGCTGATTTGTGCTGGAACACAAACAAGCTGCCTCGCTTTATCAAACCATAAAACTACTCAGTACACTGCTCATGTGTAGGAAATGCTGCTTCTTTGATGTGTTTACTCCTGATGCATTAACAAGGAACTCAATGCATATACATATTCATAAAACCACTTTCTCAGAGCACTAAGAGCAGTGAAGACAGTGGAGTAGCACTACAGTAAGTGGACTCCCTTCCAGCTGCAGTCTAATTATAAGAAAGCCTAATAAGCTGCAAGTCTGTTCCAGGAGAGCAGCTTTCTGAGTAAAGTTTAAGGAATAAATGTGCTGAAAATAAAATGTGAAAAACTTCCCCGTTTCCATGGAGCTGATGTCTGAACTGTTACACAACTGATTTATTTTTTACGCAGATGAAGCCATGTGCTAATTAGTCATGGATAATGACATGACTGACTAAATGTTAATTATCACAGCTTATTATCAGTTGTGACTCTTTGAAGCCCAATGCCACAGTTTAATGATCAGCCTAATCTGGATGTAACAGTGCGGCCCTTAGCGGCTGGAAACACAGTGAGATGGACCAAGGCAAGTGTAGTGGAACAAAGTATTTGTTTGCTATACAGCTCTCCTTACAACAATTAACTTGTCGAGCTTCTTCACAGCACAAAAATCCATCCTCTAATGAGGACTGGCAGCCTTAAATATGTTCAGCTGTCACAGACTTAACCATTATTCCACTCTCAGGTAAATTCTTAAATCCCAACCTTCCACCACAGTATACAATATATCAATAAGAATAAATAAATCTTTTTCCTTCAGTTTCCTTGTCAAGAATTAACTTCCTGTTTAACTGAAATGCCTTCCTGTTCGACTGAAACGCCTTCCTGTTCAACTGAAATGCCTTGGTTTTTCAGTAGTGTGTGTGAGAGCGTTTCAGTAGTGTGCGAGAGAGCTAAAATTTCAGTAGTGTGCGTGAGAGCTAAAATTTCAGTAGTGTGTGTGAGAGCATTTCAGTTGTGTGTGTGAGAGCGTTTCAGTAGTGTGCGTGAGAGCGTTTCAGTAGTGTGCGTGAGAGCGTTTCAGTAGTGTGCGTGAGAGCGTTTCAGTAGTGTGTGTGAGAGCGTTTCAGTGTGTGTGTGAGAGCGTTTCAGTAGTGTGTGTGAGAGCGTTTCAGTAGTGTGTGTGAGAGCGTTTCAGTTGTGTGTGTGAGAGCGTTTCAGTAGTGTGTGTGAGAGCGTTTCAGTTGTGTGTGTGAGAGCGTTTCAGTAGTGTGTGTGAGAGCGTTTCAGTTGTGTGTGTGAGAGCGTTTCAGTTGTGTGTGTGAGAGCATTTCAGTAGTGTGTGTGAGAGCGTTTCAGTTGTGTGTGAGAGAGCGTTTTGTGAGAGAGTTTCAGTTGTGTGTGTGTGAGAGCGTTTCAGTAGTGTGTGTGAGAGCGTTTCAGTAGTGTGTGTGAGAGAGTTTCAGTTGTGTGTGTGAGAGCGTTTCAGTAGTGTGTGTGAGAGCTAAATTTCAGTAGTGTGTGTGAGAGCGTTTCAGTAGTGTGTGTGAGAGCGTTTCAGTAGTGTGTGTGAGAGCGTTTCAGTAGTGTGTGAGAGCGTTTCAGTTGTGTGTGTGAGAGCTAAAATTTCAGTAGTGTGTGTGAGAGCGTTTCAGTGGTGTGTGTGAGAGCATTTCAGTAGTGTGTGTGAGAGCTAAAATTTCAGTAGTGTGTGTGAGAGCGTTTCAGTTGTGTGTGTGAGAGCGTTTCAGTAGTGTGTGTGAGAGCGTTTCAGTTGTGTGTGTGAGAGCTAAAATTTCAGTAGTGTGTGTGAGAGCGTTTCAGTAGTGTGTGTGAGAGCGTTTCAGTAGTGTGTGTGAGAGGTAAAATTTCAGTAGTGTGTGTGAGAGCGTTTCAGTAGTGTGTGTGAGAGCGTTTCAGTAGTGTGTGTGAGAGCTAAAATTTCAGTAGTGTGTGTGAGAGCTAAAATTTCAGTAGTGTGTGTGAGAGCTAAAATTTCAGTAGTGTGTGTGAGAGCGTTTCAGTAGTGTGTGTGAGAGCGTTTCAGTAGTGTGTGTGAGAGCGTTTCAGTAGTGTGTGTGAGAGCGTTTCAGTTGTGTGTGTGAGAGCGTTTCAGTTGTGTGTGTGAGAGCTAAATTTCAGTAGTGTGTGTGAGAGCGTTTCAGTAGTGTGTGTGAGAGCTAAAATTTCAGTAGTGTGTGTGAGAGCGTTTCAGTAGTGTGTGTGATAGCTAAAATTTCAGTAGTGTGTGTGAGAGCGTTTCAGTAGTGTGTGTGAGAGCGTTTCAGTAGTGTGTGTGAGAGCGTTTCAGTTGTGTGTGTGAGAGCGTTTCAGTAATAATGTCCCTTACGGCACCTCATAGGTTTCTATGGTTACTCAACTTACAGAGTCCACACAGAATGGAGGCATATGTTTGCCGAAAGCCTCGATCGATCAAAAAGGAGCATGGAAAGCAAGAGAATGAAATTTGGAAGAGTGCAAAACTGTGGTGAAGCAACATTTTGTGTTACTATGTTTCATGCGAGGACAAGGTGCACTCAGTTAATGTTCTACTCACACTCCAAGCTGTGTTTGCCTTCAACTGTGGTTTTAATGGTTCTGTCGTATTACACAAACACATAGCCAGAAACTCATGACTGTACATTTTTATTATTGTAATTAATGCAGAAAAAGCAATCCCAAATCTTTCAGTTGTATTTAGCACACAGGCCATGCACCTAGCATACATCCAGGCACGTGCAGAGGGGGGGGGCTAGAGGGGCTTGAGCACCCGCCCCTTTCCTGATGGGTGCCCAAAGTGCCCTTTTGTTGAGGCAACTTTTTTTTAAAAATTATTTTAAAAAAATTTTAATGTGTGTGTGCGTGCGGAGTCCTGTCTGTGCCCCTCAACAATAATATTTAACTATTAATCACAGTTTTGCTAAATAAAAGGATCTGGCTTGCATCAGTCACATGATCACATTTAACCAATGACTGCCCTTGACGGCAGAACGCGCTGGTTACGAGCCGGGAACGAGCTCACAAAGAGCACGCGCATTTTTTGCGGTCCGGAGCTGTAGGAGAAACACAAGTTAACTCAGAGACACAGACTGATGCGACAAAATCATTTAGTAGGTGTACAGCGTACACTGTAGTGTGTAGCACACAGGAGTATTAGCTTATTACGTACACGTTGGTAAGCTGTCTTGTTGCAAGTGACGAACTGAAACAAACGAGCGTGCTGTGTGTGCAACAGCGTGACAAACATCACCTGTCCTTTTATTAACTGCACAAGTAGTGCTGGTCATAGCTGCTGGCTACCTGTGTAAGGCTGTCATGGGTCTGTAGCTCTGTCACCGTTTTAGGGAACATATTTAGTTTTAAAGTATTTAGAACATATTTAGTTTTAAAGCAAGTTTCCGGGCTTTTCCTGCCTTTCTGGAGGGATTATATTTCACTAAAAAACGATCTAATATGCATGTCCACATAATTATGCATTATTATAATTATAATATATTAAAAACACACGCTGTATTTTAAAGAACATACATTAAGAAGCAGATTATATTAGATTTATATTTTAAATAAGACAAAATTTGGATTTTACAGCAGTAAGATTATTGTATCTCTACAGTTTAAAAATGTAATAAGCTTTCTCCCTGCACAGAGTGGATAGTGAAACAAATGGAATCATCATAATGACATTATTTCATATTTATTACTTCCCCCTACTCATTGCTTTATTATTGTAGCTCTAGTAATAAATAATAATGTAAGGATTCTGGATCAGCACAGTGATGCCCATAGTATATACAGTATTCTGAAGAAGGTCTAAAATGTCCCTGTGTGTGCGTGCATGTGTGTGTTTTATTTAGATGGATTTTAAAAAAAAATATTACTCATGATATAATATTGTCCAGACATGCCTGGTAAGGACATGAGGAGGAAACAGTAGGAGCTGTGTGAGGCTGCTAAAGGCAGTGCTATAACATTTTTCTGTCATCACTTTATTATAGATTAAGTGCAAGAGTTGTTAGGTGTGGATAATTAGATTATAGTTTATTGCAATAGCAAGTTGTGCCTTGTTCTCACATAGCAAGTGGAGAGTGATATATGAAATGATGGGATGGAAGGAAGAAGAGAAGCAAAGAGTGATTCACAGTCTAGTTTATTTCTCAGTTTTTTTGTTGCCTTATGGTTCCAAGTGCTGTCACCAATCTTTGCATTTTGTTATTATCTCATGACACTTGTTTAATCAGCTACCATCTCTCCTGTGGACTTTTTACTGTCTACAGTCTCAGATCAACACAGCCCCGCCCTCCAGCACTATCAGCAGCAGGAGCAGCAGCAACCCTCAACAGCAACATTGTACCATCAGGTAAAACATTGGCTACGTTTGCTTTGCCTTGTTGCCCATATTAGATTCTTGATGAATGTGTGTTGTTGTTATTCAGCCTGGTTCAATGTGCCCCTTTTTAACTTTGAGCACCCGCCCCTTTAAACCTCTCTGCACGGCCCTGCATACATCCAGCTGTTGTGGCAATTGATTTGGCTTTGTGATGCATAATGCACAACTAAAATAAAACAATATTTCAGAAAACACAATATTATACTTTACAGCTTTCATCAAAAATAATTCAAATGTCGATGTAAAGTGGATTTATGTCGAAGCCTGCATATTAGACTGTGTACAATCCATTAAATAAGCTTACCTGGTCTATGTAGAAGGCCGTCCCCGATCGAATCTCTCTCCTCTGTTTGAGGTCGGTCTCTGTGGTGTCCCTGGACAAAGCGACATACTCCACTTCCCGTTTAGTCAACTCCTAGTCAAGAGCAAGAGAACAAGTTTGGCTTGTTAAAAGTTAAAAGCATATTCTCTGGCTTATCTGATGCCAAATAATATGATAGAATTGTAAAAATAAATCAAATTACTATGCGTATCCTGCAAAGACACTCCTAGTCCATCGTTTATTAGAACAAACCTGGTAGAGCACAATTTACTCTTTACTTTGGTGCCGAATTTGTATAAAAGTTTCCATCGCACTATTAGAATGATACAACTTTATATTTATCTTATTAAAGCTATGCAATGTTTTAAAACTGCATTTACATTTCACTACTTTTGACTGTATGAACTTCTGCACTTTCTGAATTTTGCCACTTTGACAAATAATCGTTCTAAGGATGCTGCACTAGAATAAGACCTGTGTGGGAGTTACTGTGAGCCATGTACACATTTCCACAAAGGTCAGTGAATTTACTTTAGGCAAGCCACACGGTCAAGCTCAGCCACGATCCCTGAAAATCAGCAAGTGCTTAGTTACTCCACATCTGCAAGTCGCTTTGCAACCAAAGCCAAAACTATGGCATCTACAATACTGAACCGCAGTTCCATCTTCCATATCACGGTAATGTTTAATGATTGTTTAGCAACAAGTGAGCAGGAAAAACATCAGAATAATGGAGTTTTTAATTTTTGTTCATGGTTCCGTCCTAATCACATGATCAAAACTGTGGTTTAAAGAAAAAAAAGAAAAAGATACTCCTCTTTTATATTGAGTGTTTCAGTGTGTAACATGGAGGACTCACAAGGTACTGCATAGCTATGGATCTTCTCAGGGGTCCTGGGGGGCCAATGAGGAACACATCCTGACCCAAAAGGTCTTTCTGCATAATCCATCGGAGGTGTTGAGCCACCGTCTGAGGTAGGGAGTCTGAAACTGGCCAAAAAAAAAAAGCAAAAAGGAAACGTTTTATGCTGACATACCTATAGGCTTTGTTGTGACATACACACACAGAAGATTACCTACTGTGTTTCACAGGAACAAGCTCTGGATTCTGGGGTGGCTTGAGTTTGTAAGTGATCTCACCAATCTTCACTGTGTCACCTGTAAAGGAACAGGATGACCAATGCATGCAAGATGGTTTTTGACAGACAAGTCAAGTCATAATCACAACAGTAGAGTTGATTTTATATTCACATTAGTGTTAGTCTTTGATGAAGGTACAATAAAAAATAAAGATATAAAAAAAAAAAACACTTCTCAAACAGTTTCGGTTTAACAATATGGTTTTATTAGATTTGCAAATCACTGCATTCTGTTTTTATTCAAATTTTACAGTGTCACAATCTTTTTGGAAACTGTTCACTTACTTAACTTTTGACTTGCATAAGTTTCAAGTATATAAAAGGCAGCTGACTCAGGGGTATGAATCAGTGTTGTGCACTGTGTTGTCCCCCTCCCCCTGGCAAGACTGTCCTATGTTGGTAATAATGTAGTAAGGTTCCAGAAAACCTGGTGCGAATCCCTGTGGTGCATCTCAGGGTGAACATAGAGACAGGCAACAGTTCACACTCTTGCATGATCTAATAATTATTTGTCTTTCCTGAAGTTTGTCAATGCTGTCATTTTTCTGTAAAGCAAATTTACCTTGCCTTTAGGTATAAATAAAGTTACCTTACCTTACCTTTGCTCTCAAACTTAAGATTTACTCTCCCAGAATGGAAGCTGCTTCTGCTCAGCTCTGCTGAGAATCAATAAAGCAATGGTCGGGACTTCCAGTCAATCAATCAATAAATAAATTAAAACATGATTATAGAAATCAAAATCTTATTTGGTTTTCATATATCCTATTTTCAGTGATATCAACTTTAATAGCAGAAAATTAACTAGGCATATAATTATTTTTTCTCTCTTTTTTGCCATATTTTTCAAGTATCCTTCGTGAAGCCTGGAGAACTATTCCTGAAGACTATTTAAAGAATTTACATGAAAGTTGCCCAAGAGAGTTATGGCTAATGAATGAAGGTGATCATACACACTTTGGTTTTGCCTTAAATACTGTCTGTATAATTTCCTTTCCCATTTTCCTATCAAATTTCTAAAGAAATGAGCGGCAGCCCAGGACTTTTGCACAGCACTGTAAATATAAAATTGAGTTATTTGTATTAACTATTACAAAAGGTTGATATTAAGATGCAAGTTTCAGCTTCAGGTTTAATTAGCATACATCGTTAACTAAGATTTTGATGTAAATCAGGTTTTAAAAGGTGTCCGGAAAAAAAACAATACATTTAAAATGGTGTTTGGAACTAAATGTGACAGAAGTATTGCCGTTATTTCAGCATGCTCCAGTTTAAAGAGCAACACGTGTGTTATACGTGGCTAAGTACCATGTTCCAACCTTTCACCTAGTGCAAGGTAAATGCATCGACTGTCTCACTAGATCACTTCTCACTTCAGATGCTGAGCTTACACCGTTTTCCTCTACGTGGAACAAACTATATATTCAACAGTATTTTTGCTACCAAGGAGCCACCGCAGTGTGATTCCTGCCCCATTAGACAACAGCTATTTATTTAGCCAGTTAGCTGTCACCAGACACATGTGTTCCTATTTCCAGCTGAAAACAAACTGAAAACACCTGTTCACTGGCTGTATACGTGGCATTACAACTTAAATGAAACAATGAAATGAAACAAGTGAAATGGCATTACAACTTAAAGGCCGGTTACCTGAGGCTGTGTTCAGAAGTTTGACCTCATGAGTTCTGAACATCCAGCCGTCTCTTCCCAGGACACAACCCAAAATATACCGCACCCTTCTTGCAGCAACAGCCGCAGCTGTGCCGCCACATAAAATTTGGGAGTGCATGTTCAAAATGTCTACGTTATCATACAAAACCTAACAATGAAAAAAATTAGCAGGCTGTCTTTTAAAACGGTCTGACCCGCGGCCTTATTCCCATTTCACAACAAGCGTCAGCTCATTTTTTCGGAGTCGGAAATAAATAACAGAAGGACCAAATGGTCCGACAAACAAGTCTTCCGTGGGAATACCATTTTAATTGAAAAGTGTTCCGTTCGCGCCGATAATTTTTGCAATATTACTAAGATTCTGTTGTTTAAAAAAAGCATAGTTTTGTTTAGTAATATTTTAGGTTATTAATTTGGCACCTGGTTGTTTCAACTGGCTTTGGCTAATAAAGAAGGCTACAAATATTGTTTATTGAAAATAACATTTTTTTTGTCTTTTGGAATATGTTATGCCCAAATAACTCTTTACAATATATTCTAATTTTAGTGGCTTTATTAATCTGAATCTATTCATTTATTTGCTGATTCTGCTGTCCCCTCTTCAAATAAAATCCATTCTTGGATTCAAGTTTTTAAAGTAGAAGTGGACATAACAAATAAACACATGCTGAACCATCTAACAAGGTAAATACCAATTTAACATTGGTGATGTTAAGTGGTAAATCCTGCATGATTAACCATGCAACTCCTCCAATTCTCTAAACGTAAATTTTAAGAAATCGCTGCTAAAAATTATAGAAAGTTCTGGAAGTTCATTGTCGAGATTATCCCGTAGTTATAACCATTTTTGTTAACTCACAGAAATGTCCTTTTTTAAATTTATTTATTTTACTGTGGATGCATTGTATTAAAAAAAATAAAACAACATTAAAGTAGATAGTGAAAAAACAGGAACTTTTCTCTCATTTAATTATTTTTTTTTCTCTTTCTTCATCACTGTGCTGTAGTATGAATGGCTTGGAGAAGATCTTTATCAGGAGGACAAACTTTAAAATGTACCAAAATACAGTTGAAAGTACTAAATTTATCCCCTCCTTCACATTTTCCATAGACTACAAATGGGACGGATTGGAGTCTTTGCTGTCCAATTCTGGCCCCCTGGGCCTTATGTTTGAAAGCCTAGAATTAGATTATCAATATAGCATATTTAGAAACAAAACTTTACAGAAAACACAACAATAACAATATTATAACAGAACATAATTGATCCGGGAGGAGATAGAAACCCAGCCTCAGAGAGTCTCAAGCTAGTGCACTCCTTCTGTGCCAAATCAAACACATGGCAACCCCTTGGGAGATAAGGAAACAGCCAAAGCACCTCTTTATATTTACAAAGCAAAGCACTGGCCGAAGCTGTGGCGAAGGGCAAGGGTGGCACCAGCGCCATGTGAAATATTCAATTCAATTCAATTCAATCTTTACGTCCATATTTTAAAAAGAACAATAACACAACATATAAACCATAATAAAAATGATAAAATCTTTTTTAAAATATAAAACCATAATATACATAAAAACCACAGTTACTTAAAAAGAAATCAATAAATACACAAACAACCAGTCCTTCCTCATGCTGGATGAGTAATGGGAACCACTCACTGTCTGATCTGTGAGTGCTAAAATTATACTCTTAGCCATCCAGTCGTTCTCTAAAAGTAAACATTAACTTTCTTAAAAGTGCTTTAAAAGTGCAAACACCCACAGCTACAAATATCTGCATGTTATATGATGGCCCATCGTTCACATCTGCACGTAGCTGGACTGGCCATCGGGCATACAGGGCATTTGCCTGGTGGGCCGATGGGTTTTTTATTGTTTTACTCTGATGTTTGGTGGTGGCTATGGCGGAGCTTCCACAGAGGCCAGCAGGTGGATGAGGGAAAGTGGAGGAAGGGACCCGTTTCGGCCGCGTTTCGTATTGGGCTGAAAAGGAACGCGATCTGTCCCGTACTTCAGCTAGAATGAAAAAAAGACACAAGTTACGAGTTATTCTGTGTCTTTAGGCTGTCAGCTGCCTCTACTTCTCTCATTCTCTCTCCCTTTCTCTGCTGTTGCTACTTCAGTCATGAAACTGGCTTTTCTCTCTTGTTTGTTTATTGCCCACTTCGCGCCAGAAACAGGAAACCAGCAGTGGTTGCGCTAAACAACAGCAGCACGTTTAACCTTGATCAGCTGTTGTTAGAATTTATTAAATATTACTCTCTAGTATCAGCTGATGTTTGCTGGAGCCACAGCTGTAAAAGCTGCTGGTCATGATATGTGGTGAGAGGGAAACATGAAGATGAAAACAGGAGATGTCCTTACTGAATCATCAGAGCTGTAAAGGTGATGGAGAAACAGGTTTACCTTTTAGGTGACATGAATGAGTTGAAGGGAAGTTATAAACTGTTTCTGAGAGACAACTTACACCAGGATCCTTTTTTACGTAGCTGACAGCTGGTAACTGTGCAGGGGCGGGTCTAGCAAAGTTTTGCCAGGGGGCCAGGTAGGGCATTAACAGGGAAAAGTGGGCATAAAGAAATACTTTACTTTCTTATATTCATTTAAAATGTCTAGCTTTTAACAAATAATTATCTGAATCTTACGACCAAAGTTTTTATCAGATGTAAAATGTATAGAATTCATACATATATACCAACAAGACACTGTACATTAGTGTCACAACAGCATTTTGTTTTTATTTTATTCTTTTACCTGGTGGGCCGGTCTCGAGTCAAAATGCCCGGGCCGATTTTTTGTCCCAGTCCAGCCCTGCATCTGTACCATTACTTCAGTACAATTATGACCTTCCTCTAGGTAAAGTACATAATGTACCCTTTGTACTGGTAAGTAATGCTTAATGCTTTCAAAAAAATCCGAAATATTCGGAATTCCTCTTGGAGTTGTTGTAGGTACTCCCTCTGTAACACTGTAGTGTGTATGGTCCAGGTTACATATTTATTCTTCCTATGAAACTAAACAATGCTTTCCATAAAGCAACCTACAACATTATCATCAAACTAACGTCAAACGAAGTGTTCGGAGCTGCCAGAGAGTAACTGGAGGGGCGTGGGTTTTACTGGACTGAAATGACACGAAGAGTGGGGGAAAATCTGAGAACACTGAGAAAAAAAATCTATGCTAACTAAATCCGGACCGGCAATGATTATAGATGACGTCATTGAAACTACCCTCACAATTGTGCTCACACGTGCACACAGTTGGATTACACACATTCGCGCCCCCCCCCTCGCGAGCGAGCGGTGCCGAACGAGCCCCGGCAGTTTAAATCGCTTTGACATTTATCACGTGTAACGCCAATAAGCCCGGTTCTTGAAAGAAGAGAGAGAACGTCGCGGAGGAGGAGGAGAAGGAAAGGAGCGGACAGGAGGAGGAGAGGAGAGCGGTGGGAGGACGAGGCGAGTGTGTAGTCCAATCTGTTCGGTGTGCACATGAGTGGCGTAGCGAGGCCAGTGAGCGCGAGGCAGGTTGTGAATTCCTCCACCTTCCTTCCCTAATTTCGTTTCTTTTCTCTCCGGAGCGGACGCTGAGGTCTGGGACTATGGAAGATGTCTACCCTTACAGCCGCAGCCCAGCCTGGGAGGAACTGGTTAGTAACGTTCAAAACTGGTGGAGACTTTGTTTTGAATCGCTCCGCATCCCATTCTACTTTGAGTTTTTCCAGAGAAAGGAAAACAGTGAGACGTCTTGCGTGGTCTGTTTGTGAGTTTGCACACTTTGGCGGTGTTTGGTCCGCTAAAGACTGCGCGCGCGCCTTTACCCCCTCATTGGCGTTATTACGACGGGCTGTCATTCTGTTAAATAAATAAATAACTAAATAAGTGGCCCGTTTAAACTGTGTCGTGGGACGTTCGTAAGTCTTAGTTAACAGTTCTCAGATAAACAAAAGTTTTTGATTCTTTTTTCACCCACACAGTCTGTCCATTTCCTTTAGTTTTAAATCGAAGTAAAACTGTTGTCCGCTTCATGGAAATTCAATTGTCAAATCAGTTTAGCGGTTTAGTTACATACATAAAAGTGAGTTATTTGGACTTGGATTATAACACGGAAAAAATTGTATATTTATAGAAAAATATTGAAAAAAATACAGAAAATATGCCTTTGTGGCCTATATGTTCATAACTCCTATATAGCTCTCATTAGGCCCACAACAGCAGCTATAAATAGAAACAAATATTATGAGACTATTTCTATGAATTACAGTGCCACTACCATATAACTCTTAGCTAGTTATCACTGTGATGTGTATATTAGAAACCTACTTATAATAGTCTTTGTGTGCATATTAGTTATTCAACATCACATCAGGCAAAAACAACAACTCAAAAGTAGTTTAATTTCTCTCGTGTTTGTGTCAGACAGCCGCTAGGGTCTGCCATTCCATGGCCAAGTTCCCCGGTTTACGGAGTGGATGAGGCGGTCTGTAGCCTCAGTCTGGACTGGCCGTGCAGGCTGGAACCATAACCAGCAACAAAACAGAGACTCGGCTCCTTTTTTAATATCTATATATAAACGCCGTGTAGCCCATCCCCGCTGTGCCGCGACATGCTACATCCCCTATGCGTTTCCCGGCCCACACACACTCCAGCAAACACAGCCGTCTTTATTGTCATAGAGGCAGTGAGAGATGACAGCGAGGAGAGACGCTTCCCAGCCGCTGAGCAGCTCTCGCCTCCAGGAGAGGAAGGGGACGGCGGAGGCGAAGGCTAACCCCGATTGGTTTTATCCCTCCCCTCGACAGGAGCCGGAGAAAGGGCCGCCGTCCGCGGCGGGGATCCATGCCCATGTGGTGGGCGCTGTCGCCGGCTCCGGCGCTACGGAGGAGTCCTCCGATAGCGAGGCAGAGCAGGAAGGCCCCCAGAAACTCATCCGGAAAGTGTCCACCTCAGGGCAGATCAGGAGCAAGGTAAGGCAACTGTCGCTTCTCTGCTTGTATTGATATCTGATTTAGTGTGTGTGTTTGCTGGGACTAGCTGCTCCCTGGCTGCTGGGTTATCCTCAAGCAACGTTTGCTATGACAGCACCAAGGATCTACCTGCTGCTTTGGACATTCAACAGTTTCATTTGTGCGCAGAGCTTTATTGTCTTTCAGCCTTACTGATGCCTAAGATACCAGTAAAGCGAAGTAAGAAGCAAGGATAGACTTATATTTAAGCATTTACATGTAACATGAAA